AAATTTACCAACAAACGCACTGTGGGGTCGAGCGCTCTGGAATATTTTAAATAGTTTGTGGAATTGCTGCGGTTGGCAACAAGCCGGATTTTGAAAACGTGGTCGCGCGCCAATTTGGCCTTTGTGTGATGCAAAACGGCGTGAACGTTTATTATAACGAGAAGTGCCCACGCACACACGCGAGGCTCCCCATGTACAAAAGTAAAGCAGCTTTCACCTTCATCCACACCTCCGTTCGTCCTTGCACTCTGAGAGCCGCCCTGCGCGTTCAATTGATAATCGCTCAGCTCGTCGGCCTTTTTTGAACCAAGTGCGCACATTGGAAAACATCACTCGGTGTGTTATGGATTTCCTATCAAAGGCAGTTTGCATTCCTTTTGTTTGCTGCAAATTTCGCTCCCACGCGAAACGTTTTAAAACATATTTCTGCTTCAATTGGAAGTCATTTCTGCTGAATTTATGATACACTTATTCAATTCAATGCACCGTAAAATTTTATTATCCCCTCACAGCTAAACGATTTTTCTTGTGTTGTCTATCAATTGATGCCAAATCTTTTAGCTGGAAGCGAACAAAAGCTTTTAACCTTAAATTCATACACAATTGGATGGAAAATCTTGAATCATTTTCAATTACAAAACAGATTCAAGTTGTTAGGCGTGGAATAAAAGAAAAACATGAAATCAACCTAATTTTTTTGTAATATTTATCATGTGTTTTTGTTAAATAATATCGACAAAAAAGTGGCAGGTGAAAATAGTTTATCATTTCATAGGCCAGAATCATCATTTTTTTTAAAACGAATTTTTTTTTTAAATAATTGTCCAGAGCCGGCAATTTGTTGGAGAATAAAAAATAGAAACTAAAAATATTTGTATTTATAGTAAATCGTTTCATATCAAAATTTATTTTTCACCTCTGAATAAAATTAAAATTATAAATGCGATAAAAAAAGCTCAAAAATCAATTCATTTTTTAATATGGATTACAACAGATTACAAGAAGGAAAGATTTGCAAAAATAAAATAAAAACATTAGTATTTATGTGCACAAGTCTTGAGGCGTAAAAATCCTCCTTCACCTTCGTCATTTTTAATTTTGAGCATTTTTCAAGTTGGTAGTCGATAATTACCGATCTAGTGCTGTCGACATCCACTTTAAAACGTGAAATTTCCTTGATGGTTGCGCGATTACATTTTCCACGTTGAAAGTTGTAGGAAGCTTCTATCTCATGCGCTGTCAAACGATATCCTTGTGCCGACGTGCTCTCACGTCATTTGATTTTCGACGAGGCGTTTCATTCACCTCTGGATTTCCTCAATCCATTCAACCTCTTGTTAAACACGATTTCAAAATCCCCAAACGAAACTCGAAAAAGCGCCCGCGGCTGCCCATCTGAAAACACAAGCGACTTTTATTAATTTATTGCACTTGCTGTGCAGATGGAATTATACGCCCCTGTGAAGTCTGAATCGATTCAAATTTTGTTTGCTCGGCGCGTCCCACGAGACGAAAAACAAAAAGTGCGAAATGCGTGCGACGCCCTAGAACAAATTTACGGCGACTCTGTTGCTAGCCCAAATGTGCTCGGATACACACAAAACTTTTTATACACACGCGCGCACAGATCGGGCGGCTATTTCGGGGAAGCTGCTTGGTGGGGCTCAAAGCAACGCGCACCGCCTCGTATTTAAACATTTCCGCACTCTATATTCTTCAAAATAAACAGAATGGGAGAAGAATGAAAAATTGTTTTGACAATTGATGTCTTGAAGATCTAAAATTAATATGATTGTTTAGAGGTTTATCTGAGTTTTTTTTAAAATATTAAATTGTTTTTCTATAAAAGACCAAATTAATGTTTCAATTCAACTATAGATTTTGAAACTTCTAAAAATAATTTAAATCACGGTTTCAGCTCGGAGGGTTAAATCAGAGTTTTAACTGGGTCGATTTAAACGCTAAACCCAATTTGTAATAAACTATGAATTTTTTAATTTAAAAGCAGATTAATCTTCTTAAAACTTTTTAAATTTCACTGAAGTCAGAATGGAATTCCAAACTGAGAAGTTAATATCCCCTTGTAATGATGCTAATCTAGCATTCTCCACCCATTTCAAAGATAAGAGCAACAGAGTGTTTCCGCCTTGAAAAAGACGCTTTCTTTCTTTCCAGAGTTTTTTGCCCTGCACACTCTTACAGACTTCACTTTTATTTCTTTCCATGATTAATGGTTCCCCGTTTTGGAATGGAAGAGGAGCCTCTGAAGCAACTCGCCGGCCACCGCCACTTGCACCGAAGAGCAAATTAAAATCCGACCGCTGCTGATTAGCTCGCAGCGGCGAGGTGTCGAAATTCGAACGCACGAAAAATTTTCGATTAGCGTAGGCGTTTTGTTTTCTCCTCTCGAATCTCATTTCCGAAACGTGCCCGGGGTTCATTTAACCCGCGGCGTTTCGCAACTTTGCCATAATGATAATGAGGATTAAAGACAAGGGAATAAAAAAAAATGTGTTTATTTATTACAGACGCATTATTGCCCGTCAAACAAACGCCCATGTCCATTTCGGGCGAACGAGCTGCCGGTGCGAAAAACGCGCGTGGGTCTCTCTCTGCAGAGTTATAATTAATAAGAAAAAGAAGTTCCCGGATCGCTTTCTTGAAAATTAATTCACCCGACTAGATCGGGTGTCAAATTGAGGACAAAGGAGATGCGTGCTGATAAGAGCCACGCCGCGCAAATTGAGTCGCTACCCGAACCTGTTGCGCGCATCAGCATTAATCCGGCCGGCAAGAATGAGCGGCCTTTGTGTGACTATATAGAGGACCGGCCGTTCCACTGCATCATTCATCAATCACCAAATCAGTCTTGACGGAATGGGAGTTTCGAACGTACTTGTCGTGAATCAAAATTCAGTAATTATAGTCCATGCAGTACATTTCTGTCAGTGCATCATTAAAATAAAAAAAAAATGTCTTATTTTATGACAATCTTGGCAAGAGATCGACTGATTTGTTTGGCAGACAATTAGGTGAAGAAAAATATAAACAGCAGAATTTCAAAAGAAGGATTTTGCTAAAATAAATTTATTTATTTCTCTTATCAGCTCCTGGGCTTTTCTGCGCTTCATGCAATCAAAATTTAAGTGGTTTCTGTGCAGATCAAAAGTTTAAATCATTTCTAAAATAGAACATGATAATTTTTAAGTTTTCGAGAGCAAAAGTGTGAGAGAATTTTACAATCTGAAGATGGTGCTAGAATTTAAAATAGGCTTTTCTTTGATGGGCTCGTTGGGTTTTTTTAGTCGTTTATTATTTTCATACAACCTATAAAACATCCATGGAGGAAAAACGCACCGATTTTTTAATACAAACATCAAGAGAAAAAAATTATCGCAAAGTTCCTCTCAGTAAGTTGGACAGAATTGAAAGTATGTGTGTGTGTATTTGCTCTTGCTCGCATACATATACAAAATTTGTTTAACAGCAGAGTGCTTTGATAAGACAAGCCGTGGTCTCGGGTTTGAAATTTTAGCACAAAACGACGGTGCACGCCTGCAGCGCCCTTTGAATGAGCGCGGTTGTTTCAAGTGGAAAAGCAAATAACGAGGCTCTGGCATTACACACAGAGTAATATACGCGAGAGTCGAGCCCCGGCCGGGCCAGAGTCTCGTCGCGCGCGCGTTTTATCTCTGCGCGGCTCAAAACAAACAGCACCCAATCTAATTTTCGTCATCTCGCCGCCATTTATATCAGCGGGCATCAAAATAATCGCGCATTCCCCAAAGTGCTTCCACACACGTTCGATTAGCTCTCGCGCTCATTCACTTGCTGTCAGGGGCCATATGGTCGTCCGTCCCTGACGCCATGAAGCACCACGCCGGCGGCAGCAGCGAGGCGAGGAGGGCCTTTTTGCGACAGGTTCGTTCAATTATGCGTGCGCACTTTCCATCCCTCAAATCGCGGCCGCGCTCTCGCTCGCTCAATCAACCACTTGTTAGTTTCGGTCTCGCTTTGGTCTGCTCCGTTGGTAACAAATTATCTCCTCTATACCGTATTAGGAATTGTGAATTATATCATTTGGCAATTCCGCGAAATTGAACTTGATAACGGAAATTTTTATCGCTTTAAATACCGCACTGAATCATTTTTTAACATTGCTCTTCACACTTATAAAATATGTTGAACTCTAAATATTTCATAATATTGACCAACTTTATGTAATTTTCTAATAGAAATTGTATAAATGTCCATCTTTTTTGTGGACGAAAATTATTTTTTTCTTCTTTAATTTCAAGAAACATTTAAACTTTCTTTATCACTCATCAGTTGTTTCATTTCTAAATTAAGTATATAATTTTAAAGGTCACTTCTATTGAGAAATCTCAAGCATTAATTTTAAGAAATTAAAATTGCTTTTTACCGAAAAAGATGAATAATTTATTGACCTTAAATTATTCGTAGTATTTTCCCCCCATTAAATCAACTTAAATAGCCTCTCATACAATTTCGAATAGTTAAATCATTAGTTAGTTTGACCTTAAACATGAGAAACGTTTAGAAAAATTTAATCCCGGCTGATATCATAAAAAAAAAATAACTATTGATTGAATCAGTTTCCGCAAATATGATGATTCCATTAATTTAGTTGAATTGTGGTAAAAGAAATTATTTTTAATTTTGAGATTTAAAACCTTCAGTTCACCCTGCAATATTTTGAGACATAGGAGAGCATAAAATATTTTAATTTGTTTGTTTTTGAACTTAAAGTTATTTTGCCCAGGCTTTCCAGCCTCTTTCCTTTTTGAAAAATAAGATTGAAATGTGCCTGTGATGGACGGTCGGATTACAAGTTTCTCACATTCTCTGCGTGCCGCCCACGTCGAGCAGAATGTCTCTCTCTACTTAATATGTGTGTCTGCGCGCTTCTGCTCAAACTGCTATCGCGTATCTGGATCTAAAAAACACACTCCATAACTCGACTGCTCTTTCTGTTCCAGATGTCCGACTTCCCCTCGATCGAGGGAAGCAACGAGACCAACGACATCGCCGCCGCTTTTGAGAACATGAAGAAGAAGAACTCGCTCATTAGCGCCACCGGAGGTCCGGGCGGCCTCGTCGGCAGGCCGCCGGTCGCGTCGGCCGTCGGCCTCAACCAGGCCAACCAAACCACCTCCACCTCGGCTCAGTCGGCAGCACAACAGGTACATTTTATTCAAGTCTAACCCTAGCAATTTATACTCTGATTTAAGAAATTAGAATAATTCTAGTAAGTTTTGGTTTTTCAAATTGAAGTGCATTTTCAAAAATATAAATGATTTTTAGTGGAATAAATTAAAAGATTGCAAAAGATTTTATGATGTTCATCATACTTTGGTTAGTTAGGCAACTATCTCAACAGCCGCGACCTTCAGGTTGCATACCACCTTTCTTCAAGAAGGTGTCTTCGCGTCTTAACTCATTTTACCTTCTCATGTGCTAAAAGCTGAGAATATTTAGTCCTGCAAATTCTTGAAGCAACTAGCTTTACATTGTAGGCCCGAGACAGGCATAAAATTACAAGTACAAATTAAAGGCGGAAAGAAACTACAACGACAGATTTAATTGACCTTGGCGGTCTATTTTGGCAAAGAGCCGCTTACAACAAGTGATAAAACAGACAACAAAAGATAATTTCAAAGCGCAAACTTAGACTTTAAAAAAAAGCAAGCAAATTTAAAAGAACTTTAGATTTTCCAGATTATTAGTTAAAAATTTTTGTCAGGTAGAATTTCTGTGATTTTATTGATTAGATACAGAAGAGATTGAGATTTTGAGATATTTTATTTTATTTTTAATATTTTTATTTTTAAAACAAACTAAATATATCCATGTAAATAATAACACGAAGAAAAGTTTTATTTCTTATTCTTCCAATCAGAGATAAACCATTTGTTAACAAGAAAAAATACAAATATTATCTTTCTGTAAAATAGTTTTTGGAAGATCTTCTTTTTACCCCTTTTTTTAATTAGAGATAAACCAGTTTTACTTTGACATTTTGGCACGTGAAATAAACCTACAACACTTACAAAGATCGTGAGCATGTGTCTCGTTAAAAATTAATCGCTCAATTTGTCGCACCGCGCTTTCTCTCTCTTAATCACAATTAAGACATGACCTGTGCGTCCACGCCGGCAGACACCCCTTCCCAAGCTGTAAACGATTGGCCAACACCCGACCCAAAAAACGCACCACGTCACAAAGCGTTAGTCAGGCGCGAAGATATTCGCTCTCGTAAATCGCTGCTGCTTATTTTTAACCCGGTGGCGCACACCAGGCTCATAGTAAGCCTCTTCCTCTTGCGCTCTCATCTCTCGCGAGAAGAATGACAAAACAAACGCCTCACAGTTTTCCACAAGCGCTCCCCGCGAGTGGCCGTGCGCCTTTCCTTGTCCATTCATTCTTCGCTTGGGAATTACCGCAGGATAGTGCTGGAACAATCCCACGCAGAAAGGGTTTGATTCGGTGTGGAGGCGAGTAACTTGTCTGCTTTTTGTGTTTATGAGCGTTATTTGTAACTTGAGAGGTTCTTTTACGACTCGTTTTCGTTTTGTCGGCAGTTTAAAACTTGAATATTCGCACTTGATGTGCCTTTTTGCTTGCATTAATGCCACAGAAATCTTTAAATACGTCTCTAAAATCCATATTTTCTTTTGATATTTAAAGTTTACGTTTGTAATAAAGAGTTATTGCTAAGAGATTAAAAGCTTTGTTCAAGAATGATTATAAAAATAATATATAATAAAAGAAACCACCAATGAAACTCTGTATTGCTCCAGTGCGATTTATTTATGTTTTGTTAGGAAAAATTTATCTACTTACTAGATACATCTTTAAAAAAGTAATCAAATCGGTTCAGGTTAAACGTTTATCAGATTTCCTACTAAAAACCTGAATTGGTGACAAGTAAAAAGTATAATATTATATAAAAATGAAAATAATTAGTTGCAAACCACATAATATTTATTTATTTAAAAAAAAAACTTTCGAAAATTCCCACATTAATCTGATTTTGAGTGATATTAAATCTTTGGTAAAATATTTTTCACCAAAAACTTATCGAAAAATCAAATTATGAAATATTCAAACTAAAACTGATTTTTAATTTAGATAAAAAAAAGTTAATATTTAATTTTTTATTGCATTTTCTTATGAAACGCTTGTTGACCGTGGGTGTTGCTTGTTTCTGTTTGGCAGATCGTGCAGTCGAGCTCCGCTTCTTCGTCGAGTTCGCGAGTGGCCAAACGAGTGCAGCACACGAGCAGCAGCAGCCACCTGAGCCACCAGGTGAGCGAACTGAAGGCATCGTCAGTCAAGTCGGACCTTTCGGAGCTGCAGTCGAGCATCTCAGAGATGAAGAACCTGTCGAGCGTGACGACGCAGCAGAGCAGCAGCAACTTCCGGAGCGCGGCGACGGCGCTTACGTCGGCCGCGGCCGGCGCCCTCAACGGCGTCAGCGACCTCCTGCGCAGCTCAATCGAGCAGCTGGACGTCGAGGGCGACGGCCTGGGCGACGCCGACTGCACCAACGGCGAGCCCATCATCACCTTCCCGGAGCCAGAGACGCCGACGACGCCGCCGGCCATCGGCGCCCTCACCTCGCCCAACCTTGTCGTCAACAGCATGGCGCTGGCCGGCACCAACAACAGCAGCACCACCGCCTCCTCCGAGATGAAGTTCGAGCAGAAGAGGGTCACGTCCGCCACCAAAACCAAGGTGGTCACGGACTCGTTCAGCGCCGAGCAGGCGTCCTCCAACTCGGCCGAGATGCGCCGCCTCCACACCGGAGAGATGTCCTTCCAGCAGCAGACGGCCGCCGCCGCCGTCCGCGCCCGCCTCGAAATGGAAGGGGTCACCGCTGAGAAAAGTGCTGCTATCAAACAGGTAGGAATATTAATAATCATAAATTTTTTTCATTTTTTGGGGTAAAACAAATTTAAAACCAGTTGTGAAGTAAAAAAACGTGCTTGTCTTTGTTTAAGAAATTGTTTTTATTTGCTAAGTAGTTGATTGGAAAAAATATTTATTATAATTTTTGAGATATCACAAATTTGATTGCAAAGACGTATTTGAATTAATTAATCTTGATTTATCTTCAATTTTCCAATATTAAAAAGTTCTTAGCCTTAGACCATGACCAAAACCGGTAGAGAGCCGCATTGCTGCGAACAATTTCTTTGTCAAGAACTGTTCAAGAACTGTTCAAGAACAAGCCCGTTTTTATTTCATGAACTTGGCTTATACCATTAGTGGTCTAGAAAAGGTCTATCAAAAACAATATTTATTTCAGTTTGTTCAAATTTACTTTTTTTAACCGGTCAAGTGAGTATTTCCGTGACGTTAGTTTATCATTCAAACGGGTCCGCGATTTTCTAATAGAGTTTTAATTAACTGTCTCAAAGTAGGCTCAAAGCTCGTTCTAAAATTTGATATCTTTTTATCTCTGAAAATCAGAATGATTTCGAAGTTCTTTAAACGTTAACATAAAGAATTTGATTTGGCAAGAATTTTATTTAATGAATTTTAGTGGCAAATGCGCAAAAAATTAAGTCAGTAGGTCTAAAAAACATACACCCAAATATTTTTACAGCAAAAATTATTGTGTTGGAAACATTTAGTAATGCGTCTATGCAGACCAAACAAGCAAGAGGGTTTTAAAAAACGTCAACACGGAAGAGACTTTCATAATATTATATTCTCGTCGCCTTTTAATGAATATTCGTGCCAAGAGCCAATACACTTATTGCGCATTATAGTGAATATAAAAGAGGCGAGTGAAACGATCCGTAGAAAACATCCTGCATTAATTCAAAACCGAATCGCATCTCCGATTGTGATTCTGCACAGCAAGGAAAGATCGAATCATGCAAATAAATTGAACGCATTACTTGATCTAGTGGGCGCAGTTGCAAGTGTACAGTGGGCTTTGGCGCGGAGCCCACTTTGCAGCTCGTGAGTCACGTATTCGAGAGAAGGAAAACCTGCCGCTCGAAAATATTTGCGAGTTCGCGAGAAAAAACACTTCTCTGGTCGAGAAGAGTTTGTGATTGGACGCTGGCGGGACTTCTAGTCGGGGCATTGCGTCATGGGCGATTATTAGCATGAAGAGGAGCGCGAGTGAGCAAAAGTCATCAGCGCCGCGAGAGAGTCAGTCAGTCGCAGTGTGTGCTTTGCAGCCGACGACGTAAATACGCGCGCTGCCTGATAAAATTTTGATAGAACCGCCGACGCCGCACCTACTGCGAGAAAGATGACGCTCAAGGTAAAGTGGTGACGCCAAACTGCCGTTTTTTGTCATTCTCAACAATATATAATATCCTTATCTAGAAAAGCAGGAGTGCTAATTAGTTATGCTGTTTGCTGGTGCACGCGGTGTGCCGTTTCTCCTCGAAATTAACTCGTTATAATTATGGAGACCTAATTTGCAGCTTATCAGGCAACAGACAAAAGTCTCGTCACAGTGAACAAATATTTCAGATTAAAATTTTTTGAAGAAGATGAGCTTTGATCATAATTAACCTTATAAGTTGCAATTTTTCGATTTGGTGATTCATTCTTGATACACCTTCACATATCCTGTTGTATTAAATTTGATGGAAATCTACTACGTATTATATTTCATCTCTTCAAAGTGAAAACATTTAATCAAATATTCATTAATTTTACAATTAAAATAAATTTAAAATAAAATGATAAATATATTTTAATTTAACTTCAATTTAACGAAATTAAATTCGTATTGGAGTTGAATAAGCGTGAAATTTATTTGAAAATTTTAGTTCTCTGTTCGATACCAATAAAATAAAATGAGTCACTATTAAAAACTTGCGTTTCGATTCGATGCCAAATCAATGAGGAAAGTTCGGCCGAAAAGTCCCAATGCTTTGTTTTAAATTTAGATTCTTAATTGGTGAGTGGTTGGAAAGTTCGCGACATCAGTTGTTAAAAATAGTATCCGAGAGGGAGAAGATCGCGCGACGAAATGCTCTTGCGTTGACATTTAGTCGGTTGATTTAGCATTTGATTAATCAACACGATTAATTAAGATAGACCGGGGTGACAAATAAGATTTAGTGAAGATATGGACTGTGTGGTAGAGCTGTCAATAAAAGGAGAGATAAACTTTGGCGCTCTGTACGAACACGCTAATAATCTTGTAAGAGTACTTACGTAAAAAGTATAAAGAAATATTATTCAACTAGGTATTTGACTGAAAATTTTACGCAAGATTTAAAAATTTAACTATAAAATTAAAAAAAAAATTAAAAAGGGAGATTAAAAAATTATTAAATAATAATTATCTTTTATTTATTAATTTACCTTTTTTTAGATAAATCTTTGATTTGCTTTTATTTTTCTTTTATTTTGCACAACTGACAAATTTTAAGTGATTTGAAGCATAAGCACCCTTATTTGGTGCACACATTGTTTACACTGCAGTTGGCGGTCTGCCCTATCGGACTGTCGGGATGCGTGGTGGTGGTTGCTGCGATCGATTGGGCAGGGGGAGTGGCGTGTCACTTCTTCCGAGGGCGCCTTGAGGGAGGGGTGGTTTCGGGGTCAGACTGCACACCATGCGGCTGGCCGCCTGTGCGCTGCTGACCCTGGGAAACTGCGGCCGCCGCCTCACCTTTCGGCCGCTGGCAGAGCGTCTAGTCGCACCACCCTATCAGAAAGGCAGCCGGACTGCACCGTTCCTCTTTCAAGTACTAAACCCTTTTTGCACCCAGCCCAAAATATTCACCCCAAGGTCTTCTAAATTTAAACTTTTGTTGGCACCTGAAATAGATACCACCATTTACTTTTTTTCCACCGTCCCAAAAACTGCCAAGAATTCTTGTTGTGACCGCAGGTATTTTCTATGCTTGGCAACGAAGAATTTTCTTCACTCTATTGCACTATTTCTTTGTGGTGGATTTTTTACTATTTCGATATGCAACACCACCGCAGAGCTTGCTATTGATTTCTAGCTTGGTGTTTTGTGAATTTGAATACGCTTTTACGTCTTGCCAAAACCCTTTGATACTATTTTAATGAAATTCCAAACGCGTGCCAAATTCAGATCCGAGCGTTTTGGGCCAAAAGAAGCGCGAGTTTCACAATCCTTGTGATCGATAGACGTCGCATGACTCCACCGTTTTTCTCTTTTTCACGCTATCGTCCTTTCTCCGTCTTTCCAAGGCCGACGAACTTAATTAATTACACACTGCAACTCGCTCTAGTTAAAAAAAAAATCGCTATTTTAGCGAAAAGACATTTAAAATTAAAACCTGATAAGACCTTCAGTTTTTCATGCATTTTTTTAATATCACCCCATTTTTACTGACTTCTAAAAATAAAATAATATTAAAAAAGAAACAGTTTAAAACACAAAAATTTCCTCTCCGAGAAAACTATATTGCATAAATACTGATATTTTTATGGAAAAAATGCTTCAAAAATTTATTTTTGTGAAGAAAAAGTTTTTTATTATTATTTTTTCATCATTATTGTTTATTGATTGTTTTGTTAGAGATATTTAAAAAATAAAGAAAACTGCAGTTCTAACTTTTTTCTAATTTTGAACAAAAACTGCAAATTCTGTTTGAAATACAAATGGTATCTAGTTAATTAACGAGTAGTATTTATGTTGATTAAACTGTGGACATTTTGATAGCTCTTCAAAAGAGTTGGCAGATTTTTTTACTTTTGGTCCGGTCGCTCGCACGCACGTCCTCACGAGGCTAATTGGATAGGCTGGCCAAGTGCGCGGATGACGTCGGCCGCGCGCGGCTCAGAGTGCGAAGAGGCGCCCCGGAGTAAATTTAGAAGTCGCGAGTTTCAAAGTGTTGGGTGCATTAGTCGAGATATGAGGCTGGGCCGGTCGTCATGTCCGCTCCCTGGCCCGTGCACAAGGGACTGTACAAGAGAGTGTCGTGGCTCTCCGCAGGGCCGCGACAGACCAAACAAAGGAGCAGTCACGTGACCGTGCGCTTGGTGAGTTCAAAAATAAATGAAAATACGCCACGGAGTTAAAATATAAAACTTAGGTTCAATTAGCTTAATGAAAAGCCAGAGTCATTCAAAAGCTTCATTCACCAAGTTGAGGAAAAAACAAACGTTAGCAAAAATAATAGAGAAAAAGCGCCAAGTTGCAGGTTTTTCCACCCAAAGCTTGTTAGCACCGTTTGCTTAATGGATTACTGCGAACAGCAGAGCGAGGTGTGAATTTTTACAATAAACCTTCACTTTTACATGCAGTCGAGAATTAAACTGAAAATTGCAAAGCGAAAAATTTGCATACTTACGCTTGTTTGGTTTACACAGAGGCTTTCAACAAGAAATGCAACAGTGTTCTAGTTATTGAAACACAAGTGGGAAAAAATTCTAAACAAATTTTCCATTCATTGCCACCGATATAACCTGAAATTTATTTAATAATAAAAAAATCAAGAGTTTTCATCTTTGCATTTAATTGTAAAAGGAAAATTTTTCTAATTTTAACAATATCCGTTCATGAGCTCATCGATTTACCATTAGCAAAGTTAGAGACTAATGAGTTTGTAACGGTGGAAGTTTGGATAATTTCGTGGAATAGTTTGGCGTCTGTGTAACGAACGGCTTTTCCACTTTATCGCGCCCTACCACGTGATATATCCGATAGCACAAATAATTCCAGAGAATTTGGAACTGCAGCACGAACGCTCTTTGTTCAACTTTTGCGTCGTGTGTGTTTCAGGAACAGCGGTCCATCAAATCGAGCGAGGTGACCCAGCAGGAGACGCAGAACATCGCCGCCTCCAGCGTCCGCCTCCAGACCGACACCTTCAGCTCGGAAAAGGTGAGAAATCGCGATTTGGTAAATACCAAAATAAAGAGAGAAAGAAAGAAATCGCGCGGGCTGAGGCCTTGAGGAGTTAAAAATACTTTCTTTCAGCACACGACTACACGACTGATTCATTGTGTAAACATGCTTTTTCGAGCTCGCTGTTTTTTTTCACCGCCGAAACTAGCAGACTCTGGGGCCTTTTTCTTAGAAACACCATTTGTGCGGATTTTCACGTGAATTCGCAATTAAAATTTAAAATAGGCCTTTGTGTATTTCTTTACTAGAAGGAAAAAGTTTATTATCATTGGAATTGTCGAATTTTGGAATAATAAATTATTTGCATTTGTGATTTCAGAAGGCAGTCAGTGCCCAGCAACAAAGACAAACTGTAACATCTTCGGGCAGCATTTTCAGCAGCAATCAGGAGCAACACGTCTCCTCCTCCTCGTCGCAATCAAACTTCACCTCCATCGTCACAAAAGACGTGCACACCAAGTCGTCATCGGCTTCTGTTGTTTCGTCTGCTCAGGTAAGAAATGTTTTGACACATTTTTTAAAGAAAAACACAAACAGCTTTTGCGAATCTAAAAGTTGGCACGTGTCAGCAAATAAACAGCTCTGATATCACTTTGCAGACTTTCTTTTTAAACCAATTAAGGCAGGTTGATTGAAAGTGCCTAAAGGAAAGGGGTTTCAATGCACTTTAAAGAAAGTTAAATCACATATTAAAATTAAAAAAACAGTTCATGAAAAAAATCAAAGACAATGTCTAAAGAAAGATCTGTAGATCAAAATTAATTTTTTTCATAAAAAAATCTAAAATGTTGCATTAATTAGCCTCACTATCTTTTTATGAATATTTAATGAAACAAGATTAAAAAATTATAATTGACTTCAACCAAATAAAGAAGCTTCAACCTTAATTATATTTTTGCGTTGAACTAGGTTCATAACAAAAGTGTCAATTTTGCACTACCTTTATTGCGTCGTTGTCTTTTTCGCAGTTTTTTTAACCATTGAAAGCAAAATTTATTTTGAATACCTGTGGTACTTTTTCACCTCAAACGGCAGTTTTAGCCTGATTTTCAGGCTTATGGAAATGTATAAAAATGGTCAAAAGCAAACATTTTTTAAGAACCATATTTAAATCAAATTTGCAGGTTGTGAATTTTATTTAAAATGAATAAATTTAAAATATCTTCCAGAGTCTTGAAATGAGATTTTGTGTTCGCAGATGAGTTCCCTTGTGAACGGCAGCAGCATGCTGAGCGTGGAGGACGACAATGGGGCGGCGGTGATCGAAGACCTGGAGCGGCTGTCGCTGGTGTCGAGTCAGCAGGACGTGGAGCGCGCCATCCAGAAGTGCACCGCCTACCTGAGCAGCCAGGTGCCCAAACTGACGCAGCCGGCCGAGGCCATCCCCAGTCTGGCGCGCGTCAACGAACTGGTGCGCAAGGCGTGGGCCGTGCCGACGCACGGCCACGAACTCGGCTACTCAATCTGCAACTCGCTGCGCACCAGCGGCGCCCTCAACCAGCTCATCGAGAACTGCATCCAGTCCGAGGCCAACCTGCGCTTCTCCAGCGCCACGCTGCTCGAGCAGATCCTGACCACCGAGAACAGGGCGCACGTGGTCCAGCACGGCCTGCAGAAGGTCGTCAGCGTCGCCTGCAACAGCACCAAAACCTACAACACGGTCGAGCACTCCCGGGTCGGCACCGGCATCCTCGAGCACCTCTTCAAACACAGCGAGAGCACCTGCAGTGAGGTCAGTCTCAGTCAATTGTGAAATTCTGGCCTTTCCATCCCCTTTATCTTTACATTTATGCTTAATTGAACGGGGATGCAAATTTCAAAAGAGGGCTAGATGTGCCAAATCAAGTATTTTAAATTAAAAGTACCCCCCCCCCCTTCTTCAATTAACTGATAATATTGACTGGTGAAAAAGTCATTCACGAAAGGCTTTTTTTAGTCGCAGGCAAATTTTTTTAACAATAAATAATATTTTTAATGAGCCACTATTTTAAAATTAAAAAAAAATGGTTGATATTTATTTTATTTTTGTTGTTAAATTGATAGCAGCACTGATTTTTAAGAAAATAAATACAAGTTTGATATTGAACTTTTTTCTCTTAAAAAAATCTGATGAATTTTGCGAAATATTTTACACTCTTCAACAGAGGCAGGGAAAAATTCTTAAATTTTGGTACATTAATAAACACAATTGTAACTAAACAGTATTAAGTAAGCTTATGAGTTCTAGTGAGTGGCTTTCTAGGGCTGGCTGCCAATCCTCATTTTTTTTTTTTTTTTTTTTTTTTAATTTTTTGTAATTTTTCCCCAAAATAATCTTTGACCTGTTGTGAAAGAATAAACAAATGAAGTTGAAATATATAAATATAAAAATCACTCAAAAATGTTGAAAAATTGTCAAAAAAAAAAATGTAATGAAATCTCTAAATAATTTGAAAATTTAAAGAAATTCTTGAAATATTCACAAATCTGAATAAAGTCTATTTATTCATAAAGAAGTTTAAAATATATTTTTTGGCTCATAATCTCAATCAACATGATAGAATTCGCAAAGATCGAAGGTGTCACCTTAGAGGTGAAAATTAATTTTGGAGCGACTCTAAAACAATAATCAAAATGACTTTTTTGTCACCTTAATTATCTGATATAGTTGATATACCGTATATAAACTGGAGATACTGTAACTTGACTTTACAAGTCTAACACTCAACTTTTAAGACTTTTCCCCCAACCCTATATAAAAACTCACTCATAGATTTGGAACTGTCTGTTTTCAAAATAAACTATGGTACTTTTTTTATAATTTTTCGGAAATTTCTTTAATCTCCTAAATATCTGAACAGGTTGTTCGTCTTGGTGGTTTGGACGCGGTGCTGTTCGAGTGCAGGAAAAACGACGTGGAAACGCTGCGCCACTGTGCCGGTGCGCTGGCCAACCTCTCCCTTTATGGCGGCGCAGACAACCAAGAGGCCATGATCAAGCGAAAAGTGCCCATGTGGCTGTTCCCGCTGGCCTTCCACGACGACGACAACATCAAGTACTACGCGTGTCTGGCCATCGCCGTCCTGGTGGCTAACAAGGAAATCGAGGCGGCCGTCCTCAAGTCGGGCACCCTCGACCTGGTCGAGCCCTTCGTCTGCTCGCACAACCCGTCCGAGTTCGCCAAGTCCAACCTGGCGCACGCCCACGGCCAGAGCAAGAACTGGCTGCAGCGTCTGGTGCCCGTCCTCAGCTCCAAGAGGGAGGAGGCGCGCAATTTGGCCGCCTTCCACTTCTGCATGGAGGCCGGAATCAAAAAGCAGCAGAACAACTCAGAGATCTTCAAGGAAATTGGTGCCATCGAACCTCTCAAAAAGGTAGATTTTAATTATAGTTTTATTTCTTCGACTGTTAAAATTAAAGTGAATCGAGTTACTTTAAAATCAAAAACAATTTTGTAAAAGTGATTTTCTGGAAAAAAATTTAATAAAATTACTAAATTTGATAATTTTAGGTGGCCAGTTGTCCAAATGCAGTGGCCTCAAAGTATGCGGCGCAGGCATTGCGCCTCATGGGTGAAGAAGTTCCCCACAAACTGAGCCAGCAAGTGCCTCTCTGGTCGTCCGAGGACGTCAGGGAATGGGTCAAGCAGACTGGCTTCACGGAATACGCACAAAACTTTGTTGAATCGCGGGTTGACGGAGACTTGTTGCTGCAACTGACTGAAAATAATCTCTGTGATGATATCGGCATCACTAATGGAATCAGAAGAAGGAGGTATGTAAATTTCAACTATCTTGGACTTTTTTGATTAAAAATGACAAATAATTAAAAGTGATAAAATTCAACCCGAACTGTATTTAAAAAAAAAATTGTCTTTTTAAATTATAAAACTAATATTTTCTGTAATTTATTGAGTTTTCTAACCATTTAATTAACTTCCAGATTCACAAGGGAACTGCAAAATCTGAAGAAACTGGCCGATTACAGCAGCAAAGACGTTAGTAATCTGAACTCTTTCCTACAAAATATCGCCGTTGAATTCTCCATTTACACCTATTCCATGCTCAATGCTGGCGTTGATAGAGACTCCATAAGGTCAGCACATAAATTAAATAAATTTTTACAAGTCAGTATTATATTAATCAAATCTTACAGAAACTTGACTGAGGCTCAGCTTTCCAACGAGTGTGGAATTTCAAACAGCATCCACCGGCAGAGGATACTTGAGTCCATCGGTGGCATGGAGAGTGTGGTCAGCTCCTCTCATGAGGATTTGGCCAAACCTCTGGATGTCTTTGTCAGTTACCGCCGATCGAACGGATCTCAACTTGCCAGGTACTACTTGCAAATTTACTAATTGAAGGGCTTAAAACTGGATCTAATTTTAATTAAACGCAAATGCTAAAATTTCTCTGGTTTTGTAATTAACAGTTTGCTGAAAGTCCACTTGCAACTGCGGGGATTCTCAGTTTTCATTGACGTGGAACGGCTGGAGGCTGGAAAGTTTGACAACAACTTGCTACAAAGTATTCGCAACGCCAAGCACTTCCTCTTGGTTTTAACTCCTAACGCTCTGGATCGCTGCATCCAAGACACAGAATGCAAAGACTGGGTTCACAGGGTAAGCATGATTATTTGACACTTTTACTACTTGCTTTAATATAAGTGATTCGTTATCCCAACTGGAACAAATTTAAATTTATTTTTAATTATATTGATAAAAAAAATATGGAAATTGAAACAAAAGTAGTTGAACCCTATAAATAAATATATAAATGATCATTTAAATCAATAAAAGTTATTCAATTAAATTAAATTTAATTTTTGTAACTGTATCATCTATATAATTATTAATGGGAATATTTGTCGTTTTTGAATGAAAAATAATTTTAGTATCAAAAGGGCCTCCACACATAATGAATTTTAGTCAATTTTTAAATTAACTGATCAGATTTTTTCAAGTAATATTTAAGTTTATTCGATTGAATATTAATTTTGACAATTTTGGATCAAAGTTTTGATTGGTGTTAATTTTCCTGTTGCAGGAGATTGTTGCTGCGCTGCAGTCCCAATGCAACATTGTTCCAATAATCGACAACTTTGGGTGGCCCGAGCCGGAGGAGCTTCCGGAGGACATGCGCGCCGTTTGCCACTTCAACGGCGTCCGCTGGATCCACGACTACCAGGACGCCTGCGTGGACAAACTGGAGCGGTTCCTCAAGGGTGAGATGAACCTGCGGGGCGGCGGCGTCCCTGCCAGTCTGAAGGGCGAAAACACCCCCTCGACGCCCAACAGCACCATCGGCAGACACCCTCCCACCTTCCAACGCACCCTGAGCAGCGACTCAGGAAAGGGCAGTGAGAGCAGCAAGGACATCAACGGCAACTCCGGCAATTCGGGACACCGGCGGGACTGACTAGACGGCCACGCCTCGGCAGCTAACCTTTCAAAGTGAGTCGATTTTCCAATTTTTTCTCACATAAATAAAATTTAAATCAAGAATTTTTGCAAGAGACTCAAATTAAATTAATGAACTATTTAAATAACATTCAGAATCGAGATTCATTGAATTTTTATTCTTTTATAAAAATTTGACATTACATTAACCACATTAACAACAATAAAAAAGGAAAAGGACCAAATTTTTTTTATGACCATCTTTTTAATAACAAATTAAAGCAAAAATGAACCCAAAAATATTATTGCTTATTGTTTATCAATTAATTTTTTTATTCAGAAAATAATTTTCTAAATTTGTTTAAATTATGTTATTATAAATATAACATAATATTCTTTTTAACCATAAATCAACATCAAATTTTAATCTTCAAAAGTTTTTGGTATATATTCTAAAAATAATTTTAGGGAAAATTATAAATTTATTGAAATTAAATTAATTTTTCCTTTCATTTTGGCCAGGTTGCGAAACCAGAAAGGTCGTCCGCCCGCCAGTCCATTACTCCGTCCGAGGCGAGTGGCGCAGATCGCGGGGCAGAGCAGCTCGCGGCCGCCCAAGGCGCCCAGCCGGACACACAGCCTGGACATGTTGGACAAGGAGGGCGACGAGGCTGACGTGGTGAGGGCCTGCGAGAAATACCTGAGCGCCACAGAACTGAACCAAACGCCTCGTTGTGTGCCCCTGGCCCGGGGCCTCAGCTGCGACGAGGCGGCCAGCGGCCAAAAACAGGAGCAGGGTGGCCGCTCTGACTCGGTTGTTTCGCTTGACGAACCCAAACGCAAGCGCAACTTCATGGACAAGTGCGTCAACAAGGTGCGCTCCTTCATCAAAAAGTGAAGGAAAGAAAGAAAGAAAAGTGATTCGATTTTCCTACACAGGGACCTTACTTAGTTAGCTATGCCACCACTTTAGTAAGTTTTAGAAGAGTTTAATTTTAAGGATAGACTTATTAATGTTAACAAACAAATTTCAAATTCAAACTTTTGACACCGTAAGCAAAACGGGCTAAATTATCACAAAGTTCTACTTTTTAACGCAGCTTAAATTGCACTGAATGGCCTTATATTATCTCAAAAGTAAGTGTATTTGAAAACCGCAAAGGTTGTAAAGCTATATATTTTGTTATAATCAAAATTTAAATTGAGTATTTTTGTCTCAAACTCATGTGTATTCCAGGAATGGCGAGTTTTACTAATTTCTAGATCTTTACTAGCAGGAGGAATTTTTTTTGTCAGTAGGCGTGCGAAACCACAATTATTGCGAGACAATTGTGTTACTGATTTACAGAAGCTAGTCCAATTATTATTCAATTTCTTATAGACGGAGAAAATGAGTTCTTTTGTCCGAGATGATTGTGTAAGGAATATTTCCTGATAGGTTTTAAAATGACTTTCAAGTACCACAATTTTATGTGTAAGTTTATGTGTTAATTTGTAGAGCAATTTGTAAACTGTCCTCATTTAATGACGGCTTGGATTTGGAGAGCTTCATGATTTTATTGTGTAAATATTTTGTCATTTTTTAGAAGAAGAAAAAAATGTTATGTTATACTTATGGCTGATTAACCAACTAATCGCTACACCTCCGCATTTCTGAGAATTCGCTTTGATCGATGTAAAAAAATCTACTTGATATTATTTATTAACACACAGTTTAATTTGTAAGGGCAACATAGTGCCAGTGAAGGAATAAAAAGCGTTAAATTTCATTTAATTCTGAGTTTTCTTTTACAAATCATATAAATTTTTATCAAAAATTACAACAACATAAACTATATGAATCGATAATATATTATACAAATATAAGATTTTTTTGCAAAAATTCGATGTTTCTGGTGGAAAAAAACGGATCCTGTTGGAAGCATAAAAATTTTAATGCCTCATTTATACCCACTTTTATTACAGGCCGGCAAATGCGATATTCAAATTTTCGCACGCTTTCGATGAGCGGTAATCCTTTAGTGGCATTTATTAGCATTCCTTTTTACACATTTTTACGACTGGCTGCGAGAGTGTAATTAGGAAATATATGCTAAGGTCGTCCATATGCAGAGGCATTTCCACTGCTTTTTATAATTGTGTTGCATGCTGTGAGTTAAAACAACGAGGAGGGTTTGCGTGTCTGCAGCTACTGTGGGAATAATTCTGTGTACAATTTATTTCACTCGTCAGCAGCAGTCCGAGGCGCAAGGCGCATTCGGTGAAAAATAAAACACTAGTAGCCAATCGGCCCCAGGCGACGCGGCTCTTAATTTATTCTTATTAATCGTCGCTCAACGGAATATAATATTATAAAGACCTCGAGAAAATAGAGCCATGTTGGAACAACTAAACTATTTTTCACTATTTGTTTTATTTATTCCAGTAATCAATTTTGTTTTAAACTACATAAATACGACATAATTGAAAGTAATTGTTGTGATAATTGAATATAGAACAAATATAAATAGCAATTAACAATGACATACAGAACTTTATTTTTTTAAAGTTTCTCATTAAATAATATCATTTGTTATCTTTCATTGAAACTGTATTATCCGGACTATCCACAATTTCTTAAAATGAAATTAATTTTACTCTTCATTTTTTTAGTTTTTTAGATCGAAATGATAAAAGTAAAGAAGAAATTAATGTCGCCTTGATTTTGCTGTAAAATAAATTTAATTAATTTTAACAAATCATTCAAAAATATCCGACAAACCTGAAGCTTTCTCAATTGTTAGAAAATTTTAAGCAAATTATAATTTGGCTAATATTTCGGTATTTAATTTTCAAAATTCCGTCCAATTTGACCTGAATCACTCTTCAAACTTATTGAGAAAGAAATCTATCAGGTCAAAACATTTTCAATAAATAAATATACAGAGCTGCCAAAGAGCGCTTGACAGCTGCGGGTTTTATAAAGATTGCGGTCTGACGAGAAGTGTCCGTCCAGTCCATGCACACAACAGATGCATATTTGCATATTTTGTTGCAGGAGCGGGGCAGTAATTATTTCATACACAGCAGAGAGCGCACGTTATAATATTGGCCACTGTTGGCCGACCATGACCCTGCCTGTATAAAATTAATACCGGCTCAGCAGGATCCGAATCAGCTCCTCTCTCTGTCGTCCAACTTTCTTGGTGCGTCGTCGCCAGCGCTTTTAACATCATGATTTCATGCGAATATATTTTCTTCTTCTTTAATTTAGGCCAATTTTTTTTTAATTTATTAAGAGACGGAGAAGAGGAGAAGAAGAATTGCTTTGTTGTGCAGAGCGGCGATTCCTCTCATTTCCGGCGCTGGTCGAACTAATTGCAACTCTTTTTTTTGTGCGCACCACAGTGAAACAAAGCAGGGGTAATCATCACATCGGCAGACGTTTCCTGCGCCCAAGCAATAAACAATAATGCACACGCCGCCGAGCAGCACAAATTTAAATGCATGGTCCTCTGCTTTTAACTCAAGTTATTATGAATCCAACACAAAATGAACTGCTACATTTTTTTTTAAATAATTTAAACTTGTATAGCTTAAAAAAGAAGCGCATATTTTAAAGCTTATCTTTCTGGGATTATATATTTAAATTGTATATTTGAAATTCTACCAATATTCAAGGAATAGTATGTTTATTAAATTAATTTTTTGTGGTTTTCTTTCAACATATTTAATTATAGCTTCAAAAATTTTTTCATTAAAAATATCATTTTAATCTTGTTTACTAAAAGAAATATATGTTGTAAATTTTAAATTAATTGAAAGAAAATTTTAATTTAAATTATTCATTTTTCATTTTCTTTCGTTTTCTTTAATAATAAAGTACCTCTGAAAAATTAAGAATTAAACTGCTTGAAACTCGATAATTTGGGGTTTAGAAAATATTTATTCCTGTTGGAGATTGGGATTGGAGAGGTTGATTTTTATTTGTGACGGACGTGAATACTTTGAACCACTTTTAATATTGAACTATTCCAGTTTTTAAGTGGAGGTGCCGGCCGAGGCGCGACACAAGCGAGGTGGGTGAAGGAAGAGGACTTGGTCGTCCGGCCCAGTTGTTCTGCAAATCCAGTTGGCTTGTGGTCGCGTCTCGGGCTGGCGTGTGTGCAGCCAGTGTGACCGCAGCCTTTCCTCTTCTGCCAGCTGCTTCTCGCGCCCGCAGTCCTCCGCTTCACACACTCGCCTCTGCATGCGACACCTCTCAAGGTAAACATTTTATAAAATTTCAAGATAAATTCTAAAACTTTACAATGTTCTTTAATATAAAATTTAGACAAATTTCAACACTTTTAATTGTCTGAAATAATGGAAATCAATTAACTTTCTTATCTGTACACTGAGAAAAGTTTTTACCGAAACGTTTCCATTTCAATTAATAGGAACAAAAATCACCTTGATGATTTTAATGGCATGATTGTTCTGGGTGAACGAGGTTTTAGTTAAATTTTAGAAATTTTAAGAATTCTTGCTTGGGTTGATTTGGAGGATTTTTTTTCAGATGCAAATATAATTTCTTGAAATTTTTGACACCACCATACAATATCTCGACGGAAATTGTATCTAAAGCATGCTATAGGATTAAAAAAAACACTGTAAATTTGACTTAAAATATTTTTTCAATTATTAATTTCATTACTTCAAATTAAACTGATTGCCATAATGATTAGAGAAATATTAATTTAATTTTGGGTTGAAATAATTTTTGAAATAATAAACAATTAAATGAGCCCTTTACCTAACCACAGAAGCATCAAACTTTCCTTGTGCAAAACATCAAGGAAAACCAACAAACATAATTAACGTGTCTCTGCGTTTGCGTCGCTTGCGCATGTCTCAAGACGCGCGGCGACCTGAAAATTGTGAAAATCTCGGTGTCTGCGCGATGATGATGAAAAGTCATTATCCACCATAAAACAATTCCTGATCTCCGTCTCGCCTGCGAGTGTGCAGCGGCAATTTATTCCGCGTATGCAATTATAAAGTGCAGTTATGGGGCGGAAAACCGAGTGGCCGAGGCGCTTTTTATTTTATTCTCCTCCGCCTCTTGCTTTTGCCGAGGAGAGCGTAATTACTAGACCTTGCCGCGCACACGAAAGACCGAAAATTTCATTTCAAACAAACAATCCTCTCGGACACGGCGAGGCTGTTTTTTTCCACATAACGCGAGAGTTGTTCTCAATTTCATTGAAAGTGGCGTCCCTTTTGTAACAAGAAGTGAGAAGTGTGAAAGTATCGAGTATCAGTTTCGATTTGATCGCTTCATTCTCACTAACGGCAAAAACATTACGCATATTCCAGCCTTCAAATTCAGAAACAATATTAAGAGAGAGTATGTTTAGTTTTTACGTGCGTTTTTTTTGTACTTGAAATCAACAAACAAATCAAAAGCGATTTACTTCAGTCAGTTTGCTCAATAAAATGTAGAATTTTTTTTTTATAAATTTGTATGATTTAGGGAATAAAAATAAAATGATTAACCAGATTTTAGTATTTTTTTTTCAAATTGCAAAATTTATAATCTTACAAGTTTCATTCTTTGGTAAACTATAAAGGAAAATATTAACAAAATGTTTTTATTCTGAAGAAATATTATTTCAAATTTTATGAGGGCAATAATTCTTGGTATTTTTATTTTCCCACAGCATAAAAAATGCAATTTTACAAAAATTATCAGCATGCATTTTCCTTTTTATGGAATGATGTGTTCTAATGAAATTGTAAGCCTGACTTTTAATTTATATAAAATTCTGAATTAGATTTAAGTCAGGCAAACATTTCAAGCAAGAATATCAATTGTTAAATAGAATTTTGCAGATGAATTAGTATTATTTGAAGAGTTTGTGTTTTATTACATAAAGATTAAAGATGATCTCAATTTAATTCGATTTTAATCAATTTAAAATTTAATACTTTTAACTTCATAAATAAGAAGGTAAAAAATTAGCACCTTATTAGTGTACTTATTATTGAAGAATTGATTTCACTAAGCAAATACAGAACTTTCCAGTCCGTTTTACATGCGAGAAAAAATTTGAGTCTCGTTATACAGAAACCGACAGAAATGAAGCACTCGATTTGTCTGCTCATCTCAGATTTCATTCCCGTAAACAGTCAATAAGAAAAAATTATTTTCATTTTTTTATGTTTGTTTTTAATACCTCGGAACCTTAAGTTAATTTTATTGAGTAACAAATCTGAGCAACCTGCTCTCTGCAGCGGCGTGAATTAAAAGAGCTGCGCCGAGTGTTTTACAAGAAAATGCCTCTCTCGCTCATGCAACTCTCTTTCTTTGGAACGGCCAGGTTAAAAACAAGTAGACGCGTATTGCGTGGTCTCTCTTCTCGTGCTGATATATTCTCACAAATTGCCTTCTTGTGTAAAAGTACATGCGAAAAAGTGTTTTGTTGCCGCGCACAGGTGATTAATCATTTTCGTCTCTCCGATTTTCCAACGAGAGTAGCGGCACTCATTTAACCCATCTGACTGCACACATTTGTGTGTGGGAAGAACTGCTTTTTCATAAATTTCGTCCACGTCACACTTCGACTGTCTCGATTCCATTTCGCCTCCATTAAATTTGATTGCGGGCGTGCCGAGTGCATTTCTCGGGTCGTAGTTACAGAAAATAATAAATATACATATATATAAATAATGAAATGAGGTGCACAAAAAAACTTAGTTGTGCAAGATGAGAAAACCTTATTTTGTTTAAAATTAAAATTGACTCTTAATATTTAATGAGGAAACATAAATAGGTTAATTTTTTTTTTAACTTTCAAGAAACTAAATGGAAAAATGGTCCATTGAACTATTCGTATAACTATTGATAAAAGTATCAAATAAATAAATTTGAATAAGACCTGCTTTAAAAATTGGCTTTTATTTTATGCAATGTGCAATTTTATGAATAATATTTTTACCTCGTACTTAAAATAACTTGAGAAATAGCTCTTAATATTAAAATTTTTATTAAATAAATTACACAGTAAAAAGTTTTATTTTTAAATACGTCTGCAATTAAACCTTTTTTGCATCAAAAACTTTTAACCCTCCTTTGTTTTCTACCCAGCAATCTACAGTCAATAAATCTGTTTGTGAGTGGCAGCAGGTCTAATTAGGAGCAAATTTTGTTTCAGATAAACAAACCCCGCCGGGAAGATGTTGGCCCAGCTGTGCAACCCCCTGATGGTGCGGCGCTTCAAGCTGCACCCTTCCGCGCCAGGTTGGTTGCGAGAAATTAGCTCTTTTTTTTAATTTCCTGCCCACTCTCGCATGCGCGCGGCTCCTTTCAGCCTGATTTTTTTTGGCTCTCACGGCGCGCAGCTCTCGGTCGTAAAAAAGAAACAATGCAAACCGCTTTTTATGGCTGATTGACTAGCATGAGAGCATAATTTTGGGCGAGCCTAAATAATATTGCTCTCCGTGAAATAAACTGTGGGTTTTTCTTTCGTTCTCCTCAGCTGCGCGTTTTTTCTCGCAAGACGAGGGGAAATATGATGAAGAAAAAATGTGTAATTTAGAAAATTTTACGATTCTCCAAAATCCCTTTTATCGCACCCAGCATAAGCATAAAAATATAATTTATTACCGATTTCGGTGAGAAATGAAGAGAAGGCGTTCCTGTGATGTCACGAAGTAGCCTCTCAGCCACTAATAATGAGCCGGGGTAGCCGAGGTCACTCGTGACTGACTGCGTGCACTCTTCGCATCCAAACCCAATGCCCACCGCACCAGTCCAGCGGATCCCTGGTATAATTTGTTTTGCAGCGCGTGCACTTGCTTCGAACCAAACTATTGACATCTCAGTCTCTCTTTTTTTATTTCAAAATAAATACAAGATTTCGATTTACCTCAAAAGTGTAAAAGAAAAATCTTGAGCCAGAGCTTACAAAATATTTTTTGTGTTTAATATTTGTAGAAATCCGCTTGGATTTTTAGTAAGTTCTTGAAACTAAAATTTATAGTAGATGTGTAAAAAAAACGAAAACTCTTATGATATTTTTCAATGTCATTAAAGAAAATATTATTAAAATTTTGATGGAAGATCTATAGTAAATTTAGTGTCTGTCTTTGCGACAAATCAAGTTGAAGTTTTTTTTAGCCTTTTTGCTCAAAAATAAACAAAAATATTTAATCAGTTAATTATTTTTTCCAATGATTTAATGATTTAGATTTGGCAGATGCAGTCTTCTCTAATTTTTGTGGTCTTTCAAAACATACACGTACATAATTATTTTGTGCCTTTTTCTTCTGGAATTTGTAATATTGTGGGTGAGTTAGGTGAGTATAAATCTAGCAAGAGAAATGTATGGAAGTTTATATATAATTAAATCGTCCAGCTTTCCCGTTTGGATTTATTTGGTGTCGGGGAGGAATTTTGATCAATCAGTTGTAAACTTTGGATAATTACTGGCGAGCCGCATTAAATATAATCGCTTTTCAAAGAGTCGGCGGCCGAGTGTGAGAACTTCCAAGGGGGAAAGAAGATACAGATGGACGCATATATTGTTTTAGGAAGATGTTGTGTGGGAGGGCCAACGAAATAAACGCACGCGAGCTAGGCAGGGGAAGGGAAAAATTACCGACTTTGAGTTTAAAAGGTCACGGTCCGAGGTTATAAATGTTGGCATCAGCAGAGTCTACACACGGCTCCTCCGCCAATAATTAGAGGTTTATAAAGAGCCGATCCGTACCTTCGGGTCGGCCGGGTAGGCGGAGGAGGAGAAGGCAGGGTTCTTCCACACGTTGGTTCGCACGGTTCAAAAATGATGCTGGAATGTGGAAAAATAATGATCAGAAAGAGAGGAGCTCGCGCAACCCTTCCATTTAATTTCCTCGATTATTATAATGTTGGGTGGTACACGCTGCGAGCTGGTGGGGATGTCTTGTACACAATGTTGAATCAAAAAACAGACAATTCGCTCAGTTTGCTTCGGGTCCGTGTCCTGACCGCATCACCCTTTAACCGGTATACAAATAATTACAACAGCCGAATCATTTTTTTTTTAAAGTTTCATTTTCACTAAAATTTAAAGTTTTCCCAAATCAAATTTTTTAAATATTTGATTCTGCTTCAGAGGGTCGAAATAAAACCCAATGGCGGCATTCGTGGAGCAGTTTGGCTGTGGAAAACAATCATAATGCTGATGGTGGATTACTAGAGAGAAGAAGCCAACAGGATTCGGATTCAGAAAGTGATGAGGAAAACAGACGTCAAGTAAGTAATTGCAATGCCAGTTATTTTGGTTCTTACAATAAGTAGGCAATTTATTGAATTGATTTTTTGTTATAAATAATTTTGTTGAATTTATTACTGATTTCTCAATTTAAATTTTTACTTTCTATAGATTTTGAGAATTGAGAGTTAGATTTTTTAAACTTTTAAAATGCAATTTCAAATAATGTAGCTGGAGAATTTAAAAAAAAAAAATAATAATAATAATAATAATTATTGGTATCTGCACAGAATATTTTGTCAATTTATTGAAGTGGTTAGTTAAATAATGCCTTTTAGTCCTTTTATAACAAAATAAATTTAAGCGACGGTAACCCATAGTTTTGATTACTTTTATCAATCTTTTTTATTCATTTTTTACTGTATTTATGGAGTAAATATTTTCAAATTATTCTCAAAGCATAAAAAATAAAAATAAAGAAAGTATAAATTAAACAAATTTTGTGAATTTGAAGTAGCTCTCCTTGAAACATGTATGTACAATGACTGATTGAATCTTAAAGAAATATAAGTTCATTATGACCGATTATAAAACAAATGTCGCGTGTCGACGAAATTGGAAGAGAATGCAAGCACGCATGGATTTGCGCAGGGCTTGTTATTTCTCTCATAATATGGAACTAATTAAATTGTAAAAAGAGTAATCAATTGTGTCCCCAAGGCAATGCTTTGCGGCTAACATGGCGCAAGAGCGAAAAAAATAATTAAGTTGGAACAAGGCACTGCTTGATGTAGGCCAATCAGTGCCTTTAACAAACACAAATAAAAACAGCACTGCACGCTGTGCTTATTGCCGTAAAATGCTGCAGCTAATTAGCGGTGGCAGTAATATGTGATAGAGAAGAGCGCGTGTCCAGTCATTTATCTGTACTTGTAATTCTGCTGGACGTTGACATCATCTTTAAATCACTATTTATTGCAAGCAAATAAATGAATGAGTTATTTAATTTTTTTTTTTTCAAATATTGCTCTTTAATCACAACCACTAGATTGCCAAAACTTGTAACCGAAATCAAATCTTTTTAATTATATTTCTTAAAAATATTTAAAAAAGTAAATTCCGCATTTTATATTTTGAGCTATTTTCTCCATAAATCAGCACAATAAATTTATAAATTAAGATTAAATTGATCTTAAAACGCAATCAAAATTACAACTAATTTATTTAAAAGATTTGGGTAATTATTTATTTATTAATTATTAAAAATTACGCAAATTAATAAAAATTTACATTCATCTCCACGACAAAGTCTAAACGTAGCGCTTGTCTGTGATCAAAACATTGTTTTAAAGAAAATTAATAAAAAATGTATGATTTCCAATTTACATCCTTTATCAAATTGAAATTTAGTTTAATTGATTTAAAAAATATATATTATAATACTAAAAAAAAAAATTCAAATTAAATAATCTTTTTAATGAATATTACAAAACTTTCGTCCATAGAGTTTACTAATTTATTTTTCATATTTAAAAATTACTCACAAAATTAGTAAATTAAGGTTAATTTTCAGGGTCCAGACCTTCTGCAGGAGTGCTGGAATGTGAGGCGCGAAGACGAGTGCCTGAGCGAGCCTGGCACCAGCGAGCCCTTGTACGACTCAATCGCCAGCCTAGCAATGGGGCAACGAGCCTCTTCCACCTCCTCCCTGCACGCCCCCGCGCACCGCCCCCGGGGACCAGCGCTGCCTCCGAGCAACAAAGTGTCCCTGACGTGGGCCCTTCTGCGCAAACCAAACCACGACCTTTTCGAGAAATCGGCGCCCAAGAAGCAAGTCGTCGAACCGCTGCTTTTGCAGACAGGCCGACACCAAGAACAGCAAAAGCAAACCCAAAAAACCTCAAGAAACTACCAAACTTCGAGTCAGTCGACGAGCAGCAGGTCACAGTCGTCGCGAAATAGCCGCTCCTCCTCGAGCTCCATGAGGAATTTTGGATATGACATTCACGACGTCGATGAGTTTTTATCAAAAGTAAGTTAGTCAGGGCAAATAAATTTTTTTAAATTATAAAATTTAAAAGTAATTTTTGCTTATAAATTTTTAAGAGAAAATTGTTAAAAATAATTTTTTTAGTTAATGAATTATGAGCAAGTTTAAGAAAAACAAATTACATAACAACGAACGATTTTTACCTTCACTTATGAGTATTTAAATATAAATATTGGCTAAATGTTTCAGTACTTTAATAAATTTCGCACTGACACTGACATTTAAAAGGATTTGTTTAAGATATATTTTTTTTAATTTGAATTATGTCGTGGTTTCTAACTAATGTTTGAAATTTCAATCAGAAATATGTTCAATTCTTAATTTATAATTTGACTCTTGTTTTATTTGCACTTGAAAGATTTTCTAAAACGTCAAAACATTCATACAATTTAAGCAATTAAAAAGGCAAAAATAGAGAAAATTAACAAAGCCAACCCTATTTTTCAAATTTCAAATAGATAATTGATTTTACTTAAAATTTACCCGCGGGAAAGTCAATTTTTGGAAATTTATTCTGATTTAAGTCTTATTTATTTATTTAAAAAATTTCAAAGGTCACACGTCACACGTCGCCTTATTTACTTGTGTATATTTAAATTTTTTAAACTAGCAAACGTTTCTCGGTGTCGATTCTAAAAAATATAAATTTATTTGATCTGTTTTAAATGATTAAATACAACTGTAATTATTGTTTTAGGCGTCTCTGCAGAGTCCAGCAAACATACCCGTAGTCTTGGCCACGCCGTGCGTGTTGTACCAATCGGGAACGCGCCGCAGCAAGTCAGGTCGCGGCACGTGGCGCCAGAGCGAAATCTCGTTGCCCCTGGGCATGGTGGTGAACGCAGTTTTCCGCAACCACACGTGGCTCTTCGTGCACACACCCCACGGCGAGGCGGGCTACGTTCGCTACCGTTCCTGCCTGCCCTTGGGAATTCTGCCCAGCCCCGTCAACTCGGTTCCCGGCACGCCCGCCCCCGGGGCTTGGGACACGCACACGGATGCCTTCCTTCCGCCACCCCTTCCTCAAGTAGGGATGTCCGGCAAGGTGCGTCGAGGGGCCGCTAGTGTCTGCGAAAGACTTCCCAAAAACAAGACTGACATGGAAAAGTTGCGGGACACTGTATCTGAGTGCGGAGCCGGACGGTCTAGGCACCGCCACCGCCGGGCCCAGAAACCAGAGGCCGCCGTAGACAGACTCTTTTTGGCGGCCCAACGGTCTGAATCTGAAAGTGCGAAACATCGAAGGCCCCGCAGCAGTGTTGAGACCCTGTTGAAGGACGCCGAGTTGAGTTCTAGACGTTTCCGAGCCGGGTCTGCAAATCTGGACTCGGTCAGCGTTAAGGACTCCGTGTCTCAAGTGGGCGTTCGGTGTCCCAAACCAAAGTATTCAAGCAAGAAGATGGACAAACTGGAGGACTACCAGTTCCGAATCGAGCAGAACCTGAACCAGCTGAAGCCGAACCACCGGACGATCGCCCTGCAGACTGATTTTGAATATGATGACAGTTTGGTCAAGGAAACGGTATCTGAAGTGGGACGGTTCAAGAGAAAGGAGGTTTCCAAGTCGAGGGCGGTTTCTGAGTGTGGGGCCAAGTGCAGACAGTCGAGCCGCGCCCCGTCCAGTGCGGCGCTCAGTGAAGTGCAAATGAAAACGGAGACTTTGCTTTTGATTCGATCCAACTACAACAGCCGAGGAAGGAACACCCTGTCAGTGTCCAAGGGGGACGTGGTGGTGCTCGTGAGCTCGCGCTTGAAGGACTGGTTTTGGGTTAGGCGGACTGATGGCTGTGAAGGGTTCATTCCGGCTGTGGTCGCCGGACACGGATTTTTGTAATTTTTATGTTAAAATAAATTTGATTTTCATGACTTTCCTCTATTTTGAATCAGATTTTTACATTTCACTTCTTGTAATTGAAAGTCAGGATTTGGTCTCTGTAGTTGAAGTTCGTGCAAAAGTCGATTTTGTGGCTCGAGCCGGCCATGCACATCACTTTGTGCGGAGTCTCTTGGTAAGCCAGCGAATAAAGACATGTTGCCGAAAGAGGAACTTCGGCCAAAACGCCGCCAGTCAGACTCAGGTGGGTCATGTGGTTGGAAGCGCCGCCGGCAAAAATTCTATCGCCGTACAAATCGGCAACATAAATACCTTGGTCCTCCATGTTTGTGTATGTTTCAGCCAAGGTCATTGACCTCAGATGCCAAAGAGACAAATGAGGACCTCCTCCGCAAACCTGTTAATAAAAATGGTGTTTAAAAATGTAATTAAACCAAGCATTTTTCATACGAGCCAGTCTTCGTTAAAGGAGGCAGCTCCCAGCCACTTGCCGAGAGATGGTCTGGCCAAAGATTCGTGTTTGTGAGGAGCAATGGTGTGCACCTCCTTTTTTCTCCTAGGGTCCCATATTCTGGCAGTTCCATCTTCGCTGGCCGACAAAATTTTTCCGCCACTACAAAAGAATGAATTAAGCAATTTGATTTAAGAATAAGAAGGCAAAAGTTAAATTACAAGTTGGAAACACTGTGGATGTAGTCTTCGTGGCCATCGAAGGTCTGCACCAGTTTGCCTTCTCCGAGATCGAAGCCGTAAACGTTGTTGTCGCCACAGCCAGCGTAAATTATCTCTCGGTTTTCTCTCAGACTGAGGCTGTTCACATCTGGTTTGTCTACATTATCCCTAAAATGAAATAAATTTAAATGTCGAAAATGATTCAAATTTTTCTCCAAAATATACTTTGAGGGTGGAATATTAAGTGACCAAGAGAGCTCAGGTTTTCTCTGTTTCAAAACCGAGTCCCACTCATAGCCCAGAATCTCTCCAACCGTCCCGATGACGAGGAAATCTTCGGTGGTGGCCAAACTGCTGATCTGACTGTCCGGACAGGGAGTGAAGCCAAAGACAGGCGTGCGGAGATTGCGTTCGTTAGGAACTTCTGCTGGTGCGATGACCTTCGGAATACTTCAATTTTTTTTTACAAATTAATAAAAGTGCTGCATAATAATTATGAAAGAGAAAAAGGCATAGTTATACTCACTTAAAAACAGCGATTTCTCCGTAGGTGTTTGCAGCAATCAGGTAATTTCCGCATGGCGAGAAGGTTTGGGATAAAACCGTCGTGTATATAGATTTGTCAGTCATCTCAACAAGAATTAAGACCAGTTTTCTAAGCCTAAATGTACGCTTTCCTCTTATTTATCGCGAATTTTCTTTAGAATTTGTGCACTTATGCAGTGCACCGAGACTGACTTGATAAATCTGAGAAAAACAATAACAAATCAGCAAACGAAACACTACACACAAAACTGACACAAAACACAAAAACCGGCAGTGCTTTGATTGGTTGATCGGTTGATGATTTCAACCAATGGCAAAGAAGATTTTTTGTGATTTTTTGTAGATTTCGGTCAATTTGAGTCCATCTAGCGTCGGATGTTAGAAGCTGGAAATTGGGTTGGAGTAGCGGTAAACTTGGAATTTTGGCCGGTGTATACTTGAATTCGCATATATGTATATAATTTGCGATAATTTGGTCAGGGAGAAGGATGACGATGAGAGATTTGCGTCGTTGCTAAAAGCTGCTTTTCACATTCTGCTCTCTTCACTGGCGCACTGACTGCCTATAATCACATAATTCGTTTGTATTTTTGGTAAGTATATTTATGGTGATTTGAATTTAAAATCGGCCTTTCCTCGATGGGTTTTTGTGAGTTGTTTATTGTTTCAGAAGGATATTGTTTTTTCTGAAACAATAAACAACTCACAAAAACCCATCGAGGAAAAGCCGATTTTAAATTCAAATCACCATGAATCAACCCTCTATTGTGAAATTCTACCACAAAAGTATATTTCGTTTGATTTTTGTTTGACGGCGCGTCACAATAAATAAGAGCGAGGAACAAAGCGGCCAAGTTATTTATTTTAGTTTGAATTTTGGTCCCTTTACTTGCAAAAAACATAGTTTGTACATTATATTCAGTCATTAATATCATGGAATTGTCGCTAGCCTGCGGAGGTTTTCGAAAATGGAATCTGCAGCGGCCGAAATTGCAACACCAGTTGTGAAAGGTGGTGACAAGCGCAAGAAAAATCTGAAGGACCGGAAGGACGAGGACGAGCAAAGAATCCATCGAAAGCTGGAGGCTCTCGAAAAGGGAGAAGGAACGGACTGTGTCTTCCTTGTGGGAAGCGATGAAAATACAGCGCAGGTGACCAAAATCACTTGTAGAAAATAAATATATATATGATTTGACTTTTATGTTTTGATAAAACGAGAGTATAATTTTCATGAAACAGATTATCTAATTCTAGACTTTCCATGCCTTGAAAATTGATTTGTTTGCTGGTAGCGAGTACTTCAGAAGGCTTCTTGAGAGCCCTCTGACTCCTACTGAAGGACCTATTAGGTTGAAACTCACTGAGCCTCACTTTTTTAAAATGGTCATGGAGTAAGTGAACTTTTAATTAAGACAAAACTTTTAACCACCTAAATGCAAACAATATCCAAATAGGCATGTGCACGTATATCGCCTTCAAACCAAGGTGGTCAACTTGGATGATGCTGTTGGTTTAGCCCTGGTTGCTGACGAATTCATGATTGAGGAGTTGGGTGTGCAAAGCGCTGTCTTTGTTTTCAAGTTTCTCAGTCCACGCACTGTGTGGGAATTGTTTGAGAAATTCGCAATAAATAAATACATTGTATCTGCCTGCAAAAAGGTATATTTGTATGCACTACTATATATTTTGAACATTTTTATATTTATGTTTGTGTTTTTTTTCTAGTTTTTGTGCCTGAGGACACGTGAATGCTTTTATGCCGACCAATTCCTTGAAATTCAACTGGAAACTTTGGTATCGTTCCTAGCCATTGAAGAACAAATGAGTATCAAGTCGGAGGACGAGTTGGTAAATGCCTGTGTTAAACTAGCTCTTTCAAAGAATGGAGAAATCGAAACCAGGTTTTTTTTTTGCTAAAAGAAATTTTAAATAATTTTTATATCCCTAACCTACAGATCCATTATTCGAGCTGTCATTCCGCACTTACGACTGCAGACCTTGGATGAAGATGATCTGGTGCCTCTTTCACAGTGGCTGACACTTGAAGAAAAGATTTTCCTTACCTTAAAAAAGCACAAACTGCCTCTACTCTTTGAAACAAAGCCCTCGAAGCCTCCCACAATTTGCTCCATCAAGGTACCTCGGACGTCAATGAAGACCCTAACCTTAATCCCTGAGAGCGTCTTGCTTAGCAACAGTGCCAAAGATTGTCTTAGGAGTGGCAAGTTTAGACAAATCAAGGCGGGTGAAAAATTCATTCTGTCCTTCGAAGCCAAGCAGACGGTAATCATCCATGGCTTTGATGTCATCACACCTCTGTTCCACTTTTCAAAAGAAAGGCAAGAAAATTAATTAGGATTATTATATTATTATTTATTTTAAGAAACAATATTTGCATTATGTGCATACATATCGCTTGCGTCGCGCGCTTTTGACCGACGTGCCATTAAGGTTAACATAATATGGGAGTGATGGTCAAGCGCGCGCGGCAAGCTATTTATTTAACTAAACGCAGAAAAGATAAATATTGATTTAATATATTATATATAATATCTTTAAAACCTGAAATTTTATATTTTAGATGGGAAGCAGATACATCTTGTATTGGAAATGAGAAAACACCATACAATGACATTTCATGGAGAGCTAAAATCGCAGTATCTAACAAGGAGATGGACTTTGAAGAAACGTTTGAAAATCTTGGACGCGAATACGCATACGAAGGCAAATTTTTCACTAACTCGTGGATGCATTTTGACTACCCTGTTATCGTAGTGAAAGGATCAACGTTCTCTTTGTCAATTTTGCCAACGGAGAGGGAGGGTATCTGCCTTAGGGAAGTCCTGGGCAATTTTGTATTCAATGAAATTCTAGAATGGAATGACTCAACCATCGTAGAACCTTTTCAAAATTTTCACATTTGCCAGCTGAGGAAAGTTTACCAACCTGATCATGCACGTATTAATAATAGTAGCATGCATGAGGTTGAACTTAGTGACATTGAAAATATGCAGGAAGAACCAAGTGCAAATCCAATTTGCATTGTCAAGGACATATTTTACCATGTGGTGTAGTCCAACTCAATCTCGGCAGTAAATTGAAATAGTATGTCAATATTGTCAATATATGCCTACAAAAATTAACCTTTATTGTTATAATTGTTACTTTAAGACCTGCGCTACGTCTTTAGATGATTAAAAACTATGCAACTAACTATAAAGAAATACCTCAGCTGGCTCTGTTTCTTTTGTTTTTGTTTGTCTTAGAATATTTTTGCTTTTGTTTAAATTTGATCACAACGGATGTCTAGAAGCATTATTTTCTTTTAATAAGAAGTTTGTGACAAAAATTCTGAATACACAATTCTTGGCAATCATAACATTTATTTGTTATAAATATACTAATAATAGTTGATAAGTTTTTTGCAGCCTCTTACTCTCTTATTATATTCTAACTAAAATTACAGGATTATTATATGTTGTGAGCATTATCATTTATAGACACAGAATATAATATAAATATGATATATAGTTGAATTAGTGAAAGATATTTTGTTTACACAGATGCATAACGCACAAAGAAAGTGGTGAGCGGCGGGTGAGAAATAAGGGAGGCTGAATGAAAGACAAGTACCGGGTATTGTGCCCTGAGTATTTGAAACTGTTAAACGATATGAGAATAAAAATGTTAAATAAAATGTTGATACTATTTATTTTACCCTTCAATCTATAATATTCTACTTCAAAATAATAATAATAATTAATAACACGAGAAAATGCATTTTCAAACCCACTTCATTTATTTCATTATTTCAATCTACCTACCCCTTGAATATCCAAAGCGGTTTGATTTTTATGTTCGTTGCGAGCAATGCTTTTTATGTTCCATCCGCGTCTTGCTTCGGACACATTAAAATGCAACTATAGGTATAAATGGGAACATTTTCAAAATCAAGGCTTATTTGTAGAACCAAGGAATTATTTTCAAAATATTTTGCTTGAAATTGTTTTTTCATCGTGTGAAGCGTGCGGGTTGGTTTTTATGTTCCAGCTTATGCATCTTTGTGAACTTTAGCAGAGCGCCTGCAAATGACGATGTATGCAACCTGCGTTACGCGATTGCACAGCAAATTGCATAACCTTGCCTTTATTCTTTCACTTTTATTATCATTTATCCTTGATATGTTCATTACAATTGTTGCAAAAATACCAATAAAATGGTACTTATAATTTTAAAATACAAAAATAATTAAATCAATTAATACTCTAAATTCACCAAATTCAATAATAAAAGCCTCTTTTATTATTTACTCAACAAATTTTATTTTCAATATTTTTATACGCATTATTCATTAATTTGTGGGTTAGGGGCAAAATTTTTGTTGAAACAAAAAAGAATCATTTATAAAAAATTAATTTAATTTTTACATGGAAAATATTTTTTGGAGCAACCACGGGCGCGGCTGTGGCGCTGCTGTTTGTGCGGAGTGGTGCGGACTGCGGAGCAGAGTGGCGTCGGTAGCGCCGCCAGACGACGAGCGGCGGCGAATGGCTGAATTAAAAAGAAAAAGATTCTGAGCGAGCGAACGGAAAAGCCAGAAATGGCCACCTAGTCGAGTTGTTTTCGATTTATTAGCGCAAGAGTCGAGTTCGCCGCGCCGGTGAGGCATCGTAAGCGCGCAATTAGATCCTCGGGCCGGCGCCTGTCGCGTTCGGACGTCCCATGGAGCCGTCCGCCAACCGCAGCCGCCGCTCTTTCTTTCCGGACATTCCCTGGCCAACATGGCGGTGAGTCGCGCGACTTGAATGCTCCTCCTCGTGCACTCGCACCCTAACAAAATTGCTATATTAATGATCTTCGTCTTGCCCACTACCGGTCTTCGGCTGAAATTTTTCGTAAATTCGGAGTTTACAATCGGCCTTCGCCGCCCACGGCCCGTTCCAAGTTCGAGACGTGCGTCCTCGACGAACCGGCCGGAGCGCGGCAAAATTTCGCCGGTCAGCTCATACAACCTTCAGCGCGGCCCCTCATTCACTTTCAACCCCTTATCTTTTTGGAAAAATTAGAAATCCAAATTTTTAGCTAAATCAACATTTTTTTTCCTTGAAAAAATTCCCCTACCTGTTATTTTTAACAATAATTTTATTTAAAAAAAAAAATAACTTTAATAATGATTAACTGAATTTTGTCAAATGAATTACAAAATTATGTACTTTGATTTATTTTTAAGAATAAGAACTCCTGAAATTCAAAATCAAATTATTTAAAAGATTAAATCAATGTAAAGTAAATCAAATCGGAGTTTGAATAACTATTATTATGATTATTTCAACAAAATCTGCAATTTTGATATTTATTTGAGGTATCTTTTGCAGATTTTGAGGTGCTGAAATGAGGGCACCAATCAACCAGCAGCCTCGGAGGCCCATTGTGGTCTCTGGCACTGCATCAGCCACCCAAGAACACAGCCCGCAACAGGTACAAATCGTTAACTTCGGTTGGGCTTTTTCACTAATTTTGAATGTGATTGGCTGTTGATGCAGGTTGTCGGTGGTTCGGCAGCTGTTCGACCTGCAGGCCCTGGGATGGCCCAGAACAGCCCCCGCTTGCCCCCTCCCTTGGCAGGGGGCAACTCGGAGCTTTTAGGCCGTCCCGTGGTTTCGAACCTGGTTCCTCAAGGACGACCGTCGCCACTCCCCACCACTTCAGCGGCCGCCAGTCTCCTGAGGCCAACGGCCGCTCTTACACCAGTCAGACCTGCCATTTCCGCACCAGTCTCTGCCCCCGCAAGGTTTGTTTCATAAGATGTATTGATTTTTTTTAACAATTAATAACATCGAAAAGTTTTGATTTTTTAAATTAAAAATGAATTGTAATACAGCATGGAACCAACTACAAATTTTTGAATAATAAGAGTGTACAATATTTTTACAGAAAAAGGCTGTACTCGGGTTCAGGGGAAAACGAAGAGCCTCCGAGTAAGAAAAAACGAATTTTTTCCCATAAAACTACAGCAATACAGTCGGCCAAGGACTCGTACAGCGATTTGGTCACGGAGTATTTTTTCCTAAGCGTCAGTCTGACCTTTGGTAATCCATGTCATGGAACTAATTTTGAATTGCCAACAGACTGGGGGCAACATAATGGACTACCAGTTGTTCTGTAAGCGGCCGTCGCAGCAGTTCTATGACTATTGCAAGGCGCACAAACTGGATGAGACCGACTCAGTGGTTAAGACTGTTGCGGACAACAAACCCTCCACGCCCTCCACCACCCTGATTGAATCCAGTAAGAAATCAATTTTTACCTTTGAATTTGTATTAAACCTTATGCGGAATAGAAGCTGCACTGACAACAGTGCGGATGCCTCCTGCAAAAGTGCAGGTGCTGGCCTCGAAGCAAATGCAGGGTGGGACGACACCGACCTTGAGTGACGCCTCCAGCAGCCAACAGAACAAACTGGTTGAGAAAGCCAAGCAAGAGGCGTACATAGTGCAGCGCATCAGTACATTGCAAAAGGAAGGGCTGTGGTCCGAGAGAAGACTACCCAAGCAGCAGGAGCCGCCGAGGGCCAAGGCCCACTGGGACTACCTGCTGGAGGAGATGGTCTGGCTTGCCGCAGACTTTGCACAGGAGAGGAAGTGGAAGAAAAATGCAGCCAAAAAGGTACACAATTGTTATAGAGAACAAAATATTTTTCTTAAGTTAATTGTTATTTAACCTGAATGGTTAAGCGCATAAAAAAATCTTGCAACATTGTCTTTTTGCTGAAAAATTCTTCCCCTCGTATTTGCAGTGTTCGAAGATGGTGCAAAAGTACTTCCAGGATAAGCAGATCCAGGCGCAGCGGGCAGAAAAGAACGAAGAACAGCGAATGCGAAAAATTGCAGGCTTTATTGCAAAGGAGGTGCGCAACTTCTGGGGCGATGTGCACAAGCTAGTTGAGTTTAAGAACAAGACTCTGCTGGAGGAGAAAAAGCGCAAGGCGCTAGACCAGCACCTCAGCTTTATTGTGGACCAGACTGAGAAGTACTCGTCACAGCTGGCAAAGGAGATGGGCCGCGCAACAGAAGGCAACTCGGCCACCAGTGTAGCGTCCGACGAGCTGCTCAACTCGGAGCTCAACTCTGACATTGAGTTCGAGCCAAATGCTAGCTCTGATGATGATGAGGAAACCATCGCCAGGGCAGAGGGCCAGGTTGAGGAGCGCGAACAAACGGAGGAGGTCAAGTTGCTTGAGCAGGAGGCTAACCTACCGCTCGATGACGTCATCAACTCACTGCCCCCTCAAGTCAGGGAGGCCATTATGCAGGGCAAGATGGCCACCCTCGACTCTGACAAGGAGGACCATGCAGAGGTATTAGCACGTGACTAATTTATTTTTTACTTGCAATTCCAATAGGTTTATGGAAAAATTTTATGCGCATTTAAAATTGATTTTGAGAGATAAATTTTACAATTAAGATAATTTTTAGACTTCTGCTAGTTCTGCTGCCCCCTTGGTTTAAAAATAGGTGCAGATATTACAAAAATCTGTATCTTTGAACATTGGGGAAAGAAAAATCATGCTTGAAAAACGCTGAGTGTGCACCATTGCACTCTTGGTACCAATCCTGCTGACACTCTAACTAAAAATACCCAATTTAAAGATTGAATTGGTTCCCTCTTTAAATTACTTTTATGAATTGCTTTCAGGAAGGGCAAAGGGATGATGATGATGACTTCGAGAGCGCCCAGGAGGATTCCTCAGATGATGAGGAGACCATTCAACAGCAGGAAAAGGATGAGGGTGCAGTTGACTACAAACAAGAGCTCCAAGAACTTGAGGTATTTTGAATCTGACAGTTTCAAGCTCTCAGAATTTAATAATTTTTTTGTAGGACGACAACAATCTGTCAGTAGAACAATTGAGAGCAAAGTATGATGCAACAGGAGACGGCGCTGAGCCAACCGAAGAAATGGACGTGGAAAGAGACAGTGACGACGAATCCGAGGCAGAAGAAGATGAGGCTGAGGAAAAAAATGGTAATTTCTAAAAATAGTGATGTATTTTACTCTAAATTGATTGAACAGAAGGAGATGAAGAGCAATCTGATGCAGAGGAATCTGCAAAGAGTGAGGATGAGGAATCTGACGAGGACGACCAAAACGAGGAGGAAGAGAAGGGTACTGAACTCAGCATGTTGCTTGAGAACTCTGTAAGTACTTATTTCCTAAAAAAATTGCACTGATGATTAATAATTTGCTCAGGAGGAAATGACTGACGTGGACAAGTTGGCGCACTCTGCTGAGGAGTATCAACCAAAGGGTTACACTCTGTCATCAACCAAAGTAGAGACCAAGGTGCCGTTCCTTCTGAAGCATGGCCTTCGGGAGTACCAGCACGTGGGTCTTGAGTGGCTGGCAACCATGTTCAACAAGAACCTGAACGGAATCCTGGCCGATGAAATGGGCCTGGGCAAGACAATCCAGACAATTGCTTTGCTGGCTCACCTGGCGTGTGAAAAGGGGCTTTGGGGGCCGCACCTGATCGTGGTGCCCACTTCGGTGATGCTCAATTGGGAGATGGAATTCAAGAAGTGGTGCCCTGCCTTCAAGATCCTCACCTATTACGGCTCCCAGAAGGAGCGGCGGCTCAAGCGCATTGGCTGGACCAGAGAAAATGCATTCCATGTGTGTATAACCTCGTACAAGCTGGTCATCCAGGACCATCAGAGCTTCCGGCGCAAGAAGTGGGTCTACTTCATCCTGGACGAGGCGCAGAACATCAAGAACTTCAAGTCGCAGCGATGGCAATTGCTGCTCAACTTCCAGTCGCAGCGCCGCCTCCTGCTCACTGGCACACCCCTGCAGAACAACCTGATGGAGTTGTGGTCCCTGATGCATTTCCTGATGCCGCACGTCTTTGAGTCGCACAAGGACTTCCGAGAGTGGTTCTCCAACCCATTGACCGGCATGATCGAGGGCCAAAACGAGTTTAATGAGTCTGTCCTTAAGCGACTGCACAAGGTCCTTAGACCCTTCCTGCTGCGCCGCCTCAAAAGTGAAGTTGAGCGCCAGCTGCCCAAGAAATATGAGCACATCACCATGTGCAGACTTTCCAAGCGCCAGCGCTACCTTTACGATGATTTTATGTCCAGGGCAAAGTGAGTACAAACCTCTTTATCTTACAAGTTATGTGTTCGAGATAAGACATTCCGATTTTGATGAAAGTTTGTGTGCAATTTCTGCTACCCTTAGGTACTTCAGAACGGCTAATAATTTTTGCCCTTGTTTCTTCAATTCTTCCTATGTGAAACCTCTGTAATTTGAATCACATTGGAAATTCAAAGGTAGGCAAAATATATACACTGCGGACGCTTTTGCTGCCTACATATTAATAGTTTTTTTAATCTGTATTAACATTCCAGGGAAAATTGGGCAAAAATTAATTTCCATTCCAGAGTCCCAAGTTGCAAACCAACTTTCATCAAAATCGTCGTGTCTCATCTAAAAAACATACCTAGTTAGAAATACTCAACTAAAATCATTTTCTTCTTTTTTTTCTTTCTTTATTCATTTTATTGCACTGTGATTCCAGAACGAAAGAAACGCTTGAGAGCGGAAACCTGCTGAGTGTGATCAATGTGCTGATGCAGCTGCGCAAAGTGTGCAACCACCCAAACCTTTTTGAAGTTAGGCCCATCATCTCCCCCTTCCAAATGGACGGCATAAGCATGCACATCCCCTCCATTGTGTACCACGCCCTTGATTATGACCATCTGAAGGACATAAACCTGAGTGCAGTGAACCTTTTACGGATAAACTTTGAATATACAACAACTGCCTATGTGGCACACAGGGTCAAAAGGTATGTGACCCCAAAGAAGTTGATTGAGGACATCGATCTGCAGCCAGAACCGCCTCCCCGGACGCCGCAAGGCAAAATCAAGCTGAACGTCAAGGCCAACCCAAGCAGTCAGGCAAGACCTGTAGCGGCTGTAGCAGCGCCTCAGGTTTTGCCTGGTACATCACCCATTGTCAAGCACCTGGCGCTCAAGACAGGCTCTCAGGTGGTGCTCAAGCTCAAAGGCAACGGCACCTCACCTAGTTTCCCTGTTCAGTTCATCCACAATGCTGATGGCGGACCTAAAGGTTTGTTCTTTCTATTGATTTGATCTTTAAAAAATGCTACAGGGACATTTAAACATTTTATAAGCAAATGTTAAGGAAAAATAGACAATTCACATTTTAATAGACTATTTGTCATTGGTCTAATTTCTTTTATTTAAAATTTTTAATTTACTTTTCAAGTAGAACTAACAACAAACAATAATAATGTCAGCCAATTTTAAATCTTTTTATTATACTTTTTGTGTGTATATGATATATTTTCCACTGCCAAAACCTAATAGTTCTGTATTTGCATAGCTGTTTCAGTGGCCCCAATGAATGTGGTGTCCTCATCTGGTACCATTGGTAGTAATCCCATCCTCAAAACAATTCAGAGAAGCACGACCACCTTCCCTCAGCTGGTGACCACGGCAGAGGGCAAGCACATTCTGGTGCCAGCGTCACAAAGCATTTCAAGCATTGCCGGTGGCTCAACGCCTCTTGGCACCCTGACTACCAGTGCAGGGCGCCCTGTTCTCAGAGTGCCGCCTATGCCAGCTAAACCTGCTCTGGCAACAACGCCCCTGGTCGTCAAACCAAATGCAGCTGCCTCCACTAGTGCTGTCCCTGGAGGCCCCCTCATCCGAACGACTATGTCTTCCATCACCCTGCAGCCCTCAAAGAGTCTGATAACCACCATGGCCGAGTCCGTCCGACTTGGTCTTGAAGTCCAAAAGCAGAAGTCACCTTTTCATTTGGTACTTTTTCAAAACTTTTCAGCTTTTTCTTCCTTATTTTTTCAATATCTAGATCGTGTTATGACTATTACATTCTACAGGCGGACGTGGAGGAGGCCAAGAAACAGGCGAGGAAGGACAAATTGAGTTCCTTGCACCGCATTAACGTCCAACACTGCGAGTCATGTCCACTGTTTGGTGCAGACCTGAGAGAGGCATGCAACATGATGCACTCTTTCGCCGCACCAGGCAGCGCCTTCAATCCCTTCAGGTGGAATGAGAGCAGTGGAATGATCAGTTGCCTGAAGGCGCAAGACGAAACCCTGCAGGATGAGTTGTGGGTAGTCACTAACGCCCTTAGAGACGCCATCTTGTCTCGCACGGTTAGACTTGATCAGCTCTCAGAAACAGTCAGCCGGTGAGTGTTTACACAGCAATTTGTTGTGTGATTCATTTGTTCATAAAGATAAACAAACGTAATTTGGATAATTTGGTTGTTTGAATAAGGTATGCTGAATTTAACTTTGAATTGCAGGTTTATGTTGTATGTGCCTGCGGTAAACGCGCCTGTGGCTCGACTGCACGCTTCACACGGCCACCCGTCCAAGTTGAGGCTGGAGGCGCTTCGCGAAGAGGCTCTTTGTCGAGAGCTTGCTCCCCGCGCTAACTTCTTGCATCCCATTGTCAACAGCATGAGCACCCAGTTCCCCGACCCTAGGCTCATTCAGTATGACTGCGGTGAGTGTTGAAAAAATTTAAAAAAAAAAAAAAAAAACAAGGACAAATTATGGTTATTATTGGTACATTATTGAGCTCTGTTGAGTTTTGACCAGCCGTTTTCACTATGAATTAAGTCAGTTTGAAATGTCACAATTTAATTTCACACGTCTCATACCGTGCGATTTTTCTAAATAAATTTTGTTTGCAGGCAAACTTCAGGTAATGGACAAGCTGTTAAGAGAGCTGAAAAGTGGCGGCCACCGGGCGTTGATCTTTACGCAAATGACTCGGATGCTGGACGTCTTGGAGTCATTCCTCAACTACCATGGCTATATCTACCTGAGGCTGGATGGTACCACCAAGGTTGACCAGCGATTGGTGAGTCTCAAATGAAATATTTTAAATGCGTTCCGATGAAAATTTGTGCGATTGAAGGTGTTGATGGAGCGGTTCAACAACGACAAGCGCATTTTTGCATTCATCCTGTCAACGCGGTCAGGAGGCGTGGGTGTTAACTTGACAGGAGCGGACACAGTTATCTTCTACGACAGCGACTGGAACCCAACAATGGACGCGCAGGCGCAGGATCGTTGCCACCGGATCGGCCAAACCAGGGACGTGCACATCTACCGATTGGTTAGTGAGATGACTGTTGAGGAAAATATCCTCAAAAAGGCAAACCAGAAGCGGCTCCTCGGTGACCTCGCCATTGAGGGTGGCAACTTCACCACTGCTTACTTCAAAAACGTAAGTTTGAATTCTAAATAGGAAAAGTGAAAACTGATTTTTACGAACAGTCAACAATCCATGAGCTGTTCAATGTAAATGTGAGCGAGAGCAGCGCCGCTCGACGGATGGCAGAAGTTCTTGAAAACACGCAGCAGCCAGAGGCCCTGCTCAAAGTGTATTCGGCCGATGAGGAGAGGCAGCAAGAAGAGCTAGTTACAGAGGTGCGTTGAATATATAATGCTGTACTTGATTTAATTGAGTGCTAAATTTGCATCTGAAATGTTTCCTCTTGGCCGAGATTTTAAGCTACAAAATCTGCTGGGAAAAATTTACCTGACTGATTTGAACTAAGTCACCCTCATTTAATTCAACTGATAGAATTAACATTTTTAATGCTACATTGAGCGCTTTTACTTAGAAGATAAGTTATTTTTTTTTTTTAAATAATGTTTTTTTCCTCAGGAGGAGGAGGAAGATGCTGTTGTTTCGAAGGACAGGGTGGCAGTTTGCAACCTGGAGAATGTGTTGGCTGCAGCTGAGGATGAGACGGATGTAATTGCCGCAAGAACAGCACGGGCAGAAGTTGCTGCTGACCTTGAGGAGTTTGACGAGAACCTTGTCGTTGAAGAGAACAGGGAGGCAGAAACACTGAGCAAGGCCGAGCAAGACATTCAGTACATGGTGGAGAAGGTAAATTTGTTCATAAATTTTCAGTGAAGAAATTATCTAAAAATATTTAATTGAATTAACTGCAATTTATAATTTTCCAGCTGTCTCCAATCGAGCGGTATGCAATGAAGCTGGTAGAGGAGAGTGAGGCGCCCGTGGCCGCAGAACAGCTGGCGGCTACAGTGGCTGAGATTGAGCAGCAAAAAAAGGAGTGGGAGGTGCAAAGACTGAGGGCCGATGAGGAGGAGCGACAGCAGCAGGCAGACGATACCCCTTCCGACCTGCTCACCTACTCGTCGCGCGACGCCCGATCTCAGGTTAACCCCCCCACTTGCCAACGTCGAGCGAGCGTTGCCTCGAAGCGCGCCGCTTCCCCTCCCCCTTCCCTCTCAGAGGACGTGCCCCGGACTCGGTCCAGGGGCACGGTCAAAATTAACCTGTGGACGCTGGACGAGAGTCCTTCGGGGCCCAAAGTGATCAAGGCCGCTGGGGGAGGCAAGGCCCGGAGCCCCACCACCCCCGAGGTCAATGGCACTGTCAAGCGAAAGGCGCCTAAGACCCCCGGGGGCAAGTCCGCTTGAACGCTTGAGTCGTTGTTTTTATTTTGATCCAAGATTGTGTGCCTCAAATGCAAAGACTTATTGTGGGGTGAAAGACGACCGAACACTGGACGTACGGACCGTTTAGTTCCTACCCGTGTGTAAGCAGGATGCAATAAAAGAGAAATGTTAAAAACGCCGTCTCTGGTCTTTCCTTGCCATTACCGAATTGTCTCTCCAAGTTTGTTGGGTTTGGATGGGAATGGTTTTACGCTCTCAGTTTTGGTGTCTACTTTTGCTCATGTGCTTGGACTGGTATGGTGATTCAGATTCCAGTGGCACCAAAACTTTCTTTACCCAGCCTTACCACGCCAAGCTTGGATATGCATTTTGTATGTAATGAGCAAGGACTGACACAAAAACGAGACGAAAACCCTTTGCACCCAATGCTCACAATCATATTTTTCACTCAATCATTAAGTCAGAATTAATAATTGGTTGTCAATAATGCTATCAAAAAAATCTTCCACTAAGATAGTTTAAATAAGAACAGTCAGTATTTAAAAACTTAGTACAGGTAATATATGTCTAAGTAAATCAATTAAAATTTAGTTCGTGAGGGTCTATAGTTTTAAGAGAAGCTCCAGTAATACAAATCTCGAGTCCCTTACTCATAACAAGAAAAACTTTTGAGCTTTTAGATTACACTAGTAATTTTTTGCAGATCTGGAAGTCTGGCGAGGAGGTCATGCCTGTAAGTATTTTGTAAAAGAAAAGTATCCAAGATTTGCTGAAGTGGTGCTTGTGTGGTAGATGTGGTGTCCGCCGACGCCTCCCCAGGAGACCAATGACGTCTACATTGATCACAACTTGGACCTGCTCTATGAAAACTCGCCTATGGCAGAGGAGCGGCTGCCGGGCGTGCACTCAAAGCGTGACCTCAAAAGGGTGCGAGATTACCTACCGGGGGGTGCCGCCAGTGACAGAGACCGCCGCCCATTCAACAAACTCAGGCGCACCGACGAGGTTGCCACAACAGGCTCACACACTCCAAGGTCTGAATCAAAACACGTTTGGATAAATTATGAATTTTATTTGGGATTGAACAAGAGTGGCATTTGCTGCAAAAAAAAAACTTATATGGGCAGTCCTTACTCAAATTATTTATTTGATGATTCAAAGTCTTCCAATTTTTACCTTAAATTTATTAATGATTGCATCAAATAAAAAATAATATAAATTTCAGTTAAGTCATTGTTTTGCAATTTTGCAATCAGTTTAAAATCAATTTATTTTTCAAATTCTACAGCTCGTTCAGGTCATTGTTTGACCGTCCGTCACCGGCACTGCTTAAGATCCGCAAAGAGTTGAAGAGCCAGAAAATAAGGGGAATTGGCGGAGCACCGCGAATTGCTTCGCTGGTGCCGTTTGCCTCAGGGCTGGTGGCAACGCCAAGGGCTTCGCCCACAGGCGGCGCCACCACCCAGCCTGACAACCAGCCTGCGTGGCTCATCTTTGAGGATTGGGCATTGCTGCAGGCCGTGCAGAGCATGCAGGAGATCAGTCTCAACCTGTTCATCATCAACCCTGGCCACACACCCAACTGGGACCTTGAGGCCGACATGGTGAACTCGGTCTCTCGCAACTACCGATCCCCTAAACAGTGCAGGGCCAGGTGAGGAGCAAAACCCCCAATACTCTAAACTCTGGAGTAAATTTTTCTTTCGTTAATCAGGTATGAGAGCGCCATCATCCCTAGGGAGGAGGGGCGCGTCCAGCACGAGCCTAGTCCCAAAAAGCTCAAAAAACACAAGAGTCTCCACAAGTCTCAACAGGTACCCACTAGCCTCCATTATTATTATTTTTTTATTATTTATAAATCTCCTGTTTGCAGTCTGGACGAGCTCTGAGGACGTCACAGTTGTTCACACAGGACAACGGCGCCTCATACTTAAAAATGATCACCGAGCGGTCAGACGTGATACTGGGCATTGCAGCCAAGCGGACGCCGCCTGTTAAGCCCATGTTCAGCAACACCCTGAGCCGAAACCAGAAAGGCTCAACCCACCTGGCTGACATCAATTATGACACGCCTCTCAACCCCATTGAGGTTGTTGCCCGCAGGAACGAGAGGCTAAACAAAATCAAGAACCAGCAAACCAATGTGAGTAATTTGAATAAATTAACCAAATTGGAAAAGCCTTTTCTCTACTCAGTAATATTAAGGCTTCTAGTCACGTATCATTTCCTGATGACCTCATCTTTCCATTTTTACATTGCTTAGCTATTTTCTAGACATATTAGAGATTCATTATAGATAGTAAAATACATTATATTCATTATATTACCATAATTTATAGGTTGGTTTAGTAAAAATTTAAGAGAGTGACCTATTCTAAGGCATTTTTTAAAAGCTCAGATCTACCCCATTTCAAATATTATATATAACATACACAACTCCTTAGTATTTCTTTGAAAATCTAGTTTCTGTTAAAAATAATAATTAAAAAAATTATTTTCTTCTTGAGCAATATATTTTAAGCGCTAATAAAAATCTCCGTGTTTCAGCTTGCTGAGCAGTACCGTCTGCAAAATCAACAGGGCGGCCATGCCGCCACCACCACCACGCACTTGGTGCCGGCCAAAGTGAGCAAGGTGGCTGCCGTAGCGACTACCTCATCCTCGTCAGCCTCCTCCTCGCCGGCAGCTGTGGCCAAATCTCCACCAGCAACACCTCCTCCATCTGCAGCAACAGCCGTGGCCAGCGGCCAAGTGGCCGGAATGACGCCAGTGGTAGTGAACATATCGCAACATCCAGTGGCAGCATCGACAACTGTGGCAACCGTGGCTTCGAGTTCGCAAACTTCGGGTGGCACCACTACCATCCAGACCATTGGCCAGCAGGTTCGATCACCACGAACCACGGTGGCTCTCACCGTGCAAGCCCCTGGCGGCAACTTACTGCCCGTCACCCAGATTCCTATGCACCAGTCTCAGCGCTTCACCACCGCCAGCCTTGTCGCCACTCCCAACACAACCAAAGGTAAAATCCGCTTCAAATTAGAAAGTCAAAATTTGTTGAGAAGGATTTGTAATTTGGCAAAAATATTTAACTCACTGTGCAAGAGAATGGTTTTATAACTGAATGGTCTGATCCTGAAGTGGGACGTGTTACAGGCACCCTTATACCAGGCAAGAACCTGACACCACAGCAAGTGACTAACTACATTCGGCAGCAGCAGCAGTTCATCCAGCAGCAACAACAGAAGAAGTTGCAGGCGGCGGCCGAGGCAGGAGTCATCACCTCGGCCACAAGCAGGACAATTGCAGGTCAACCATCAACCTTTCCAACTCTTAAATTGCAAATTTACAGCATTCTTTTATTTACAGGAACGGCCACGTCAGGAGGCTCTGCAACTGTTGTAGGCCAGAAGGCGGCCACTATTGGCATTGCTACGCAGGGCGCCTCGGGTACTGCCACCTTGGCCGCTCTGCAGCTGCAGCAGCGAACTCCGGTTAGTTCTTAACCTACTGCTCTATGAAAAGAATTAATAAATTTCGCAGATACAGTACCAGAAACCGACAAGCCTTGTTGCACAGAAGAGGTTTTCAGAGGCCGAGCTTAACGCCCTGCTCAAGCGGCAACAGGTGACCAACCAGAAGGCAGCCACTGCGCAGGCGGCCACCACTTCTGCGGCCGCGGGCAGCAGTTCTCCAGCACAGGTGCAGATCCAGACAGCCACTTCGTCTCCACAAGTCACTCAACAAACAGTTCAGGTTTAACTCTCCAAATCAGCAGTTGCAAGTTAATCGTTTTTCAAAAATTTCAGTTTAAAACTACAGCGGCTACTACATCCAGGGCAGGCACAGGTACTCCTCAACAAGTGCGACAGATGACCATGCAACTCGCTCAGAGGAAACTTGCCTCTGGAAAGGTATCAATTAATTTTATAATGAAAGACAAAATGCAATGCTTTTTATATTTTCTTGTTCATTATGACAGAGTTTGATGTTGGAATTTGCATGTTATGCAGGTGATCCTCCAGGGAAACAAGCAACACATCTCAGCCCTGACAATGCAGCAGCTGCAGATGATCAAACAAGGTCAAATGGCAGCTGCGGCGGCCGGTGGCAACGCCCCCATAGTCACCCATGCCGTCGTAACCAAGAACGTGAGTGGTGGCTCCGTGCAAAGGGTCATCCCTGTCGGAACCGCAGCTGGTAACACGCAGCTGAAGCCCACCTTCCAGGTACTTCAAAAGATTTTCATCTTCTTTTACTCACACTTGATATTGTTCAGGTGGTGGCAGCAACGGCAGGGCAGCAGATTGCAAGTCGAAGTGGCAATCAGGTTCTCACCTTCCAAGACGCCACCAGCAGACAACCAGTGAGTGTGACCCTGTCCAACCGGGCTGGTGTCTCGCCAGCCCAAACGCAGGCCATCATTTCTCAGGTAAAATTCCTTCTATTAGATTCAAGGGTTTTTACTGATTTGGTTTCTTCAGGTGACTGCCGCCCTGAACAGCAACCCGACCATCATCCGCCAGAGTCTGATCCCTACCCAGGGCGCAGTGCGGATCACGTCCCCCAGCCTAGTGCAGCAGCAAAAGCAGACCATCGTTCCTGCGGTGGCCACAGCAGCCACCCAGGAGTCGCCCGCCTCTACCTCCCAGGTGCCACCAACCCCCCAGCAACCACAGAATCCCCCACCCTCAGAGTAGACAGTTTGTGTAAATAACGATTTGATGCTCGGTGTGAATAAATAATTTTTTGCAACCAATTTTTTTTCTCAATGGAATCATGACATTCATTTTTTGCTGTCAATCGGTGTAAACTATTGCTTTATTATTTGCTGCTTCCTACACACAATTCTTCAAGGTAACAAATCTCTCCGACATCAATAAGACAAAATGAATTTACTTTTATGGCGTTCAATCTGCACACTCGTATGTACAGAGGGCTAGGTGTGCTTTTTCCAGTTAATGAATTACAATTAATGTTATTCATCAGTAAGAGTAGAGAGAAAGTTACTCTAAAATTAGCTCACTTGCATGCAAAATACAAATACATTTTCGTCCATATTCCATCAAATTCTATGTACACGACTCTTGAAAATTGCCTTGAGAGTTCGTATGGCAAAGGTACTCGATTCGCCACTCGGCCACGCACTACTTCTTGGAACTCGAGTCAAACCCGAAAGGCACTTACTTAGGCTGTCGGCCCCAACGTATTTTTTTAAAAAATACTATCACACACATCCGAATTTCACTAGAACCGAGTCAATAAAAATAAAACGCCAGAGTGCTTTTCATTCTCCCTGGGTCAAGCAAATAAAAAAGCAAGACTGCTTCAGCTGCTCAAAACAAAGATATTGTCGAATTCAACTTAGGAAATAATTAAAGCTGCGATACAAATCAGTTAATTACTTTGTGACGTCAGATCAATCTTTAAAAAAAGCTTAAAAAAAACTGATTGGCCGACGCCTTTCCCCCACTCCCAATTTGCAGTTGGCTAGGAGAGGCGGTTGGGGCCGCGAGCCAACCTGACGACCGAAAGGTATCACATTTGAGTGGGCGGCGCGCCGAGGGCGTCGGGCTAGGCAGGGTTCATGCGGCGGTAGGTCTCGAGAAGTTCGCTTGGGTTGAGGTAGGCCTGCGCGAGTTGGTGCTGCTGCTGTTGCTGGTGGCTGTCGTGCTGCTGCACCGCGCTGATGATGGAGCCTATCTGCTGCACCACCTGCGTCGCCGTCGCCTGCTGCTCACCCTGCCCCTCGCCTCCCACCACTTGCTGCACCTCGTGCTGCTGCTGCTGCTCTTCCTGCAGTACCAGCAGCGTCTCGCTCGGCTCTGGCTCGTTTTTCACCTGAAAAATGCAAAGTTTGATAAAATTTTCCAAACAAATTAATAAATTCATCAACTGACCTCCGACTTTTGGCCCGCCTGCTGCTGCTTGCGGCTGTGCCGGTGTTGGTGGGTGGTGAGGTACTGTTTCTGCGCAAACTTTTTGCCGCACGTCTCACACACGTACGGCTGCTCCTTGGAGTGGGAAGCGATGTGGATCTGGTAGTAGTGCTTGACTACGAAGCTTTTGCCGCAAGTCTGGCACACAAACGGGCCCGCAATTCCGTGCGTCTTGCGGTGCTTCAGCAAATTGTCCTTGCGCGAGAACGACTTGCCGCACATTTCGCAGGCGTGCAGCTTTTCGCCGGTGTGCGACGACAAGTGCCGCACCAGGTGCTCCTTTCGCGAAAATGACTTGCTGCAGGTCGTGCATCCAAAGGGCCGCTCACCTGTGTGCAGTTTGCTGTGCTGGAAGAGGTGTTCTTTCCGCCTGAATACCTGAAAAATTGATTCAACCTTCACCTCAAGGTACCACAAAATTTGCGTATTGCAACCTGAATTTCTTTTATAAGAGTGCAAACAAATAAATAAAGTTTATGATAAAAAGGTCAATTTGTGACAAGGATTTAATAAAAAATTTACTTTTCTTATAAAGTGTAAAAAGCTTGACAAAGGGTTAGAGGTCACGATGAGGTTGACATCTGTCTTTGAAGAATAATGTTAGCTTTCAAACCAACCTTGCCGCAGGTTTGGCAGGGGAAGGGTCCACCAGGCTGCAGCTCTGAGTTGCCACCCTTGCTGTTGCCGGGGCGCGACTTCTTGCTAGCATTGGGGGTGGCCGTTGCTGATGCTGACAGCGTGACCGTGTTCATGCAGGCGTGGTTGACAAGCTCCTCCTGCGATTCAAAAGTCTTGCAGCAGCGGCCGCAAATCTGCACAACCTCTCGTAGCACCTTGCCATCGTCGTCGTCACCCAGGGCGCTGCTGGCCGCGATTACACTCGTCCCATCGGCCGCCAGCACCGGGATCACCGTCTTCATCTTCAAGAACTCGCCAATTTGTGCAATCGAGGACCTTCAGGAAAAACTTAAAAATTAAAAAATAATAAGGAAATTCAATGTGTACCTGGCAAGGGCATTCTGGTCATCGGCAGTGGTGGTGGTGACGCTGCGCAAAATGCCGTCCTTGTCCTTGATGAAGCCAAACTCCATCAGCATCTCCTGACTGGCGGTGAATGTGATGGGCGTCGACTGCTGGATGGCGATTTGAATGTTTGGGTCCAGGCTCATCACCTCCGACACTGACCGTTTTGAGCCACGCTCGTCCATTTCCTGCACCACCGCCTGCAGCACAAAACAATGCATAAATTAAATTATTTTTAATAATCAAAAATTTTAAAATACCTTTAATTCAGTGTAAATATATATTTATAAAATTTTGCAATTTTTTATAAAGAACATTTACATGAAGAATGTATAAATCAAAATTTCTTTCATTGTATGTCAGGAATGAAGAAAGAATCCTGAAAACTTTTCATCCCCCACCAACTTTAGACCATCATTAAAATATATAAGTTTTTCCATTACAAATAAAACTGACCGCAATAGCCTGTTCGTGTTCCTTGAGGGAGTCACGCGCGTCAGTGGCCTCGGCGACGGCACGGTTGTACTGCAGAGCGGCCGCCGACGCCCTGATGACGTGCTGTTGCTGTTGTTGCTGCTGTTGGTGTTGCTGCGGAGCGGGTGCCTCGTCGATGATGGTTGCGATGCCGGCTGCCTGCACCAGCGAGTTCAAACCGTCATTGAGCGACTTGCCGTTTGTCTCCTGGATCACCTTCAGCTCCTCCTTGGACTGCATCTTCAGACCCCCCGTCGTCTCGTCCTTCACGTACACCTGCTCAAAATTTCCAATCTCATTTTATTATTAACTCCCCTCAAAATTATTCAAATAAAAAATAAAATTGTTTCAAGGTAAATGAAAAAATTATTTTATTTGAAGCACCTTTCCATCCTTGGCAAGGTCCTCCGAGTACTTCATGGAAGTGAAGTAGCTGTCGAGCATGGCCTCTGCATTGATGCATGACTCGCGGAACTCGTAGAACGACTCGATTTTGTCCACGCACGTGCTGCATATTATTTTTGGCAGCGAATCCTCCTCATGGATCTGCACAAAAAAAATGGAATTTATGACAAAAGGCGAATATTTCAGATTTTCAAATAAAGTGAAAATTCCTCATAATTTTTTGAGATGAGTTAATGAACGTTAATAATTGATTGATTCTGAAAAGCGATTGGCAAAATTAACTTTTCTCCGTTCTCCATCAATCAAATGTTTTAAAAAAAAAAAAATTAAAAGACCAGTCTATATATACCATTTATTACAATTTGCTGATATTAATAATGCATTATTTAATTTTAAAAAATCTTGCCTTTTTTAGATTAAAAAAATTAGATATTTTCTAGCTAAGTTGTATACACAGTTTTTGAAGATGTTAACGATTCATTACTATATTGCTGTTAATTTTAAATATATGATTAAATTTTATATTACATAATTTTTTACCGGTTTTACCACTTGATATTTCTGCACTAGCAAAAAAATAGTAATTTATACATAAAATAAATAATTCCTTTCCATAATAGTAATGCAATTAATAATAATTTGTGATTTTATTAGAAAAAAATTCATATAATAATATCTTATCATATATTTCTTAAGTTCGTTTTTGTAGCCGAAATAGAAAACAATTAAAATTATCCAAATTTATTATGTTTGCTTAACAACAAAAATTTAATCTTTATTGATAATTTTCTGCTCCATTTGATGCATAGCCGTCGCGTTTCCATGGAAAAGGGGTGGGGGCATTGTTTTAGTCTCGGCGAAATTGTTTTTTGCAAAATTTCAAGTGCGAATCGCTTCAGCGCTGCGCGCGTATCGATTATGATGATGAGCCAATCAAAAAAATTAATTTACAAATATCAAAATATGTGACTGGCAAAAATTATTGATTAATTGCATCTTCCAATTGAATTGTAATAAGCGATTGAAAATTCAGATCCAAGGTCACGCGGGGGCGGCCACGGAGGCAGGAGGCCACCCCTGCAACTCGGAGCCGGGGGGCCAGGATAGGCGTTGTTGGCCCAGGTCAGGGGTCGCGGTGCCCCTCCGGTGAGAAGTGGCGCCGCAGAGAGAGAGAGGGTCAAGGAGTGTCGACATTTTGAGCGGCGGCGGCGGCCGACGGCCCCTTGATCGCCGCTGAATACAAGCGAGAGTGAGAGAGAGTTGGGAGGGTGGGAGTCGGAGTGGCGGCGGCGGCGGCGGGTCATCCGCCGCCGCCGCTTTGTTGTGAGTGCGGATGGGAGTCGAAGGGAGAAAAGAGCGAACCTGAAGGGGAAGGCAAATCTGGATCTTGGTGGGAAGTTGTCTGCGCCGACCCTCCTCACGGAAGATGTGCACCTTCACGCCCTCGCTTGACGTGCACAGCCGGCACAGCTCGTAGTAGTTGACCCGTCGGTAGCCGGACATGGTGGTCCGCCCTCCGGACACACGATTCACCCCTTCACTTGGCTAGCGCCGCCGACCACGATTTGACTCCGCCAAAGAGTCCAAAGACGACTCCGAGTCGCTCCGATGGCTGCCCGCCCGCCATTGCGCACGCGTCGGCTCGCCACCGGAAGTGACGTCACCCACACGGCGCCACCATTCGCACCCACCGGCGCCAAAACGAATAATTTAATCCTTTCCTTGCTTTTCCACTGCAGTGAACAGGAAGAACTTTCATTTAAATCGAAATGTATACGCTTAGACTGCTGCTGATTTTTTAATGAAATATTTTCAAACACTGCTCAAATCGTTGATTAATTACTTTTTAAATTTATAAAATTAACAAAAGAAACTGAATAAGTGGAAATAAAATTATAAATTTAAGGAGACTTATAATTAAAAAGCACACTTTCAAGTTTCGAATGATAACACACAACAGGAATGTATCTCATTTATTTCCGTCTACTCTGTTGCAATATTGTGGCTACACAACTACAATAAATAAATCAAAAATGCAAAAAATATAACAATATAAGAGATCATACACGAGATAAACAATGGAATATCATTATTATTATTATTATTATTATCGCGTCTTAGTCGACAAGGGGAATATCATAATTGGAGGTCGAAAAAACGAGTACGTAAACTTTGTAAAAAAGTAAATTGGAAATCACAAAATGGAGGAATGTCTCAGCAAAAGAAGCGAGAGTGCGACTAGACTTGATTAATTAATATCAGAGATCAGCAGGGGTCTAAGAGGCCAACAAACAAACAAACAATCCTAGGCAGTCGTTTTTTCTCAGCAGCTGTAGCTCCGGGAGCGGCTGCGCGACCAGCTCCTGGCCGAGTAGCTTGACGAGCCACTCCTGTCGTCCTCACTTGAGCTCAAATCTGAGCTTGAGGACATCGGCGACGAGCGGTGGTACGGGATCGGCCTCTTCCGCGCGCTAAACAATAAATTTTTTTTTAATACCATTGTTCTCATTAGACCAAAAAATTTTGTTTCTAGCTCAATTAATAAAATGAATGGGGAAAAACTCATTCTAAAAATATGCAACTTACCATCAGGACTACGTGCACAACAAATAATAACAACACAGCTTTGCTCTACAGAAAAGAAAACGTCAATTAAAATAAATGAAACTCAAAAGATACTCTTCTAATAAAACAATTTTTGAGGTTGTTTATGCACCTGGTGATACGACGTCGTTCAAGGAAGCTCGGAGAGCCCCTTCTGCGGGGAATCGAAGGCGAGCGGCTGCGGGAGCGGTGTGAACTCGAAGATGAGCGCGACGAGGCCGAGCCAGAGTTGTAGCGCCGCTTCCTGTACCGTGAGCCCTCTGAGCTACAAGTGCTGCACACGCTTCCCGCTCTGCAATTTTAAATTCAAATTTTTAGAAAGATATTCTCTAGTAGAGGGTTTTATTGATATACCGCAAGGGCAATTTTAGTAAAAATATATATATGAAAAAAAAATATAATTGGTCAAGGTCTCACCTTGATGACCTGGAGGAGAAGGAGGAAGCAGACGAGCTCCAGTCATGGTCAATTGCTTTTGATTGCTCTTTGATCGGTTCCTCAACAGGGCACACCTGGATATCCTCCTCCTGCTTTGCAGCATCTTCCACAATGACCCTGATTTCAGGAGCCTTCACCTCTACAATCCTTTCAATGGCCTTGGGCACCAAAGGGATAGGCTTGGCGTCTTCGTTGACGGCCATTCGTTTAAAGGGTGAGGAAAAGGGCCGCGTCAGCCTCTCTAGGGTGCGCTTGCCCTCGATCCGGAAGGGAGCGATTTCGGGCACCTTGCTTGGCCTTACCCTTATCAGATCGCTCAGAAGGACCTCTGGTTTCTCCTCGGTCTCAGACGAGTAGTTCTCCTTAATGCTGTTGAGGGGTGGTACCTGTGCTATATTCAGCCCCATTTCCTCCACCTCCTTTGGAGGAGTCAGGTTACTTAGGTTGTGGTCGCTGGCAGTACTGGAGGAGGGACTGCTGCCCGACGTGGAGGGCTTGGTGCGCCTCTTGCCATGCTTGGACCTCTTCTTCTTGCTCTTCTTTTTCTTGGCTTTGCCCACATCCCCGTTGCCCTTCTCCTCCACAGGACTGCCCTCTCGCCCATCTTCTCCAGACCTGAGGGATTAAAATTAATTAAAGTAAAGCAGAAAAGGATCATGAGGATTGTGCACCCACCTCGGCCGTTTCCTGCCTGAGCGTTTTTTGCTTTTCCGCTTGCGATTGTCCGAGTCCGAGCCCTTTTTCTGCAGACATTGAAACGCCAGGCAAATTAACTTTAAGAAACGGAACGGCGGCCGGCACGACTACAGAAACTCGGAAAAAAAGCTAACTCTCTTGAATGTTAATTAATCTCAGTACTTGGTCTCTAATTCTTTTTACTTTTATTTAACATCCGTCTGGGCTCGAAAGAAAGTCTTTTAAGTTTTGTCCGAGAGAGGTCAAAACTTTTGAGCAGCAAGAAATCATGAGAGATGGACTAAACGTGAGAGACTCAAAGGAAATATGTGCAGCTGCCGCCTTTGCTGGGCAACAACCGCCGGTCAAAAACTGTGAATGTACGAAAGTAAAAACTGAAACGTATGAACCAAACCATCTTTCATACTTACTTCACATTACGAGATATCCTATGAAACATGGTGCATGGTAGTTATAAACAAGAATAAATAATTCGCCTCAAAACATTTCGCAACAGTGGTAGTTTCACAACAGCATATTATTATATAGAAAAGATCAATTATAGAAAATATGTCCAAACAAAAGCTGAATTTGACACAAATTGTAAGAGTCGGTGGTTGATTGGTTAGTAATTGGTTGGGGCCAAAGGAAAAAAAAGAGAAGAAACAAAGAAAGAAATACACAGAGGAGAAATCAATCATGACGAAGTCACACTAGAGATAACGACTCTGCTACTTACTCAAGGCTTTTTAAAATTTATTCCTTCAGAGGGCAAGGCAACACAAGAGTTTAAAGAAAATTGAGCGGCCTTTTGGCTGCATCTACCTGTTTCAACTCCTTCTTCTTCTTCGAGCCGTACTTGTCTCGCTTCGACTTCTTCTTTTCCCGACTCTCGGAACAACTGCAATATTCAGCCAAAATTAATTACAAACGCCAGAAAACGCACCAAACGCTCGCACCTCCTTTTCTTGCTCTTTTTCGAGTACTTTTTCCGCCGCTCAGACGAAACGGAGCTGGGCCGAGGGTCAAAGATTAAGTCAAGGGTAAAAAATGCAAAACTTTTGGTACCTGTCACGATGCTTGCGTTTCCGCTTCTTCGACTTGGAAGGAGTGTTTTCTACAATGACGTTTTGATCTTGGGGACTTTTTTGGGGCACCCTCGCTTCAACAATTGGGTGCACCTCGACTTCATTTTTCTGCACCACTGACACTGTTTCTGAAACACTTTTTAAACCAAAAATAACCATTAATATATTTATTTATCACGATTTTAAACATTGAAATATTACCAAGCTGATTTAAATGATCAAATCAAAGTTAAATTTATTTATTTATTCTATTTTTCGTGCGGACTGTCATCTTTGTAATAAAAAGGAGGCACTTTTACTTTTTATTTGGATTATTTCTAGAGCTGAAGTTGATGTTTGAAGGGAATAGGATTTTGAAAAAGAAAAATTTTTCCAGTGCTTTTCAGATGATACCTGGCTAGTCGAAACGAGGCGCAGGGGTGACTCTGCAGGCCAAAAGGGGCGGCCGAATGGCAGCAACACGCGCAGCACTTGGCCTGGCGAGGGGTCTGGCTCGGGGCAGGGGGCTGCTCGGAGGACAGAATGGCCTGGAAGGTGCCCCTCCAGAGGCGTTCGAACAGCGCTCGATCGCCGCTCGTCCACCCTACCGGACACCCTACTAATCCGCCGCCACCGCCGCCGCGCCGCCGTCGGTTGCGTTTCCGCTTTGGTTTATCCATGGAAGACGTGGATTTGTTTAAATACAAAAATTGGAAGACTGACGAATATCACAGCAGCAAAGTGGAAGACTTGGGGTCCGTCAGGTGCCCATGGTGGGGCCGCGACGGCCAGCAGCTCTGCAGAGTCACTTCTCGACTACCATCTTGCCGCACGCCGAGATCAATACTGACGAGAAACGAGCACCCCTCTTTCCCCTAATCGCACCCCCAGACGACGGCAGAGGGCGCTCGGGGTGCCAATCGATGAACATGAATCACTGCGTGTTTGCGAATCAAAAGACCCAACTTCAACTTCCTAGCATATCTTCCGACATGATGTAAAAAATCTCAAAAGTGTGAAAAATTAAAAATAATCTTAATAATCAATCACCCCAATTTTATGTCAAATTAAAAACATAACTTTTAAAATAAAAATTTGAAAAAAAAAACATAATAAATTGAAATAACAAAAGTTGAGAATATGTCCCTATTATAACAAATAGTGCTGAATGAAGGACCGGGTAAAAATCAATTTGGTTTTGAAATTTATCTGACAGTCCGTTTGCTCCATTGTAAAATTGGTTTCCTTTTATAAATTAAGTTCAATAAAACTTTTAATTTTGATTTGAAAATAATTTTCCGCGCTTCCATCAATTTGCTTGATGAATTTCACAAAACTGTTAAATCCCAAGCTTGTTAAATGAAAAAGATTACTCACATTGGCAGCTTTTCGATGGCGAACTGGCTTGTCGTTTGTCTCGAGAGCTCTCCGTCAGTCAAGTTGGAGCGCAGCTGCTGGACCTTGTGGATGATTTCTTCCTGAGTCAGTCTGCAATGAAGCCGAAGGGAAGTTGGAATTTAATTTTGCAACAAAGGAGGCCAAGGAAAATGCAGTGAGAGCGAAAGTGCAAACGTGATTAGTAATTATTCACCCTTGCTCCTCTAGCATGGCTTCCAGTTCGATGCATTTCAACTCGATTCTGCGCTGCTGCTCGTGGTTCAGACTTTTCTGGGCCGTTTTCGTTATGTTGACCATTGCAGCGCAGCCAACGTCTATTCAACACAAAATTTAAATTCAAATGAGTCTCAATTTGAAATTTTTCAGAAATTATTTTCATGCCATATTTATATAAAATAATATTATAACACAAAATATAAAGCCAACATTTTATTACATAATTTAACTTTATCAAATCTTAAATTTGTGAGATTAATTATTGAGTATTTATTATCGATTATTATATTTATACATGATTTTCTTTTCCCCGTAAATTTTTAGTATTTGAAAAAAATATAAATTTCAATAATTTGCTGGTTTACCCATGACTCGGAAGCATCCCCTTTTCAGACTACCATTTCCATTCCAGAGCAAATGTAGATTTTTGTTGTTATTTTTGGCTGGAAACAGAAAACAGCAAAATTCATTAGATTGGCAAATTTATTTAGATAGATAGCAAAATTTCGAATTTCACTTTTTTTTTTTAGTAAAAAGTGAATGTTACATTAAATAATTTAGAAAGAAAAAAAAAGTTAAAAGTTGATTCAGGCCAAGATTTTGCAGCTGAGCTCGCTAGGCGCCTATAATCAATATGACACCCAGCCAGAGGGGAAGTTTGCCGTCAACTTAGGGGTGGTTTCGGTACTCGAAAGCCCCTTTTAAAAAGTGAAAAATATTTCAAATGACGAAAAAATTACATGGCAAAAGTTTGGCCTTAAAAAATTCACTAACTTTAAATGGATTGAACCAAAAATGGTGAAAATCGAGCCGGAAGGGAGGCCGTACAAAAGCCACCCCTCTAATTTTTTTGCTCTCGGAGAAATAAAATTGGGCCTGTGAGGTTCAAAGGCCTACGTCCTACTGCCGATGGACTCACCGCGGATCAGCGCTGCTCGCGGTCGGCGTCCATGTCCGAGGGCGAGCGAGCGTCCGAAAGCCAAAGTCAGGATAGTCCGTCCGACTTTCTTCCTTCTCTATGCTTCAACCCTTTCTTTGATTTTGACCGACGGGGGCGGGGCGCATGCGCAGGGGTAGCGGCTTGTTAAGTGGGACGGTGGCGCCACGCTACGGCCGTTGTTCGAAACGGTTGGACGAATCGAGGCGAATCGGTCGGCCGTGAGTTGAGGCAAGTCGGACGGACGAGATCGGCCTACGTACTGCCATTTTGTTTTTATCGGTGGTAGTCTGCGCGAATTCGGGAGAGACGAGCGTGCGAATGCAGCGTCAGGTGTTTGTCGCCCTCGCCACACCATAGCCTCGCGTCGGCACAGCTTTGTTCAATGAGTAGAGACCTACTGGTACGTGCGCCAGCCCCCGTCACCAACCGACGCCCCATCACCCGCCCCCGAGCTCGGCCTCCCCGAGTTCAGTCAATTTCGCTCGCGATCTGGCCGCCGTGCTGCTCTCGTTTGGCCGCCGAACGAGGCAACGCACGGCGGGCCGAAGTGAGTGGGAGTCGTCGGCCCATTGCTCGCCAATGGCTCCCACGTCACTCAAACCCGAAAGTCCGACCCTCTGGCACTCGCAATGTTAATTCAGAAAGAAAGTCAAACTCGACTCTCTTCTCTTCCCGTTTGTGGGCTTTGATTCGGATCCCTCGGGATTTGGGTCGCGTGACCTCGAAAACAGTCCGTGATCCACTTAATTACAAATCGATTGGCGCCCCCGTTCTCATAACTCATGACTGTGTTGGTTCCGTTTGCAGATTCTGGGTGAGGCCGATCTCACATGCATGGAGTTCAAATTGGACAGCGGAGAGTATTGCCAAGCGCAGCACAAATAAGATAAACCACCCATACCACCGTGCAGTGTGTGTCACTCGTCAGCAGTCAGCTGAATTCGCGACCAGGAACAATTATTACCAGTGCCATATACCAGAAAAGAGGAGCAGCAGGTGAAAGTGCACAATTGTGTTCTTCAGACTCCAGCTCGAGACCAAACCCAGTCTTCAACCCTCTCCCTTCCTCCTGCCACAATTATTTTCTTATATAAATGGGGTGAATCTATTTTGGTACTCAGCAGCCAAATCGCCTATGCTTACAGGTGCGTAAACCAGGTGGTTTTTATTTAAATGTTTGTCTTATTTACACTCAATTGCAGAGCTGCGTCCTGTGGAAAATAATATGCCCAGGAGATTTGTGTGAGAGGAATTCGCATATCTCTCTGTCCGGCGCCACAACTCGGAAGCGAGTGCCACTTTTCACTACACACAGGGTTGCTATGCAAAATCACAGCAACATGAGACACTCGGTGAAGCCTACTGTCTCCGAGATCGAATACAAGAACATGAGGTTCCTCATCACTGACCGACCCTCGGACCAAAACATCCAATCTTACATTAAGGTTTGTTTCAAGATACTTAAGCAAATTTTGTTTTGATTTATTGAAATCATCAGGAGCTGAAAAATCACAATGTCAAGGACGTTGTTCGGGTCTGCGAGCCAACCTACAAGGTTGAAGAACTGAAGCAGGAGGGAATCAACGTCCTCGACCTTGAATACGAGGACGGAACTCCACCCCCACAAGAAGTGAGTTACAGAATTCCTAAATTTCCTCTCCATAATATTATAGAAATTTTAACATTTATTCCAATCCAATGATATATCTGACATATTTTTTTATTAAAAACAAAATTATTGTAATTGTTCTAAAGTATTGTAGACTATTTTTGTTTAAGTCTATTGTCTTTAGAATCCTCTAGAGAAACGTAAAATTTGAATATTTCTTAATCTAACTTTATATTTTTGCTTGTTCTAGGTCGTGAACGAGTGGTTCAAGCTTCTGAAAACGCGATTCCGTGAGACGCCGGGATCGTGCGTGGCCGTGCATTGTGTGGCCGGTCTGGGAAGGGCGCCCGTGTTGGTGGCCGTGGCCCTCATCGAGCTGGGCCTCGACTACGAAGACGCCGTCGAGCTAATTAGAAAGTAAGTTTTGGGTGTTTGCTCTGATTTGAGAAGGCAAACAGCCGCTTCGATTTGGTCTGTGTTTGTATTGGGGAAGAAGCGAGCATTGTTTGCCCTGATAAGGAGCAATGGTTGCAGCCGCCGGTGAAATGTTTCAAATTGATTCACGCGCTTAGGAAAGAAAAACACTGATTCACTCAATCAGCTCTTATCTATGCACCGCACGCGCTCCAATTGCTTCAGTTGTTGTAATGGTTTTTTCTCTTGTTTGGTTTGCAGGAAGCGTCGTGGTGCCATCAACTCTAGACAGCTAGGCTATCTTGAAAAATACCGTCCTCGATCCAGGCTCCGACTCAAGAATGGTTTCATGAATTCCTGCTGCCTACAATAAGTTGGACCGCCTCCGCCGCGAGTTGCTCCTCTGCTCGCCACTATCACACTCACACACATGTATTCACATGATTGCGTAAGAAACGTTGTTAACCCCCACTCGTAAGTATTGTATTGGACAAAAATTAAGACAGAATTATCAAAACGGACACTACCGATCGGCTTGTTTTCGAAAAGTGCATCTTGTTCAGCCCAAGGGGTCATCGAAACCATTAAAGGGGTGGCCAACCCCGAGGACTTTTTTCACCAGCTGACGATCCTTCCAGAGAGGAGTCCGATGATGTGCTGAAAGTCAAGTTCGGTATGGAAATTTTGGAGATTTCCAGTTTTTCCGATTGGCGCCATCTTTGATGAAATGGCGCACGGCCCGATATTAAAATTCTGCCGAAGCACATCGTCGGACTCGTCTCGAGCAGGACTTTGTTTAACATTAATTTCTGTACGCCGAGTTGCGCAAGCCGCGCTCGTTTCTCAACTCAATTGTTTGCAATCATCCATTCTTCTCTTGTTGATCGTTTTGTAAGCCAATCGAGCGACTGACTTTGAAACACTGCATTGCCAACGCAATTTTGTACTTTTCCCAACTGATCACATGACGGCATTAATTGAAATTGGTCTCTCCCGATGACCTTTGCGGTGGTGGATTTTGGTTTTGAAGCAATATCGATCTAGCCACTCGCGCGCAAGCCAATTAAGTGCTGGAAAATTCTAAAACTGCGTTCATCATGGTCGTATGTAGCTGTAGAAGTGTGGGTTATCACAGTAGAGGTTCATATTTTATTTGTATTCCGCGCAGAGGCACAGAAAGTAAGAAACGAGACCTTGGTTACCCACTTTGATATTGTAATTTTATTATGTGTATGATTACTTTTACCACCTTGTCCTTCAGATACGTCAGTGAGCAGGAGTGCGCTGGCAGATTTATTCCTAGTATTTCAGTTGTTACAGTGCAGGATGTGATTGAGAGAAAAGTGTCCCACACCGATCAGAGCGTTGAAGAAACGGAACTTTTAAGTCCTGTTTGTTATTGTTTGCCTAGTCCGCCACAACACACACAGTTCGACTTCTATTGCCAAAAAGTAAAAAAGAAAACTACACGTCATCTGACAAAATTGTGTTTATTTTATATCCAGGAATCTATGACATAATTATATTGTATAAATAAATGGGAACCAGGCTGGCAAATAAAATGTCTGTTTGACAAATAATATGAATCTTGTGCACGCGTCATTTCTTTGTCCCTTTTCCTCTGTTGTTATTGCGTGAGGCTTTTATTTTTAGAAAATGCGCAGCGCGGCGCCAATGCCAAGTTTTGCCTCAACACACTTGAACGGGCCGAAAATAAATTTCGAATTTCAATTTTTCATTCTGGCGCAATCACTTGCCGGTTCGCTTCTTGACTCTGAAGTACTTGACAAGCAGGGGCACCGCGGCCAAGGTGATGCTGATGCGCACCGGCGCGAACACTTTGTGCACTGCGTACGCCACCACAAACGTGCCAGCGCTCGCCAGCGACGGCGTCGAAATCTCCAAGCCCAGTCGCTGCACCGCGGCCGCCAAGTCCAGCCCGCTGGTTTTTGAAAAAAAAAAAATATATTATTAAACTTAGAAATAATTAAAGGAGGAAATTATGAAAAACCTGGAGACGGCGGTGTAGCAGCCGCCGAGCGAGAGCAACGAAATGCTGACGTGGAAGACAATCAGGGTGGCGCCGTACTCCTTCACCGCCCTCTTGAACCGCTCCTTCCGCGACAACTCCTCCACAACAGGCGCTGCCTCCGCCGCTTCCTCCTCTGCTGCGCAAACCAAACCAAAGGCACCGCGTTTTAAAAGCCAATTATAATAAAATTTTTAAGAATTAATTTAAAAAAGTTAATTTTCACTTTATTGATGTTCCATTTGTTGCGAAACGAGATAATGGTATGGAGGTCATTTTTAATGCTTATTATAATCTAATTAGGTCGTTTATCTTTTGATCGTACGGTATCTTTTAACAATTGTTGCCGTATAAAAGTTTTGGGAAATAAGCTTATAATTTTTTTAAATTTATATAATTATGAAAGAAGCTCTAATTAATTTTTGGAACGGGAAGGTCAGATCATGAGGAATCTATAAAGAGCAAAATTCACTACAGAAATACAAATTACTGACTGCGTTGGTTGATTTGAGTTCCATGTCACATTCCTATTTTGTATTCAACGCATTAATGGAAACTTCTGGTCAAAACAAGAATAATTTACTAGCTCTATATGAAAACAGGTAATTATTGAAAACAAGATTTTAACTTTCACGGATATTACATTATTCAAACAACCCACACCAATTATACTGTTTCTTCTATAAGCTTCTATTGACTTGTTATGTTTCCTGCAAAGATTACTTGAAACAGAAGATTACAAACCACAGCCCAAAATAGGAAAGTGCTGGAGATTTTTTTCGGATGAAAATAAAAAGGATGGTAAAGCCTACGAGGAAATTGAAACAAATTGGTGCGTTTTCCAATTTAATGTCCAGCCCAAGCAAGACAAGAAAGAAAGTAAAGAGATTAAAATCAGGTAAGCACAAAGTCCCTGATATTCGACGAGAAATCATTCAGATATCACACTTAATGGCTCATTGCTTTTGGTACAATTTAAATATATTGCTGGAGAGGTAGAGGCGTAAGAATTTCATTTTCTACTTTTTGAGGCGTGCAAGTTCTGCTGCTCGTGCGCGAGGTACTTGGAGTCCTGGGTGTGTTGGCCGCCAGGCATGTTCAGGTGCGACGGCGCCTTTCCGGACGCAGCGAACGGCTGAGGAACGTTGCTCTGCATCACCGAGTGCAGACTGACCGTCTTGTTGTAGTCGTATGAACTCTGCCCTGAGGAGGGCTCAGCAGGTTGGGGTTGATACGTGGGGTGCACGTCCTGCCCTGTGTGCAGGTGGAACACAGCTCGTTGTGCTGCGTCGCTCTTCTCAATGTTCGTCGGCACCTCCAACGGCTGCTGCTTATTGTCACCGACTTTGGAAGAAAAGCCTGCAAAAGGTCAAAACTAATCAGATAAAAAAACCAAAACAACTGACTGATTAAGTCACAATAGGCAGTACTTGTCATACACCACAAACTTATGAACATCGATCTCTTTTATTGTAATTAATGTTTAGATTTTTTTTTTCAAATAATTAAAAAATTAAATTTTTCAAAATTTAGAAGTTATTTTCTTTTGTTTAGTCGATCAATTTGGATTAATTAAAATAATTTTCTGTAAACTCTTGATGCCAAAGTTGAATTTTATCAAATTAGACTTATGAGACGAACCAGCAGTGAGGATGGAATTTGTGTTGTTAGGCAGGGTCCTTTTTCCGCTAGCGATGGCCCTGGACGGCTGGGCGGACACCCTGAAGGCGTGCCGCAACCCCAAAGAAGCGACTTGTCTAATCATGTTTAAAGTCGTGCCACCTGCGAACGAAATTAAGTGTTAATTACCGGCTAACTTTTCATTATTTCAGCATCAACCTTGATCATGACAGCAAAACTTAGATTTGAATCAGCTGGTAAGAGTGGGGAGGGGAGGGGCAAGAGAGGGGGATCATCTCACAATATACTACTTTTTGTATTGTAAGTTGAATTAATATTAATCATTTTATAAGCTATCGTTCCATTTCATAATTTTTAATACTTTTATTTAAATATAGTAAATAACAGCCTTTTACAAAATACTTCAAAAGTGAGAAAAATGAAGACATTAAATGCGATTCTTATTATCCTAGAAGATATAAATTAACAACAGGGGCACCGTTTTATCCTCTGGTTAGAATTATTGGAAAGTTCTCTGTGATGAGATGGTCGTCTTGGAAAATCACCACTATATTCACTTCAAATTCTGCAATTTAAAAAAAAAAACCAATCAGTTTTTTAATTAAAATTTTAAGGATAAAAATACCAATTTTGAAACTGCTGGTCGTCAGAGTGGGACAAGTGAAGAGCCTCGGGAACACCATGTAGATGGGAATGGCAATACCGCAGGAAACGTCTCCCTCTCCTATTTGGATGTTTTGGATTTCAGTCGCTTTTTGAACATACATTAACATCATAATCAAATAAGAGATAATTTCGGGCACACCATCTCTGGAATAGCCTTCGGCGCAGCCACAAGTTTCGACACGCACCAACTGCAGCTCCACCGACTTAATTGGAATCTCGGAATTTTGCACCACAAGCTGGAAAAATAATATGAACCTCAAAATTCAAATAAAATCATTCTCTCACTTCTCCGGTGAAGGGTTTTGTGAGGCAGCAGACGGTGGAGTCGAGGTGGCCTGTGATTTTGAAACGGGGGATGCGCGCCCTCTCCTTTACGTTCTGCAGCGAGTCGGGCGAAATTACAAACTGCACAGGCTTTGGCTCGGCCTTGCCACATTTATTCAGCTGCATTTTTTGTTTTCAAATAATTTTTCATGGTATTAAAATTTTTTTCTTAATTACATTGTATTCGACGATGAACTCGGCCGTCTTGAGCAGGTCCTTGGCAAGGAAGCTGCGGCGGATTTCGCACTTGAGGGTGTACTGGACACTGACAAAGACGCCGTGGTAAGTTTCATACAGGGGTTTACTGCTCCTCGCCCTCAAAGGGAATTCAAAAGGGATTTCCGTTTTGCCAGCAGGCAGTTTGCCTGCTGATGCTACCTCCAGCACGCACGAAACCAGAGACACTGGCTAAAAAATGGAAAACAATGGTTATGAAAAAATTCCAATTTTTATGTCTTTTGTCACTTATGAAAAAAAAGCTGCAGTGTTATTCAAACTGTTTTATAGGGAAAAATTCTCGACAAGCCCATTCGCAGTTACGAGAATTTGTCCCTCAAGTTATATTTTTAGATAATTTGAAATTTTTATTTTATTTTTGATGATTTTTGATAGAGAATTTTAGAACATTATTAAAAAGTCTGATTACATTATTGTATTTTGCATACAAAAATTGAATCAGTACGTTGAAGGTTTTTACTAGAAAAAATTGTTATTATTATTTAATTTGCCAATTATAAAAATTAACTTCATATAATTTATAAAAGTTTCTTCTGAATTTCTAGCCCGAATTTTATTTCCAAGGCTTACAAAACTTATCAATTATACCTTGACGGAGTTGTAGAAGGCCTCAAAGATTCCGACGTTTTTAGAACTGAGCTGCAGGTTGACGGTGCCGTCGGCGAAAAGGGTGATGCCGTCGTGCCGCACGTCCGACGGCGAAACCACCACAACCACCCCGCTGATGATTTCCTGCAAAAATAAAACATTCCAATTAAAAATACACATTTTGAAGTAACGGAGGCGGCGACCAACCCCTTCGTGGTACACTTTGTTTGCTTTCCGAACCAAAATTTCAATTGCTATGGACATTTTTGGACCACTTTTGACAACTCAAACTTGTGAACAGAGAACACAGAGCTCTGCAATGTTTTCGTTTTGATAGTCACGTGCTTGCAATTCGAAGGCAGATTGGTCGTACTAAGGAGAAAAGGCCGCGAGACTTTTGAAAAGCACTACAAAATAGCACAGAGAAATGAAAAATTTTATATAATGTATGAAAAAGCATAATTACGTCGTCATGGAAAAATGTACGAAATATTTAAATGGTAAGTCGTATTTAATTTTTATGTAGATAATATTTATAAATATTATATTTGATGATACTTATTTTAGGTGGTATTATTTAATATTTAACGCAATAAGGCACAACCATAATTTTAAATATTAAAAAAAAGACATTGAAAAAAATCAAAATTAATTATAACAAATTTGAGATAATTAAAAAACAGATTAAAAAATTAAAAAATAAAATTATAATATAAAAAATCAATAAAAGCCTTCACTTTTCATTTTATTTATAAATGCGAAGTTATTTTTAAATTTTAATAAATTTATTATTCTTATTTTTATCCAGGTTAATTATTATTTTATTTTCAATTTTTGCGCAAAAATTTTAATTATTCGCCTTCATATTTTAGGTTAACAATTTTCAATAAATAAACTGGAATTATTATAGATATATATAAATAATAAAAAAGTCTTATCACAAGAGCCGTTGCCCATAAAATTGATAAGTGCAGAGAGCGGATTTCCTGCCGCGGCGCCTTGTTTCAGTTTTGCCACAAAATGCGTTGCGGTCAGCAGCTTTATTACTTTCCTCGTTACGTGAGTAGTCCATTCTTGGGCACTGGACGACGCAGGGATGGAGGGTTCGAAAGAAGAGGAGGAGATGGAGCGGCCAGTGGTGCGCACCCTCTTCCGCCAGTCGTCCGTCGAGATGCGAGTGTACCCCGTGCAGGACACCAGCGACATATCCTCCGAGGAAGACGAAGACTATACCGAAAAACCCCAAGCAGGGTAAATATAATTTAAAAAAAAGGGAAATTTCTTAGACTTATATTTCAGGCCGGTTTTTATTTACACGCGAGCCGCGAACGCCGAGGAGCCGCAGGAGGAATTTCGGCCGCGGGTGGTGAGCGCCGTCGAGAAGCGGCCACTCGCCAAGGAAACGACGGGCCCAGAACCACCCAGCCGCGTCTCCAGCCTCAACACCACCCAACACCTCCAGCCCATCCAAAACAGATGTAAGGCAAATTTAAATCTAACGTTCATTGAAGTTGGGCTTTTCTTGAATTATAAAAACAACACCCTAATTTTCAAATCATTTAAACTTTTTCATTTTTTTTCTTATTGTACATTCTTTTAATTCAAATGAAAACTTACAGGCCCTTCTCGTTATTTACGTATCAAATACAAAAATTTCCTTAATTTTTATTTTTTTATAAGCGCATTAATAATTATTTTTATAATTGTTTATAAATAATTAAATAAAGAGTGAAACGAAAACCTTTCTACCACAAAAAAGGACAATTTTTAAATCACCAAGTTTTAGAGATAATAAGCATTGAGCCAAAGAAAAGCAATATTTCACTACAATTTTTAATTTTATGACTAGTAGTAAATAAAACAACAGAAAATCTTCATTATTTTTATAGCTTATTATCCACAGATCAGAAAATTTCAATAAATTATCATAAAATAATAAATTTATTCCTCTGCAATATCGAAAACCCTTTAACTTGGATCAATAAATTAAAATAAGTAAAATTGATTTAAAACTGAATTTAAATTTTTCACAGGTGCAGGCGAGTTTGATCTGAGCGTTTCCGAGTTGAAGGAAACGGAAAATGAAGTTAAAGGTCCAATTTCACCTGCAGTTAATATTTCAACCATTTCAACCATGGAGCGGAAAAAGGTGCAGTTTATGACGCCGGATAAGTCGGAGCCGCAGTTCATCGAACTGATCGAGCCCCCCGCCGCCCCGTCGCCGCCCTCGCAGCACCGACACTCCAGCAAGGTTGAGTACGCTGAGGCGACCTACAGCGTCGGCTCCCTCAAAGGTTCGCACCAAGTTTTGAGACCAATTCATTGAGAGACTAAAGTTGTAGCTTTTCCCGCCGCTCACTCACGCACTGCCGCTCCCTCCGCTGTTTGTATTTTTGTGTGACGTGAGTGCAGCGCAAGAAATGGCTTCACCTCGGCCCAAATCGCCGCGGCCTGGCACCAATTCGACCAAGCCCGACAAGGAGGAGAGCTTTTGGGAGAAAATCGGCACCCTGGGCAGGAAGAAGCGCATCAAAGAAGGTAAGGGTCTATCCTAAACGTAGCCCTGACGATAAATTCACGAGAAACTGAGGTCACCAAGTGAGACATGTCCTTATTTGGAACAGTGATCTCACTCGCCACAGTAGGCGGGGGCCCTTTTAATGATAGGCTTTTTTATAATATTGTTTTAAATAATTTTCGTTTCAAATAAATAATTGTTTCGAAAAATTTAAGTTTGCACTTGTCCTTTAAAGTTTTTGGTGCTTTAATCCACTTTAATCCTAGAGACGAGCCATTAATAAATTTGAGCTAAGCAAATTTTTCCCATTATATAAACCAACGTTATAAACTGGGACTGTTTGACAAGGGCCTATTTCTTTAGGAAACGGAATCAATAAAAAAAAGAAGATTTTTTCTTTATTATAGCTGATTATAGCATTACTATAACTAACGCCAAAATGTGCCTGTTTTTCACTTTAAAATAAATGCACAAGCGTAATTTAATTAATTTTGTTCTTAAATTCGCATAATTTATCTTGATAAAAAATTTACCAATTTTGGCTTACCTATTTTTTTGCGTGTGTTAAGTTGAACGTACATTTAAAATATATGTATTTTTAAAATTATTTTCCAAATTTTAAGGGTATCGCAGAAAAATAATTATAGGCTGCTTTATAATCGTTTTATTTTTAATCATAAAATTTTACTCTAATATAAAGAAGAGAATAAATTATCTCTCCTCTTATGAAACCCTTGGAATTCTTATAGAAAATTTTAGTAAAAACTTATTAATACAATTTTCGTTTTTTTTCTGTAGTGCAAGAAGTGCAGGAAGAGGGCAAGTATGCAATTGACTCGCCAGGCAACCCTATTGCAGCAGACCTTCCGCCTGAGGAGTATGCGTTGGGTGAGTGACCTTGTTGCCCTTTTCCATCAGAGTTGTTTAATTGGAATTGATTGAATGAAAACAGATGAGAACGAGGAGCGTTCGATGATCACGCCGCAGTCGCTGGAGGACCGACGGCTGCGCGAACTAATGGAGGTTTTGATCGAGTGGATCAACGACGAACTCGCCAGCCACAGGATCATTGTCAAGAATCTCGAAGAGGACCTGTATGACGGACAGGTGCTGCACAAACTCATTGGTGAGGCCCCTCCGCAATTTTACTTCATCTCTAAACTCTTAAAAGAAAATAGTTTATTTTTTTACAACCAGAAAATTTTATAACTAAAAACGTTTTGAACAGATTTACAACGAATTATCAGGTTTGTTCTTCTTTAAAAAGTTTAAGTTGGGAGCTTTTTAAGATTTAAAATAAAGTAAGCACCTGATTTCGTTGAGTTCTTTAATTTTGTCGTGATCCAATAAGTCCCTGCTTATTTAAAATTAATTGCAAATTATATTGATAACGTCTATAAGTTGCAACTTAAGAAAATAGCTCCTTTTTCTCCTTTCCTTTATAATTTACAAAAAATAACATTTTTTTTTTGTTAATCTAAACGAGTTTAAAAAAAAATTTCTAATGAAAATCAGAATCGCTGACTGGTGAGTACCTGGACGTGCCTGAGGTGACGCAGTCTGAGGAGGGCCAGCGACAGAAACTCAACATCGTTCTCGCCACTGCCAATAAAGTACCGAATATATTTTCATCCAAATGTTTTTTTGTACTTATGAATACAAATCAAAGGTGTTGGGGCTGCCGAGGTGGTCGCAGAACAAGTGGAGCGTGGACAGCATCCACTCGAAGAACCTGGTGGCCATCCTGCACCTGTTGGTCGCCCTGGCTAGACATTTCCGCGCACCAGTGCGTCTGCCTGAGCGCGTCGGCGTGCAGGTGGTGGTGGTGCAGAAGGTGCAGGGCGGCGCCCTGTCCCACCGCACCGTCACTGAGGAGATCACCTCCACCTACGACGACCTTGGCCTGAGGGGTGAGCGCGACGCATTTGACACACTCTTCGACCACGCTCCGGACAAACTCCAGGTTGTCAAGAAGGTCAGTTTTCGAACACCAAAGTTCCGAAAAAAGTAGAATTAAAAAGGGAGAGGGGGAGGGATAAATCGAGTAGGGTACCATTTTTTTTACCAATCATTTATGTAATCATCAGTTTATCTTCAAATTTTGAGGCGTCGTGGTTTTTTTTACCATTTATTGATGAATTTCCAACACGTTTTTTATGACCCTTTGAATTTCGGTTTTCAGTCTCTGGTGACTTTTGTCAACAAGCATCTGAACAAACTGGGCCTGGAGGTGACCGACCTGGACTCGCAGTTCCATGACGGCGTCTACCTGGCTCTGCTGATGGGCCTCCTTGAAGGCTTCTTCGTGCCTCTCTACGCCTTCTACAACACACCGCAGGATTTCGACCAAAAGGTTGGTAGACCTTTTTAAACCAAAGAATACAAATAAAAGTCAATTTTAATTGCAGGTGCACAACGTCAATTTGGCATTTGAACTTATGCAGGAGGTTGGGCTCGGCAGACCCAAAGCCAGACCTGAAGGTAAATTATAAATGATTTTTTGGTACAAATCAATCCTCAACTGGAATTTTGCAGACATCGTGAACCTGGACCTGAAGTCGACCCTGCGCGTCCTCTACAACCTGTTCACCAAGTACAAGAACTTGAGTTAGACGCAAACGAATATTCCAGTCACTAATCAAATTAAAACTCATTTCATTCATTCTGTTAGCAAACTAATTTTTAAGCTTCTTGTAGATATTCTCATTTCGTGATTTAAAACTGCCTTACTGTTGTAAACGTTGTGCCTCAAATTACGCATAATAGTGGATTGAAAATAATGATTGTTGAAATAATTTTGAATAATTTTATTAACAAAGAACTGAGACGTCCAATAAAAATTTCTGATTAACTAATGATTTTGACTTTGGTTTTACAACCTATCTGGCTCTCTGGCTTATCTAAAAGCAATGATTTAGCACAGAAAATGAGAAGGATTTCTGTATCAGCAGCACCACTTAGCACCTTACCCACTCATGAATTAATAGCTGATAAGCGCGGTGGCTCACATGTTGTCAGTCTCTTCTTCAATGCCTGGCGAAAAACATGCATATTGGCAGATGTAAGATTTCATTGCGCCGATAACAATGTGTTTCAAAACGCGTTTCTTGACAGTCTTGACAAGTGCACAGCATTTCCTTCACGGTGCTAAATAAGAATTTGAAATCAACATGGCAATAAGATCGCTAGCGTTTCCTTTTACAATTTTGTTTCTGGTCAACATTTTGTTTTTTCTCGCGGTCATCTTTGAGAGTCCAGGAGAAGAAAATATCAGAGGACAGGTACTAAAACAATAATTTATTTTAATATTTGATTTAATTTTTATGTGAAAATATTTGCATTTATTACTCAACTCCATGTGCTGATTTTTTTTAATCAAGTAGTGATAAAACTAGTCAGATTTAAACAACAATAAATTTTATTTAAAAAATCACCTATTATAAGAGATTTTAATTTTTTTGTTAAATTAATTTTTTTGGCAAAGATTCTGTTGACCGTGTCGTCGCGAGAGTTTGTGGGCGCGCAGTTGTTTGGCTCGGCGGTGGTCGAAGTGGGCCAGACCAACCAGTCCACTGTCAATGACCTCGAGGAACTCTACAGTCACACTCTACAATTTGGCAAACTGGATGACACCGGCACCTACCTCATCCTCTCGCACGTCATCACTGCCCTCGACCAAAAAACGTTTGCCAACGTGAGAATTAAAACTGATATATCAATCAAATAAATGCAAAAAATCTAAAACTTTTAATGAGGAATTTGCACTTTCAGGATGTATTGTGCGTGGGGGTGCAGGCGTCGGTGGACCAACTACACAAACTTCCAGAGTTCGTAGCCACTTGGCCAGGCGCAATTTCGCTCGCGGTGTTCGCGCCGGGCGTCGAATTCTTCCTGGCCATCGCTTACGTCCATCACCTGCGCACCTGCTTTCCCCAAATCAAGTCGCAGGTATATAAACTTTAGTTAAAAAATTTAATTGATTAATTTTTTTGATTGGTTTCAAAGGTGACGTGGCACTTTGCTTTTCCCACGGAGGTGCGAGGAAACGCGAGCGACGCGTCGTTGGCGCGCGAGATTTCCGCGGGCCGTTGCGACGAGTTGGGGCCAAAGGAGGTCCTCGAGCGACTTCTGCAGACACAGGGCACGGAAGAGGCGCAACAAGTGCTGAAGAACAAAAGGAGCAACCACGAGATGCCCTACCCTCAGAACCTGATGCGCAACGTGGCGCGCCAGCACTGCCTCAGCGAGTGGGTCGTCTGCCCTGACATTGACATGCTCTTCCCCAGGCCTAATCCCCAGGTGCCAAATTTATATTAAAATCGTGCAAATTTTTATTCAATTGAAGGGCTTGAGAAAATGTTACTGTGTGATGAAAAAATGTAATTTAAATATTTTTCTTTCACAAAAAGCATTTTACAATATTAAAATTAATTGCATTGTCCCTGTAGTTCAATCAATTTAAATAATCAAAAAACTTATTTTCTTCAAACAAGTCAAAACGATAAAAAAAATCGATGGGAGATAAATAGGCGCATATAAGAGCTTCTAGCTAATTCAGAATCAATTTTTTTTTTTTTTTTTTAATTAAAAACAAAACGGCTTTGCCAGTTCCATTCACGGTTTGCGCCCCTATTTCGTGAGCAAGAAATAATATATAAATAATCAAAATTGTAAAATGGCAGTTTGAAAAACGATCTTTCTATTGCTGATATAACTGAGCCTTTTTTCATCAAATCATCACACGTACGTCTATTAAATTTTTAAAGTAAAGCTAATATTTCATTTCAAATAAACACAAATAAAGAAGAACATTGGAAATTTATTTAAGCACGGGATTTTCAAAAGCTTTCTCAATGTTGTAATTTTTTTCTTGATACATAACTAAAAAAAGTGAAAATTTCATAAATCACCGTTTCATATTTTTTGATGAATTTGATGGCAGATGGAGCCGTCGCTGGCCGCAGGTCTTTCCGAGTTCCTGCGTTCACCAGAAGCGACCGATTGCGGCAAGTGCGCGTTCGTGCTGCCCCTGTACGAATTGGAGCACCCAAATCGGACACTGCCAGGGGATAAGGACGAGTTGCTGGCGTTTGTGGCTCGTGGCTGGGCCCAGCAGTACCACAAAGAGGTGTTTGCCCAGAATCAGGCCGCCTCGCAGCTGCAAAAGTGGCAGAAGCGGGCCGAGAAGCGACGCGTCAGATTAGCCTACAAAGTTAGCTTTCAAATGTGGTACGAGCCTATCTATGTAGCCAGACAAGGCAGTCCTAAGTTTGACGAGCGCTACGTTGGCTACGGCATGACCAGAAACACCCAGGTATGAATTGGTATAAATTTTAAATAAATAAATACTTCTGATAGTCCTGTATATTCAAGAAGAATTCCCAAGATTTAACATAATCTAAATTTGGGCTAAAAATTGATTAACTATCAATAAATTTTTTTCTGGAGTGACCTTCAGATATATCTTGGAATCCTCTTGAAAAATTCAATTGGGGTGATTTTGGAGTCACTGACTTTTAAATATTTCAAAGGCGTACGAGATGTCTTTGGCCGGCTACTCATTCCACCTATTGGATTCGATCTTCCTAAGCCACGTGTGGGGCCTGAAGAGGAAAACGGCGGTCGAAAGCAACACGGAACGCAAAATCGAGACGCAGATGAACACGCGCTTCTTCAGCTCGGTGCACGTGCGCGAGTTGGCCGCCCGGTATGACAGCGACCGGCACAACATCCTACGCTACCAGAAACGCTCCAACAAGAACTACAACATTGTCATGAACACGCGAGCACCTGAGATCAAAAGTATCAAGAGTTCCGGAAAATATACAAACGTTATTTAAAACTCGAGTAAATGGTTTGTAAAAAAAAATAACGTAGGAGTGTTTTCATTTACGTGCAACGCAGTGCGACTTGAAATCATTTTTATAATTTACCCGCATGTGTCTGTGTTTTTATTTTAAGAAGAGGCTGTAATTATTTCTAACTGAACATAGCGATTACCTTAGCAGGAATGTAATTTACATGTTTAATGATGTACTTTGATAGTTCGTTCGCCAAGTCTTATCTTTCAAGGGAAGAGTTAAATGTTTATAGGGAAAAGTGTTGGGTATAGTTCGAAAGGCGTATGGTGTCACATGTGAGTGCGATTTTGAGAGAGAGAATTTATATGTTTCCCGTGAAAGTTCTATAAGGAAGATTTTCCTTTAAATGATTTTAATTTATTAATTAATTGTTATTTTAAATTTTTGAATATTTATTATCCAAGTCTGGTATGTTAATAAAAAATATTTGTCTTTTATTACAATTTTACTAATTTTAGGTCTTTGCCGTCAACAGAAACCTTTGTCATTCTCAACCCATAAGTCAAAATCGTCCAGAAAGAACTTCTCTTTTCAAAGAAAATTACTAAATTGACATTGAGAATGTCTTTGAGTTTTGGTGTTTAATCGGCCGGCGCGTGCTTTTGGTTGTGTGCGAACAAGTATAAACGCGGGATAATGCACTTGGCCCAATTATTTGCACTGGGTGTTTTGCAAACAGAAATTGGTGTCGCTCGTCAGCGTCTTGTAGGTTTGCATGGCACAACAGCATGAGGGCCTCGCAACGCAGCAGGCTGCTCAGGGCCGTCGCCGCCGGCCTGCTGCTCCTCGCCCTCGCCACCCTCCACCATGCGCCCCTCGCCCCCCGCGGACAAACCTTCATCCAGGTCAGTCAGTTTATTCTTCACACCTCACAAGCCTCTTTCTATTCTTATCAAAGAGATGACTCTTGTGGGGTATTTTAAATCCAGCTCCAGACGTCAATAAACTCCATAATCGTTTATAAGGCTACACCATCAAAATTATCTGTCTTATAATTAATTAAAAAAAAACTATATTTCCTAAAACTTGTTCTAAAATTGCTGTTTGGAATTATTTTAAATAATTTTTTTTTCTTTATTTAATCCTTTTCAAATTCTTTGCAAAAATATTTTTATTTTTCTACCGTTCTTAATTATTATTGTTTAAAAATGGAACACCCCCTCTGCTAGCTACTGCTTACTTTGATCAACTTTATTTTATTTATTAATTATTTCTCATAAATTTACTTTGAAAAGAAGGTGATGTTGCCGTACTGGCGGACGCGGCGACAGGCGCCGTTCAGTGCGCTGGTGGATGATGTTAGTTCGCTAAACGACGCAACCCTGAGGGCAGAGTTTGACAAGGTCATTAACCTGGCGCAGTTCGACGACTCTGCCAAGTACAAAATCGTCTCCAATTTTGCCATCGCCAACCAAGACTTCTCGCAAGTACAAAACCCTAAAAAAAGCAATTTTCTTGTGTGCAATTTTGGTATTTTTTGTTGGGGTTGAGCAGGAGCCGGCGTGCGTGGCTGTGCAGATTTCGCTGAACCATGTGTCCAAGCTGCTCGAATTTGTGATGCACTGGCCGGCGGCAATTTCGCTGTCCCTCTTTGCAGCCGGCACTGACTTCTACTTTGCCGTCCTCTACATTCGCTTCCTCCGCAAGTGTTTTCCCCGCATCAGAAATCAGGTTTAAAAAATTTAATTCGCCCAAATTTTTTTTAATCCTCACATATTTAAGACTTGAGAATAATTCGAGTAAAACTTTGATAAAAAAAATTTGCTTCTTCCAAGTCTACTATAAAAAATATTAATTTTTGATCCATATATCCTGTTTTCAATAAGAAAATAATAATAAATTAACACAAAAACATATAATTTTCATAAATTAGTTAGAAATGCAACCAAAAAAATTGTAGAATCCAATTTTCCCCAGATTTCCCTTACAAGAAAGAAATTTTGATCACAAATCCTTCTCATGCCTGAATAACACTACATTTTTTTACATTTTTCATTTATTAAAATGAAATAAAATATATTAGCGCAAAATTTGTTTTGAAATTTGAAAATTGTGGCTTTAAGGTAACGTGGCACTTGGCGTTTCCGACGCGGATGACGCCAAACGTAAGCGACTTGGAACTGCTGCGGGTCGATTTCGAGTGTTCAGCGTCGCTGGACGAGCTGGACAAGTTCATGGCCGGGGTGCCGCGCGATTATCGTGAGGTGGCGCGACGCCGACGCGGCGTCAAGTACCCGCAAAACGTGTTGCGGAACGTGGCGAGGCGCGGCTGCCGCAGCGAGTGGGTCGTGTGTCCTGACGTGGACATGGTCTTCCCCAGGTCGGGCAACACCTACGAATCCCTGGCCGCCTTCCTACGCAAATCGGAGACCAACCGCTGCCAAATGTGCGCCTTCGTCTTCCCTGTCTACGAGATCGAGAACAAGGATCACGTCGTGCCCAAAGACAAACATGATCTGCTCCAGTTTGTGGCCAACAACTCGGCTCGCCAGTACCACATCGAGGCAAGACGCCTTCATTTTGACATTTTTCTAAAAAATATCTTTAAGAATCAAGAATCACATATCTTAAATTTGAATTTTTTTTAAAGAGATTTCATTTAATATAAAATAATATTTATAATAAAATTTCTTTTTGATCATTTAGCTAATATTTATAATATAATAATATTGATTAAAAAGAGAGTAAATAAATAATCAAGGGAAAAAAATTATAAATAATAATTAATAAATAATTAGAAAAAGTAATGGATCCCTAAATTTTTTTCTAAAAAAATAAGCAAAATCTCGGCATAAAAAAAGAGTTTCTAAACAAACCAATAAGGAGTGTGTAATTTTTATCTAAATCCTTCAAGGACTGCACCTTATGATTTGAAGTTTTGATTTCAATCCTGTATTAATTCAATTTTAAATAACCACTACTTTAAAGACTAGTCTAAAATAAAATTAATCAAAACATTGTATTTCAAGGTTTTTGAGCCAAACCAAGCTTGTTCTAAGTTGAAGAATTGGGAGGCAATCGCGAGGAACAACAGTGCCGAGTCGACGGAGGTACGCGTGGCTTATGAGGTTAAATACAAGTTCTGGTACGAGCCCGTCTACGTGACCAAGCAAGGCAGTCCCAAGTTCGACGAGCGCTATGTTGGCTACGGCATGACCAGAAACACCCAGGTGAGACACACAAAAATCTGATAGGTCGTCTCCATTCAAGAAATAAGAAAAAAATTTCAGGAATAAAATTTTGACTGTAATTGCCATGGTTCAAGCTTTGGAAAAGTTTGTCCAAGATAAAATTGCTTGATTTTGTTAGAAATTTTACTATCAAGTTCTATCAAAACTTGAAATCATAATTTCGTTTAAAAAAAATATATTGCCTTTTCAAATTATATTATTAAACTTATAAATTTAAGAAGCATAAAAAAAAGGAAAAAATAAAAAAAAAGCAATTAAATGATTTAATTGCGTGCCATAGCGCATAAATTGGACACAGTCAGCTGATTTTGCTTGGAAATAATTCTTAATTTAATTTTTTTTTCTTTTTGGAAAACGAAGAAAAAATTTTCTGTTTGAACAAACGTTTACCAAAGTGGCCCTTTAACTAATTTTTGGGACGCAGGCGCTGGAGATGGCACTATCAGGGTACCGTTTCTTCCTGCTAGACAACACGTTCCTGAGCCACCTTTGGGGCTTCCAGCACAAGAACCGATCAGACTTGGCTCGGTCGCGGCAGACGAGCCACAACCACAGGCTCTTTTGTTCGCAGCATGTGCGAGAACTCGCCGTCCGCTTCGACTCGGACAAATTCAAGCTGCTAAAGATGCAGCACCGCTACTACACGCAATTCAAAATTGCCGTCCAACAGAGCACCAAGCAAATTAACTTGCGCTTCCACCCTGACTACTTCAACTTCGAAGATCTCAACAACACCATGGACGGTTACGACAATTACGTCCAACCTGCCTTCGACGGCAACAGCTGATTTCTTTTAGTTTTTTTAAATAAAGTTCCGATTTGTATAAAATTAGCATATTTTAATTGAAAATTATAAAACATAGCCTTATTCGGAAAGTCTTTTAGTGATCTTTAAAAAAAATTAATTATAAGCTTTACAAAATTTGTCATTTTAAGGTATGTACAAGATTTTAATTAAGTGGGTATAAACACCAGTAACAGGTCAAAACCAAAGACTATCTTAATGATTCTTGGGTAAATCATTTCATTTTTGATCAGATCATTTTAAAAACAACTAAGAATGATTTTTTTTCTCCGAAAGGTTTGTCCAAATTTAAAAGGAAACCTTTAAAAATTTCAAACCCCGTGATTTACTTCCACTTAAGGATTTCATGACTTTTAGTGAAGTAGACCAATTTTTTTAAAAGAACCAGTCGTCAGTAATGACTCACGTTGATGGCAATGGTGTTGCTGGTTATCCACAAAATAGTACACAGTTGTTAATCACGGAATTCCCTGAGGAATCATGAAGGAGATAGAATCTGCAAAGGCGCCCCACTCGGCGCGTTTGGTCTGGAAGATGACGATCCAGGTGGTGAGGCCCGCGGCCCACACCAACGCCCCAATCGCAGAAAATATCACGTCTGCAATCACAAATGAATTATCAATTTCAATTTTTTTTTTTAATTTAAGTTTAAGACGCACATTTCCTGATCTGCTTCTGCTCATCAAAGGGAGTCCTGCGGAAGGCCTCCCAAAAGAACCAGATGGCGTTGATGGCCCAGAGGAAGGGCAGGAATGCGAAACCGGCTGCAATCAATTCAAAATTATTTTTACGCCCAACAAGGACGAAAAGACGCACCTCTGAAATACCACCTGCAAAGGTCAAGCTTCTGGTCGTCCTTCAATTTGTTCAGGTCCATCTTCAGCAAGGGCAAACACGAGCCTTATGGAACAACGACGTCAAATTCTTGCAGAAAATTCACTTTTTACAGAAGGCTTATCTTTTGACAGGCAGTTTGTATGTTTTGTGTACAATTTAAGAATGAGACACGCCCCCATCGGATGAGAGAAGAGAGAAAGAGGGCGCCGGGGGGACAGCGGGTAAATGCATTGCTGAGATAACAAACCAAGCCATACTTTTAAAAATTTTCCCTTTCAAAATAATTAACAATGATATAATCGGATATAATGATTCAAACTCTAAGTATAACCTATACAAGAGTTTTTCATTTCTACTTATTAAGAAAATTTTTGTATGTATGTATGTGTTTATTGAACGCCAATGGCGTGCGACAGGTTACATAAAATAAATACAGCATAATATAATAAACATTAAGGAGGCAGAAACGTCATTTTTTCCATTTAACTTTTGAAGCTTCAATAAGAGACATATCATTTTTTGCGCATTTGAGGAAGTGATAAGTATCCATCTGCTGGTTACCTTTTTTGCACACACTATTTTCTTGAGCACTCGCGTGGTAATTTTTATTCCGGCATAACACATAGTGAAAACCGTGACATGCATATCGGGTGAAAACGTGTCGATTTTCAAAGCTGTTTTCCAGTTTTGGTCGATCATTGCTGGAGTGTCAAAAAATTTTAAGTTTATTTCGGCTATTTTAAAGGATTGATTATAATATAATTTGTCATAACTTTGGGTAAGAAAATTTTTTAGTTTGTATATCCGGATTCAAGGAAATTTTATCGCGACTCGTCATCAAACAATAATTTTCATAAAAAATTATATCTTCTGCCTTTGACATAAAAATAAAAAAGGTCATTTTTCAGCATTTTCCTCTGTTGGTTGTCAGAGCGTACGTACATTATTCTTATCAATATCAATATCCGGTTTTTTTGTCGTGTCTTTTCCACGTGGACTTTAAAACAGTATGGACGTGAAAAGGTGGCTGCCTCCAATATACTTCCTCTACATTTTGGGCGTCACGTTTTTTGCCCTGCTTTTCACTCGAAAGGACGCCAACTTTGCTATTCACCGGCATGAGGTTCAATATTTTTAGAATTAACTATATATTCAGTATTAAATTTATGTATCTTTTGTAAGGCCAAATTTAAAAACACGAGTGAAAGAGCCGACCTGCCGGACGTCAAGTTTCGAAAGGCCAGTCTTTTTGACGACATCGACCTGGCGAAATTTTCCGAGCTTGAACTTCAAATGCTGCTCAACCAGACCCTGCTGAAGGGTTACTTGGACCAGAGCGCAAAGTTCCACGTTTTACCCGATGCTTTTTTGGCCACAAACCACAAAACCCTCGCTATTGTAAAAAAAGCAGTCAAAGTTGCAAAAGGGAAATTCACATTTTTTAACAAAACAGGAGTCGGTTGGGGTGGCTTTGTCGGCAACATTAGACTCAATGGCGGCAGTCGTTTCTTTTTTGGACAAAAGCAGGGGTGGCGTATCTTTGGCCCTGTTTGTGCCGTCGGCAAAACAATTTGCCTCTGCCATCGCCGCAGTCAAATTTTTACGAATGTGCAACACACATGTTCAAAATCAGGCAAGATATTTTCTCTAAATTCAATAAATTTAACATTTTATAAAAAAAAACGAAAATAATTATTAAAAATGAATAAATAAAATTTTAAAATACCTCATCTTTATAAAATAATTCAATTTAATCTAATATTTTTTGGATATTTCAACTTTGAGTTTAAATGTTAGAAATTAATTGTTATTGTTTCCCAAATCTTAATAATTACACAAAAATATTTTATTTTCATTTTGAATAATAAATTTTTGGTAACCAATTTTTTATCTTTTTAAATTAAATGGCCAAAACAGTTTCACGTTTGAACTGAAGCCCTCTTTTGTAATAGGTAAATTGGCACTTTGTGCTGCCGAAGGGTGTTCACATTCAGGATGAAGACCTGCGTATGCTGCGAATCGTGTCGGATTGCTCGGTGAAGGTAGAAGATTTTGTGCGAACTCATAATCTTGGTTCGAGTTTGCAAAAAAACGGATCCTGGCCAGAGAGTTTGGCGCGAAACGTGGCGCGGCGGCACTGTCAGAACGAGTGGGTCACTGTCCTGGAAGCGGAAACGCCACCTTTCAAGGACCTGCGGTTGCCCCGCTTCTTGGCCCAAGTCCGCTGCAAAAGGTGTGTCTTCCTGCTGCCCCTGTACGAAACTTCTGGGCAAAGAGAAGCACCTAAGGACAAACAGGCTCTTTTGGAGGCTGTTAACCGCGGAGAGGCCACGGCGGCCGTCGAGGGCCTTGATCTGTGGGAGCGTGGGCCGCCCACACAAGAAATCAAAAGCATCGCCTTGACGAAAAACGTACCCCTAGACAAAAATATTTTTTTCGTGGCAACACATGAGATTCCCAAATTTGATGAGAGGTACCTGGCAAAACACTCAACGTGGGCAAAAGCTGCACAGGTTAGTTATCCAAGGATTGATTTAAAAACGTTTTCACCACTTTTTATCAAGATCGATGGTGAAATTCTACTACAAAAAAGTTTTTTTTTTTTTTTTTTTGCAAAAAGATTTTGAATAAAATCCAGACAATCCTGACTCATTCATATATAAAGAAGAATAACTAATAAGTAATGAAGAAAACTAAATTATTTTATTACAAAAATTTAACTCGGCCAATGTAAATAATTAATTTTACACTTGGCTGATATAAATACTCGGCTTAAAAAAGTATAAAATATATTTTGTAAAAATTTTGATATCTATTTTGATTGAAAATTTGAAAGTAAGTTATTTATCAGAATTTTGTAAAATTATTGACGTTCTATCAAATTTGTAAATTAATTCTAGCTGAAAAAATAGTAAAAAAATTTAATTCTTAAAATCAGTGTTCAAACTGTGATTGAAACACCCAATTTTATGTAAAATTTACAGGTGTTAGAGATGCAACTTGCCGGTTTCAAATTATTTGTACTAGACCCGCTGTTTCTGTGGCGCCGCCGCCGCGCCCCGTCTTTCCAAAGGGACGAGGAAGGGCAGCAAATTTTTGCGCACCACCTGCGGGAGCTGTCCCTGGTTTACGACAAGTACCTTCCAAAACTGATGGCCACTTACCCATACCACAACCCTACGGTCGTCCAAGTCTGCAAAGCAAAGCAAAAGACTCAAATCGTTAGCAACCTGAAGGACAACCCTTCCTTCAAATATGGGCTGCCCCCGCCGGGCAAACTCGGATTCCAACTTTGAAAACAAAAAATTTAAAAAAATCTTCGATTGAATTGACTGCAATAAAAAATAATACTTGTAATTTATTAAAATATGTTATTCTCAAATAACTTTTATGATTTTCATTCCCTTTGGACCTTTGGAGCGCCAAGTTGTTGTGTTTTAGGCGGTTATCACGTCAGGGCGCGATAAACACACGCTGCCGCAGGAAACAGCAATAAAGGAGTAACTCGTGGCTTCAAAACATTTATTTCGATTCAGGGAAATGTAAAACAGAGACCATGGCTAGACTGATTTTCAGATATGCGTATTTGCTGGCGGCGACCCTAGTGCTGTGTTACGCGACCATCAATAGACCTGGCCTGCACACCACGGTAAATTACAAAAAGAGCATAGCAATACAAATGAGTAAGGGATTTTCAATTCTTAACCACTATCGGGTTTTGCACCATGAAGCCCACCTTGAACACGATGAAGACAGTTTGAACTTTGGATACTCCTTCTAAATAATTTATTTTAAAACTTTAGGTTGTGGTCATTTTATCATAAAAAAATCAATTTTTTATCTGCATCTTTTTAAAGAACGAATACATTTTTATCTTATCAAAACTTTTTACAAGATTGATTTTTAAATTCAGAGAATACACGCTATAAAATCAACAACAAAATACAAATCCCATTCATTATAAATTAATTTATTGTATTTTTAGAGCCGCAGCAAGCAGCCTGAGAAACAACCTAAATTCAGAAGTACTGTGACGAGCGAAACTTGCATACAGGTGGAGTACGATGGAGACGACATGAACGTTTTTAACGTGCCCAGCAGACCTAAGCAGCAGCAGGATTGGCCAGGACTTTTGGCACAAACTCTGCAGGTCAAAGGCCACTGGGACGACAGGGCCAGGTACAAGCACTTCCCTGACGCCTTCCTTGCCAACCACCTTCTCAGCCTATCGAAGGTCTCAAAACTTTTCTCTTTTATAATAATTTCCTAAATTTTTAATTAGTATGAGACGTGCATGGCGACTCACGGGACGGTGGAGGCGGCCGGACAGGTTGTACGCGCGGCCCGAAACTGGCCGGGGGCCATCTCGCTTGCCGTGTTCGCGCCCGCCTCAGACTTTCTGATGACTGTCGTCTTCATCCGACACCTACGCAAGTGCTTCCCGAGCGTCAGAGACCAGGTCACGTGGCACCTGTCTTACCCCAGGGACATGCCACCCTCGTTGAAGAACGCGCATCTCCTTCAACTTGATTTTCCCTGCTCGATGACTACGACTGAGGTGTTGACTAAACTCAGGGACACGGTCGACGCCAAGGACACAGCAGAAGTCCGCCAAATCGTCTATCCGCAGGTAATTTTTCTACCAATCAAAAGTTATAATCCATAATCGGCCGATTCGCGGTGCCGATTTGCTACGGATTTTGTTAAAATAATTAAATAAATTCAAACAATTTTTATTTAAATTTCTATATTTTTATAACAAATTTAATATTAAAAGCTGAGGAAACAAAATTAAAAATTTAATTATTATCAATATAAAATTAGGTCATTTTTTTACTCAGGTGACCCGATCATTTCAGAATAAGTTTTCTAAATTTATGAAATATAGGTTTTTTAAACTTATACTTTACGAAAAAAATTTTAAAATCTTTTTTTTTTTTTTTAAATAAAGCTCGCGCTCCTGCTGCACCGATGTGCGGGGCCGAATTGCGGCACCAATTTGCGGCACCGATTTGCGGCGCCGATTTGCAGCGCCGATTTGCGGCACCGATTAGCGGCGCCGATTTGATCATGCATAATAATATACTCATTCCCAGCAGGTGTTCACTTTATTTTAATTTTTATAAGAAAAAAAAATGAATTATTTTCCAACTGTTTCCAACTTTTAAACCCTTTCTTCCTGTTTCTTACTTTTAATTATTAGAACTCGATGAGAAACTTGGCGCGTCGGCATTGCCGAAACGAGTGGGTGGTGTGTCCTGACCTGGATATGGTGTTCCCAGACCCTTCCGAGGGTGCTTCACCTTTCGCCCTCCTGAACCGTTTCCTTGGTGGGCCGATGGCTGCCGATTTGTGCAGGGAGAAAAAGTGTGCATTCGTACTGCCTCTTTATGAAGTGGAAAACGTCCGGGGCGAAGGTCGCGTGCCTCCAGATAAGGACACCCTTCTGCAGATGGTCCGCAAGGGACACGCTCAGATCTATCATCTCCAAGTGTTCGATGGTAACCAAGGAAGGTCTAACCTGACGGCCTGGGAGCAACTGCCACCGGTTAGCGAAGTTCAGGTCGCCTTCAGGGTCAATTTCTCCTTCTTATACGAGCCTGTCTATATTGCTAAACATGGCAGCCCTGACTTCGAAGAACGCTTCCTTGGCTACGGAATGACCAGGAACACGCAGGTGCAATTTAATATTTAACTTCAAAACACATTTAAAAAATTTAATCAGTGAAAACAAGAAAATGTACTTTAAAATCTAGCAGAGATTTAAAATACATTTAATAAATTTTTTACTAAAATTATAAAAAAAAAAATATTGAAAATTCTTATAAAATGCCGCAATAAGTTAAGTATAATTTGCTGTTTTCTAAGCAGCACCCTCACAAAAAAATCATAAAATTAATAAAAAATTGATAGGTCTTGGAGATGCATCTGAGCGGCTACGAGTTTTATCTGCTGGACTCAATCTTTTTGAGCCACCTTTGGGGCATCCTGAAGAAAAAAAACTACAACCACGCTCGTTTCCAGCAGATCGTTTTCAATTCGCGGCTCTTTCACACATTCTTTATGAGAGAATTGGCCTTTCGCCACCAGCAGGACCTTAGCACCCTGGTCTCCACTCCCACGGGCCTCAAACCAATGTTCCGCACCAACATCAATGTTGAAACTTGTCTGCACAAGCCCTCCACAAACAATGCTCAAAATAAGTCATATTTTGTAAACAAAAACGCGAAAATTGAATTCCGCTCCACTATCAACAATAAATAATATTCCGTTAAAAAATAATGTGTCTTTGCAGCAGAATACAAATTCAGGCCATTATAAATATAAAATAAATTTGGCTGTACTCACCAGTAGGTTTCAATTTGAAAGGGTAATTCCATAAGAGTAGAGAGCAAAGAGTATAATATGTAATTCTCTCCTGCAATAAGTGAAGTCAACTTGTAGCAGCAAATTTAAGTCTTGAAGAGGGCACAGGACTCTAAAATTTACAAATTACAATATTGTAAATGACGAAATATTATTTTCAAATTTCAACAAATAAAATAGAAAAATATAGACCACAGTAGACCACAGGACAAAATAAAAAGCTAAATTTCACATTGCGAAATCTGATTTATCTGATGTGACATGCAAGGATGTGATGTAATAATTCCATTTTCACATTACAAGCATAAAACATTGAACTATGTATGTTGCATTACATTAATTACATACCTTTTGTCTAGAGTGAATTCCTCTGACCCTCTATCATGCATTATCCCGCGAGATTTTAGTTTTTCACTGATAAAATATGGTTCAGCGGCTTGGATACTCCAAGAGTGGCAGATTATACCAGCAAAGAGCACAGAACACAACAAAAGTAACAAAACTCAGCGACCGATTGAAAATTGAGAGAAAATAAAGTAAACAACCCCCTTCCACCGCCTTCGCCTGTGCTCTGCTCTCCTCCCCGCTTCCACGCTGCTTTGGCACGCTTTTTCAAACCTACAGCGCCGTTGTTTGCAAAACTCGCCACGCTGAATGCTAAAATCGCAAACAACAAGAAACATGGCAGATTTGGTCGTGCCGATTGGCATTTCGGCGGCCGAAAGTGAGTCGGCGGACGACGTGATGGAGGTTGACGACCCGTTGGTGAACGACAAGGAACTTGGTGATCTCGGTGACGCGTCCGATGACCTCGAGGAGGGCGAAATAGACGAGCCGACTGCCATCAACCAAGTCGGAGGAATCCATTCGCAGATCAAAGTCCGTCATTAATTTTTTGCTAGTTTCTGAATGAAATTGTAACTTTACTTTGAGAGCAGGCGGCTGGCCGAATATATGAGAATACATTTGCGACCGGATTGGACTTGGGGACCGCAGAAGGGAAGCTACTGTTGGAGAAAAGGGCTTTACGGTTTGGCACCGCCGAAGAGGGCATCAAGCTGCCTGAGGTTGTCCCGGCCTGTGACGTTGACGAAATTGCCCTGCAGGACTTGTATAAAAGGTTTGCACATCTTTCAATGTTTTCTGGTAATTATAAAAAAAAAATTATGGACAGTCTGGGCATGTCGGAAACGGAGAGTCCTTTCGAGAAGCAGGGCTTCCGGCTGAATGCGGTGCATATCCGGGGGTTGCAGGACATGGACACCAACGACGTGTTCAGCCTCTTCCGCCACTACAACCCGGCCTCCCTTGAGTGGGTCAACGATGTGTCTTGCAACGTCGCCTGGCTAGAGAAGGTAGACGCAGCCAGGGCGCTAATTGGTCTCTCAAAGGTCATTGTCGGCCTCCCCGAGCGTCGCCGCAGTGACAAATATGAGGAGGTGCTTGTCGTTCATGAAGACGACGACGAGGAAGGGACCGTTGTTGAAACCATGGAAGCCCAGGATCAGGAAAACAAAGCCCCGGAGGTGTGATTTTTTTTTTTTAAATTTTGATTGGAAACCTTACCTGAAAAATGAAAATTATGAAAAAATCTAATGTATGTATCCATTGCTTTTTAGTCTCATAATTTTGATTTATATCAATCCACTTGATTTTATATTTCACTTTTCTTTAGTATAAACAAGAATTCCAAATTCAAAAGTCTTATTATTTTTATTTTTATTCAAGTATCGAAAACTAGGTGTGAAAACAAATATCTCTATAAAATTAATTTGTTATAAAATACTTTCTCCTGTACTTGTATATTTCACAGATTAAATTGTTTAAACTTTCCAGTCGGACACGATCCTTGCCTCCGACATCAACGTTCCAATCCCTCCTGGCTTCTGGAGGTACGGAGGGACAAAGCGTAACTCAAAGGGTCTACTCTTAAGATATGCGAGGTACTCTGACAAAAAGGCGGCAAATGCTGAGGGTCTCAGTGAGTACTACCGAAAACACGGAAACCCAAATTATGGAGGTTGATTTATTCTTTCTAGTGATTTCAAATGTATTAAAATTTGGTTGTTGCAGGAATGAAAGGCTTCATCTCGCAGAACAGGAAACGGAAGCATCAGGAGCGGAGAAGCGCTTTGCCAAAGAAAGTGGAAAACACCAGCAAAAATCCATGGGGGAATCTCGCTCAAGACTGGAGCTCAGTCGAGAGAAAGCCTAAAGGCATTAAAGGTGGGAATTTTTTATAAGTTTTTTTGCAACTTGTCCAATAATAATTAAAAAAAAATCTAACAATATTAAAATGGATCATAAGTATTTTTTTTTCAATGTTTTTAAATATTGCCCAAGATTAAATGCGGCGTTATTTTCCACACAATTGTTGACCTGTTTCATTAAAAAAAGAAATTGCATATAATCAGAGTTTACCATTTTCTGTTAAATAAATTTTCAGATCGTTTGAATTTGGATGATCCAGGTCTGCTAGATAAAATCGCTGACGTGCGGACTATTCTAAAGTCAAACAGGAGCAATCCTCCGGCGCCGCCTCCAACGATACACTCGTCGGATAGTGAGTTACAATCGGATGAGTCTTCAGAGGAGGAGGAAATGTCATGGACAAAGAAACTTAAAGGACCACAGATGCGAATGCACGCAGACGTGGAAGAGAAGAAGATCGAGAAACGGCGCAAGATGGCTGCCGTCCGTACACACCATACGCGCACCCTGATTGTGGAGAAGGCGTCGCCGCCCAAGGTGGAGGACCTTCGAAGTCGCATTTCACACGCTGCCGCCCAACAGCCGCACGCCCCCGCCTCGGTGTGGTCCCGCCTCCAGCGTCCGCCCCCGCAGCAACATAAGTCAGAGAGAAAAAGAGACTTTTCCCCAGAGTCTGATGATGAGCCTCCCGTCAGACACGCCGTCCAGTCTACCATCTCGGCCGTCAAGGGCGACCTCAGGGGTGCCATCTCAGTCAGGAAATCCAGTGAGGATCACTTTTTTTAACTACTAAATTTTGTTCTTCAGATCAATTCTCATATTAAATCATAAAAACCAAAAATTTCATAAATGCTGTTTAGATTGAAAGCTTAACATGAATCATTTAATTAAACTTCATTTGGTTGTTTTTAAATTAAATTCTGAACTTTTTGCAGGTGGTCAAGACTTACGGTCAAAAATAGTGCGACCGGAGGCGAAACGTTCAGAGGGCAGACGTAGAAGACGATCTGTCACGCCCCCGTACAAAAAAGAGGAGATCCGTATCGAGATCAAAAATGATAACTACAAAGGCGGTGGCGCCAAAAAGCAGAGCAGCGAATCTGACAGCAGCTCATCCTCCTCTTCGTCATCATCCTCCTCGTCCAGCAGCAGCAGCTCCAGCGGCTCTGAGTCAAGTGGCGACGAAGAAGAGAAGGAGTAGAGTAAGATTGAAGGTATCAATAAGTTCAAATTGAAAAAATTTTAAGGAATAAAAATATGCACAGAATATTTTGGAAAAAAAAATGTATCTTAATTGGTAAATATCAAAAATTCATATTGGTCCCCACTCTTTCGACATAGCCTTTTCAAGCAGTTGGGTGCTGAGGGGGTCATACTCTGAGAGCTGACGGTAGCCCTCGTCCCCTACAAAGCAAATCTCGTGACCGTCCTGCAACATAAAACAAATATATTCAGAGATAAGAGTATGCAGGTGTCATTTGTGTGTTTTACACAAAGTACTTTCATATACAAAGTAATTTTAGATAAGAGATTGTTTAGATAAGCTTCGTACCGGGTCTGCCAGAATTATGACCCTGACGGTCGCTTTGCCAGGGGTGGGCAGGGTGATCAGGGGCGTCAGGATGGTGTTGCCCGTCTCAGAAATCTTCTTGCTGATAACCTCCTGTTGCTCGTATGGACACGAAAAGGCAATCCGACCGTACGCCTTTGCCCTTTCCACCGGACCTCCTGCACGGAAAATTAAACATTTGTTTTCTAACTGTCCAAGTAAATTTAATACCAAGGTCTCTGAGCTCTAGTTTAGCCTGGTCTCCACCAAAAGAGACAACGGCCGACTTTTCATCCTTGTTGAGCAATTTGAGACCAAGGGTACCGTGCCAGAAGTCGAGCGACTTCTGCAGGTTAGAACTGCCCAGGATGACGGACTGCACAGGGTCTGCAATCATTCAAACTATAATTTTAAAATATTTTTGAAGGGTAGTTTTAAACCTGTGTCAACGGGTTGCGGTTCGTCAATGAGCAAAAACTTGTATCCCCCAGGCGCCTCGGTTACCCAAAAGCCAGAGGCCTCGTCCTTGCTGACCGGCCAGTCAAGTGCTTTTGCCCTCTCGATGGCCTCCTTTGACTTAATTGTCATAGCAATGAAGTCATTTCCTATTTAATCGTATTATTAGAAATCTGATTTAAAATGGTATTTGTTTTCACCTTTTTCATATTCGGAGACGCCGTAGTTGAAGGTGAGCTCAGCGACAAAGTGCGTGTCCTCGGAGCCATAGCCAATCATGGTCTTGCTCCATCGGTTCGCGTAAGGTCTAAAAGCAAATTATTTTCTGAGCATGGTTATATAACATTCTTCTTACCCATTGCAAGCTGCTTCACATCCTTCGGTAAATTCCTCATGACGCAGAACCTGCGGAATTTGTTTTGTATTTATTTTAAGAAAAATGAAATGAAGAATTACAAACCTTCATTCCTAAGACTTCGCGGTAGAACTTCATAGTGTTTTTGCGGTCCCCAATTTTGAAAACGAAGTGCAAAGCTCTGCCGTTGATGTTCATGTTTGAATCCTTAAAATAAATTTTTAAAAATAAAATAGAATTGGTGAAATTAAAAAAAAAAATCCAATAATACTTCTTAATTGAATTAATGGTTTTAAAAAAATGTTGGCTGAAGAAAGTTTTGTCAATTAGTTTCGACTTTTTGCTGACTGCGTGCGCTTCGTGCAAGCGGTGATCAAGTTCTAATAATTGATAAAACGCGAATAGAATGGAGTGGTCCACTCACCTAGCTCACACCTGCCGACGCTGGAAGATCTTAAAATCGTACGCCAGCTCGAGTTTGAGTGAATGGGTGGAGCGTGCGAGTGGTGACAAGCACCAATGTTTATTTCGCAAACATACCGCTTGACGGCGCCAATTAATGAGCACCAATACAGTGTTGCGAACCTGAAAAAGATGTCTGCACTTTTGACTTACTTTATTTAAAGTAAATTTACTTTTTTTATTAATGTTTATAAATTACAAATTAATAAAAATATTATAATTTATTTACTTAATCATTTATAATTTGTAAAAAATAAGGTGTAAATATATGCTTCACACAGTTTGGTTGGCTGCAGTGTAAACAACTTTCCACCGAAATCGCACGACAAACACGCTCGACATTGTTTTGCTGCTAAAAGCGCCGCATTTCGCGACATTTCCCTGATTTTTCGGCTGATTGCGAATCGGAGTCCAGTTAGGTACGTTCAGAATACTTTGAATGATTCGATTAAACTCGTCTGGCCGACTTTCGCCGGCGAATTTGGCCCAATTCCGCGCTTACTTGAAAGTAGGTTGTCGGACGCGAAAACGTCACGCCGAATCCGCGTGCCAAAAAACCACTCTCGGGCTCCTTTTTTTCTGCAGGATAATTTTTCTTTTATATACTGCATCTATCAGGAAAAATACTTCCGCCAAATATTTCATTTTCGCCATTTTCAGTGCAAATCCTTGAGGAGGAAAATTTGGTTTCATTTTTTGCTCGCGGATGCTGGATGATGAATTTTGCTGTTCACGGTTTGCCGGATTCGGTGAAAGCTTCTTTCTTGGTCGCAGGCGTGGGAGATAAAAGCGTGCTTTTTCACCAATATCTTCCTCTCGTCGCGATCTAATAATTTCTGATCGGGACAAAGACGATTCTATTTGCGATAAAAGTTATCTTGTCTCCAACAGCGATAAAAAAGTAAAGAATTATCTTTGATTCAGCAGTTTTTCAAAGCTATTTGTCACGTCAGCAGCTTGCTCTGCGTGGGTGTCATTTTTTGCAATTTGTGCAATTTTTGTATTTTAATTCTTGGTTGGAAAAATGTTAAAAATTGATTTGAATGTTGGCAGGTTGAAGCGGAATGGCTCGCGGCCACCAGAAGCTGCAGTCGCAGGCCAAGGCGCAGGAAAAGGCGGCCAAGATGAAGAAACAGCAGGGCCACAGCGCCGCCGACCAGCAGAAGGCTGCCGCCAAAGCCCTCGTCTTTGCCTGCGCTATCTGCAAGGTTGTCAGATGTCTTGATAGAAGACTAACATTTTTTTTCTAATTAATTACAAAAAAAAAAAAACATTGTCTCGTTGTCAGATGTGATCATTTAATTTTTATATTTATGAAAATTTAAATTCACTGAATTGTGATAATGGAATTTTAGTAACATAACAGTTGGAAATTATTTCCACTATGCATTTAATTTTTATTTGGCACTAATTTTATGAGTGTTGCCTTTGCCCGTAGCTGTCCCGTAGAATGAAATTTCTCAAAAAAATAATATCACAGTCATATTTTATAAATATAACTTTTATTTAAATCAGAAAAAATATGCAAAATATAAAAATAATATTTTATAATTTATCTTTTGCAGTCGCAAATGCCGGACCCAAAGACGTACAAGCAGCACTTTGAAAACAAGCACCCGAAGAACGATTTGCCCGAGGAGCTGAAGGGCGTGTAACCCTGGCCGCCACTTCCGAGAGAGACACAGATTGACTCAGGCACCCACTACAAACGACAGGTTCTGGTGTTAAAAACAATACTGATTGTTGGTTTGAAGCCCACAATGAAAATGTAAAAATTCCCCGAATTGTGAACAACGAGTGGTGTTGCTGCGATTTGCCTTCGTCTGGACTTTTGTGGTGAGATCAAACTTGCCCAACACTCATCATGCAATTTTATTTTATTTTTGTTTCCGAATGACACAAAACTTTCAATAAAAATGATTGTACCGAATGTTGACAGAGATTCTATCTTTTCCTTTGATCGAGGCATTCGGTAGTTTAAGCTTTTAATTTTTTAAGTTGTTTAAATAAAAAAAAAATAATAACAATAATATGAGGTCCTTCAAATTGTTCAGTTCATTCTCAATCATTTGTAAAGTCTTGGACTTCAGAATGACTTCAGTTAATTTAAGATCTGCTCTATTTGCAAAAGAGATTTTTAATTATGTTCTCTCAGTGGAATTGTAATTATGTATATTATGTAAAATAAAAAATTAATTTAACTGAAACTTGAAATCTGAGACCAACAATGCAAAATAGCTTGCGATTTTCGCGCGCTTATTTCAAAATTCTCATGCCTTCAACAACGGGATTCGCCACGCCCCCGAAGGAGCCAAATCAAACGGCAAAACAAAACGTCGTGTAGTGTACGTCAATTTTGGACATCGGCAATTATAAGTGACTGAATTTCTGAGCTGCAGGATCATTTAGCGCCGCGGCCAATTATGAGGAACGACGCGATCACGGTAAATTTTATAATGCACCCCCTATAATTTGTTGTCGCACTAAATTCGCGACAAGTTTCAGCTCCAAATATATGAACAAGACCTTTTTGCACCAAAATGAGTTTTTTTTTCAGTTCCGGGTGCAGCAAGTGCTGAGCCAGCCGCTGGTGTTGCGGTGCCAGGAGCTGACGGCCCTCGTTGCCGAGGTGGACAGCAAGCAGCTCAAGGACACTTTCCCGCTCATCCTTGAAAACATTTTTGGCTCGCCCGGCTGGGGCTTGCGGCTGTCGGACAGGAGCGTCCTGTCGCTGCAGAGGGATGCTGTCTGCAAGTTCCTCGACCCCACTGGGCCGCTGTTTGTCCTCGCCTACAAACTCTGTGCAGACTTCTTCCTCAAATATGACCTGCCCCTCAACCTCCTCCCAGTATGTCTTAAATATTTTCTCTTAAAAAACCTTTCTTAAAAGTTTTATTACAGGCCAAACTGCGACGCGACCTGGAAAAGGGCATGTTGATGAATTCATGGTATTGTGAGCGCATTTTTGTCGACCCAAACACTAGAAGGGCCACCATGCTGAAGCTCAGTAAGTTTTTTTATTGTATTTTGCAGCTGGTCTAAAAATAAAATAAGAAAGCTAAAAAACCCGATTTTGTCACATTTTGTACTCAATCAACAGCAAATTTGAAAAATAAATAATTTTATTTTATTTCGAAACTGTAATGTAGACATTTGAATTAATGGAATATGCAAAAGAAGCACATAATAGCGAGTAAATTTCTGAATGTTAATTGTACTACAACTTTGTTTTTAGGTGCTTTTGAGCTTCTAGTGTTCAGATTTGCGCTTCATCTGCTGCCACAAACACAGCCTGAGGTTTGGCTTGAATCAGTGTACCTGCAGCTACTGGAACGCTACCTGTGCCACTTCCTGCCCTGCCAAATGCAGCCAGGGCCTGTCGAGCCCCATGTTCCCTACGTGCCACACCAACCCCTCTCCTCCGCCCCTTTTGCTCACCACTCGCCTCTCTCCAGGTACAAAAAATTTATTTTCAATTTTGGGTTTAAATTTCTTTTTTGTTTGCAGCCAGACGCAGGGAATATCTTTGTTGAAGGTGGCAGGGGCGCAGAACTCGTCAATGCACCATCACGGCCAGCACAACCCCTTGGCCGAAATCTGGCGCACCGTCCACATAGTCAACATCCTCATGGACATATGGCTCAGCTTTGATGATGAAAAGGGCAACATTAGCCCTAGTAACGTCAAAACTAGTCCAGTGGTATGTCTCTTTAAAAAAAATCACTTTAATTAAGACTTATAATTTTGTATACATATAAGTTTTTAAAAAAATATTTAGCCACTAAAATTATGATTTTTACATTAAAATTGGTTTATTTTCACATAGAAAATATACTTCTTCTGTGAAAGTTTTTGAACTTATTTACGTTCGTAGGATAAATTTTAAATTTATTTATTTTCCTTTCAGTCGTCATTACCAAGCTCTGAGCATGCGAGAATGGCCCGGGCCTTGCTAAAGCATCTGCACTACTTTGCCAACAGCGCCTGCTACACCAACCCCAGCGACATGGACGAAATGAAGAGGTTTATTCTTCCTACAATTTCTTTGAATCAAATAATCATTATTAAATTCCACAGGATGGTAATTCCCATGTACAAACAAAAGATCTACCACTTCCTGTCAGGCTGCATCAAGAGCTGGCCCTATGATCAGTCCTTTCGCATCATCCTGGAGGCGTGGCTCAGCTACATTCAGCCCTGGCGCTACACAAATTACGCCAACTACGGAATGTGAGAAAATCTCACATTTTTAAATAAGCTGTAATAATTTTTTTCTTTTTCGAAGGCGGGAGAATGATGAGAGCGGAAAAGCTGTGGACCGAAGGTGGCAATCGTTTGTGGCAGAGAACCTGCCCTTCTATGGCTGCATCTTTCAACAGGTTATGCACAGGCTCTCCCGAATTGATCTGTCCATCCTGAAAAACGCCATCATGTTGCACAGAGTCTGTCGAGTAAGTATAACTTCCACATAAATATAAATTTGAATTATATAAATTGTGTTAATGCCATGATTATACTTAATGTTTGATTTTTTTATTGAAAGCTCTATAAATTTAAATAATGTTGACTATTTTTTCCAACTTGAAGCTGCTTTGCCTGGAGAATATGAAGGCAATGGTGAGTGAAGTGGAAGAGAGTCTGAGACTTAAGGGCAGCGTCCAGCAGGCCACCCTGATGTCATCCAGGTTCCTGGACTCTTCTGCTGACGCCTCGATGGCTGTCAGTTTGAAGAGTCAGGCGGCGGCCCAGGCGGCCATCTCCGAATTAGAAGGCCAGCTTTTTGTCTACAAACCAATGTTTGGTCAAGAGGTCAACATACTGGTTTGGCAACTGCTGAGGGCGCTGATGCTTTCCCGGCAGAAGGCCGAGGGTTTATATGAAGAACAGAAAATGCGACCTAGGTCAAACGGCTTTTGGAACGCTATCCTGTGCTTTGATGATGATCACGCCGAAGAGTACACCGTTGATGATCGCCGCAGGGTTGTCGATATCCTTAAGAACTGCTACACGCAGCTTTGCACCGTCTATGAGGTAAGCAAATTATATTTAAAGGGACTTAGAACGTTTATAGTTTTGCATTTATATGACATGTCAAAAACCAATGTGTTACTAACTTACTATAAATTTTTCAACAAGGAAAACTAGATATGTTTTAAATTTAATGTGTCTAAAATTATAAACTTTCAGATAAATTATATAGAGGATGATAGTGATTCTGAGCGGATGAACCGAACGTTTCTTTCCTCAAGCGACTCGAGTTTTCGTGATCGGATGCTGGACTCTAGCTCATTGTCTCCTTCTAAACCGATGGTGCCGAAACCCTCTGGGGACCCTGACAAGCGTCCCATCTGCAGCTTTGAGGTTGCCTGGCTAGTGCGTATGTTCCATGACATCTCTAGCTACCTCAACAGAGAGGTGAATAAACAAGTCTTTCATTTTCCTCCAATAAGTTGAGTTTGTAATGTTTCAATTAAAAAAAAAAAAATACTTCAAATACATAAAGACTTGAAAAATTGATACTTTTTGTTATTGTAGGAAAAATATAGTTTTGATCGCTTTGATTTCAGCACCACTTTGAGATCCAGGCACTGCACACAAGGGAGGACATGTGGGGACGGCTGGCGCGGCAGGTGCTGCAGCCGCCGACCACCATCAGCGTGTACGAGCGCGGCCCTGAGGGCTACAAAGTGCGCACCGAGAAGACTCTTCCCGCCAGGGTCAGTCTTCGCCGCCTGGCCAACACCAGGCTGCTCTTCTGGCTGGGCGTCGCTTGTCTGCTGGCCAAAATCTGCGGCTTCCACTTCTTCCTTGGACTTGCCCTGCCATTCCTTCTCTTCAGCGGATACATCTTTGTCAACGCCCTCCGAGAGTGAATTCATTCCCATTCATGATAATGATAAGGTATTTATAATTATTTTGGAAATAAGAACAAGATCTTTCGTAAAATACTCTTCGTCGTTTTTATTTAAATAGTACATTCTTTCGAATTCCAAATCGCAAGTCTGCAATAAATAATGGAAGGACCACGAATCAGACACAAAAATATCATATTCCCCAAGCACAATTGGACGACTGTCACATTCTCTCCATCTTGTGGGGCGATGCCCTGCAGGGCGAATCGCGAAATTCGCCTCCGTCGAATCGGACAAATCGACCAGCATCGCCCCACAAGATCTTTTGTCTGCACTCCTGCTCTCGGGCAAGATAACAGAGCTGGTCAATTAATTGCATCTCGCGCTCACAATTAATGGCAAATCAGAGGTACAAAAGCGCTTTCATTACAAAGTTAATAGAAATAGAGAGTGGAGCTGAGTATTAAAGTTTAGCTAAAATTCATCTATCTTTTGAATAAAAAATTCACTCGCGTATAAAAAAAAGTACTAGAAAAAAATTGTAAAATCAGTCCTCTTGTGGCACTCATTCGAATTGGCTCGATTTTTCTATTCTTCGATTTCGTTATTGTCCACTCTGCTGTTTCTCACTCCGGTCTTGCCAGTCCACGGGTAGATGTCGGGACACGGCTGGCAGGTGCGCATGTACCGCACGCCACTCTTGTGCCACAGGTTGCATACCTTCGGGTTGTTGCACCGCTTCGGTCGCGACTGCAGGTTAAAAATTAAGATAATTGTAAAGGATTAACATTCCTATAATTAATCAACTAACCTGGTAATTGCAGCCGAAGGGGGCAAAGTTCTTGACACTGCTGAGGGGTTGGGGGTCGCGCATCCACTGCAGGGCCTGCCAATTGGTGGTCAACCAGACGTCGTCCATGGCCACGATCGTGTCAAGGAAGGCCTCAAAGCCCTCCTTGTGGTGCGGCTGGGTGAACCACGCCGCGTGGTAGTAAAGACCGAAAGGAGCCCTAGAGGGAAAGACGATTAAAAATCAACTGTTAATGTCCATTACATTCAACGTTTTTTAATTTGGAATTTTTGCAGAATAATTAATAATTAAGAAAATACCTGTTGGTGGTGTAATGTCTCTCAAAGTTCTTGATGAGCATTTTGTAGACGCCATCGGCGGTGGGAGGGTTGCTACAGGCGTCGCCCATGGAGCAGCGTCCGCCGTTCAGGTCCTGCCACATCACCATGGGCACTTCCCAAACACCTGCGATTGATTGTTTATCAATTTGCGCTCAGATTCAATGCTTCGTGAAAACTAACCAGGGTATGACTTGGTGGGGCAAGGGGGAATCATGCAGTCGTGGAAGATCTTGTAGTCCAAAGTGTAGGGGAAGCTGGGCGGGCGGTTTTCATAGACGGGCATCGACGAGTCATAGGTGAAGTTGGCGTCGTACAGCATTTTGAACATTTTGTTGCCGCCGATCTTCAATTAAAAGTTTAATAATTTTCAACAAAATATTATTAAAAACTCACTGCAAGGAAGGGGGCGCGCATGCCTCTGATGTCCTCGAGCTTGACGCCTCCGTAGGCAGACAGGATTTCACGTTGTCCCGCGATTTCCCTAGTCCACTTTTTCTGCGAGAACTGCTCACCGAAGCTATGTCTGTTCAAGGATAAACGTTGAAATAAGTATTTTTTGCGATTCATAGGGTCAATACAATTAGACGCTTTGATTAGAACTCTTCTCAATTATCTAGAAAATTTTGTTTTTGGAATAAAATTTACTAAGTTATTAACTCCAAAAGACAGGCATATTTTTTGGCGCAAATCATTAAAAAACAAATAATTTTTGCAATATATTATCCAAAAAACAAAAAGCTATTTTTTTTTTTTTATAAGTTTGAAGGCACTTGGGGCTATTGTACTTACGAGACAGAGTGAGATGCCATTTCGTGACCGTCGGCGTAAAGGTTCTGAACTTGGCCGTAGTCGGTCCATTCGTGCGAGACATAGAAGGTGGCCGAGATGGGGCAGCCGTTGGGGTTGACGCGGCCGCGCTCGAACAGCGACTGGTAGAGACCCTTGTTGAGGTCATTGACCGAGTCGTCGAAGGTCAGCAGCACAATCTGGGGGATCTGCTCAGGCGCGAATCCAGCGGGCACTTCCTTGCCTCCGCAGTAACAGTCGGGCAATTGGCAAACGTCCTTGCGGCACTTGGCCGCAGTCTGGTCCACGCGCGGAGTTGGGTAGATTGGTTCGGGCCTTTGAAAAAATTACTTAAAATCTGATGGACCATGATTATGAAGCAATCGTGACTGACTGTCTTAAAAAAAATCGATTGCTATAACGCTTTAAATTTATTTTCAATTTTTTTACCTGGAGGGAGGGAAGCGGTAGATGTCGATGTACTCGGCGGCATTGGCCACGATCGTTTTGGAGGGCTTCAAAGTCGGCCTTGCGCTTCTGCAAAACAACATTTAGTTTCAAAGTTCAAAATAAAGGTTGGAAAAAATTACCCAGCCTTGACACTTCCGCGACCTCTACTGCTCGTCGAAGCAGTGTTGCTCCTGAAAAATTGCAAAATCAGTATCTCGTAATCAAACTCGTTTGAAAATTAATTTAGCAGTGCTGCGGGCAAAAATGTGTTTATGTGTGATTTTAAAATCCTGTGAAAGTAGTGTTTGACTTTGTGTGAGCATGTGTGGTTTTTAATTTGATTCCACTGGAAGCGCTACACTTATTTATTTCCTCAACCACGCAGAAAACGATGGCAATTTTCCAAAGGTGAGACTCGCCGCTCTCTTATCCACAGTGGCTATAGCTGTGCTGCTGAATTGTTAAACCGTTAAGAGGCAGGCATGCGGTTGTTGCGGAAATTTAAACTCGGTGAGAGACAGAAAGGGAAAGAAGAAAAAATGAAATTAAAGAGCAAAGGGACAGAAGTGGAAGAGGTCGTTTTCTCCTGAAAATCAGTTTGGCGCTAATTCCGGCGGATGCAAAGCACACACATTGCACGGCGCAGAGACCCGCAAATGAATGAATTCGGCTAATCAAAGCGTGATATGCCCCGTCTGTTACCTTTGGGCATTGCCTGTGGACGCAACGGTTGCAATCGTCGGCCTAGCCCTGCCACACACATTCAGAATTTCAATCATTTGATTCCTACCACTACATTTAAGAGCACTCGCATTTTCAATGAATACAAAAATCTTATTTTGATGGTTTTGAAGTACCTGGAGGGGAGGGGGCTTTCAGAAACTCGGTTATCCGAGTCGTAGCCTCCGGAGGGGAGGTCCTCGTCACCGGCGTCGATGGCCTCGTACTCGGAAATACGGGCTTTGGTGGCGCCACGGTTGCTGGCCCTGCCCTGCTGCCTGACCAGTGCGCGCTGTTTCCCGCTCCTGATTGTCGCCAAAATTATTCAAAATTCAACTGTGCTCAAAAACTACGGAAAAACTAAATAGCCCTCATTTTTTTTTTACAAAAACAACATAAAAATAAAAAACTACAGAGAAACTAAGTGAGAGTGCAATTAAGTTCTGCGCGTGCTGACATGAGTGGCTGCTTTTTGTACCTGGAGGGCTGCTCAGGGGCGACGGTGGGTCTGACTGTTGTTGTGGACGTGGTTGTTGTACTTGTTGATGTTGTTAAAGTCTCTTTGGGGGGCTTCCTGTGCACCATTGCCCGTAAATTAACATTTTTTTTACACAATTTACACAAAAGTTTAATAAATTAATAAAATTTTGAATTTGAGAGAGGAAGATTGAGAAAAATTAAATGTATTTACAAAGAGATTTTCAAAAGTTCCTTCACCGAATCATCGGAGAGTTGTTAATATAATAATTATACGCAAAAATTAAAAAATCTACTTGTTTTTAAATATTGCTATACGTACTGCGAGGAAGCGACTCTGTTGGACTGCCTAGTGGGTGGCTGTGGCTGAGGGCTTGGTTGCGGCTCGTAGGCCACCTCGTCGTTGTTCTGCGTCAGAATCAAATCAAAATATGCCCATTATTATTTAATATTTTAAATTTTTACCTGGTAGGTGTCATAGTCGTAAGTGTCAACAGGATATTGAGGCTGGGCAGGTGCCGACTCAACGGGTGCGTAACTCGGAGGGGCAGGGCGGTACTCCTGCTGGGCAACTGGCGCCGCGGTCGGTGCTGTTGGCTGCACCTTGTACGGACTCTGACCTCTGTAAAGGGGTTGCTGCTGTTGCTGCTGACCGCTGGTTGTCTGATACTGGGGATATTCTGTTTGGAAACCACAATTAGTAATGTTTGATCATTACAAGATACTATAATTGATGTTCCTTATAAAAAAAGAATAAGTTATATACCTTCATAGTAGTCTTCATAGTCATAGGTGTAATTGGTGACGGGAATAACAGTTCTTGGGGTAGGGCTGGTGGGCACGTAGGCCTGCACGGTGGACGCAGGAGGGTCGGGCCTGAAATTTTGTTAAAATGGGTAAGGAATCGCAAATGAAACGCACAAAATGGAATAAGCAAGTAGAGAAATCAAAGGCTGCATGGAAGTTTTGTAAAATCTCATGAAACACCAAACACCTCTGGCTGATACAAAAGTATAAAATGTGATTTGCGACCCATAGTCAGTAAATGCGTATTTGAGAGAGAATGAGGCGATGGTTTATTAGAATTTTTCTTTGTAAGGGTGTGCGGGTGGGGGCGGAATGGCTACCTTCTTTTGGCGATTACATTAGATCCTCTAACTCTAGAACTGGCCGGCCGGCGCTTAGAACTCTGTCGGGAATCGTCCTCACCCGCCGAGAAGTCAGCCGGCTTTTGCGGCCGTCTGCTAGTCTGTGCAGGGGTTGGGGTAACAGGACGAGTGGGGCGGGAGGTGCGTGGCCTCGGGGTAGTGGTTGTGGTAGTAGTAGTAGTGGTGGTAGTTGTGGTTGTAGTGGAAGTGGTGCTAGTGGTTGGGCGAGGGCGCGCTTTAGTAGGCGGAGGGGTTATGAGCACCACTTCCTCATTGACAGCGGGACTTTGCGGTCTGCGATTAGTCACGGTGGACAGGCGGAAGGGACGAGGTGTGGTAGGGGAGGCACCGCCAGTGATTCGGTTCAGGTGGGGACGCAGGAATTCGTCCACCTCTTCAGGAAGGTCTTCGACGGAGGGCAACAACCGCGTGCTGGCTTTGAACTTTTTGGTGCTGGGCCTTTGGGTGGTGGTAGTAGGGGTGAAGTACTGCTCGATGGGCAGCCGACTTTGCCTGTTGGCGTCGACAAAACGGGGCGTTGTCTCGGTGGTTGATGGCCCGCGAGTTATATAATCGATGGCTTCAAAAGGCCTTCCTGGCTTCAGGGACACGTTCTTGTCAACGTACGAAGGCTTCTCGGTGGACTTCAGGGTTGACCTGAGGAATTCGTCAAAGAATGAAGTCTTGGGAGTGGTTGGAGGCGGCTTTGAAGGTTGTTGCTGGCGCAGTACCGGCGAAGATGTTGGCCTGGTGGCAGGCGTAAATGAATTGGGGTTCAGAGGGAGCTGGACGACGGGTTGTTGTCGGCGAGGGGGGAAGACGCTGTCCTGCTCGAACTCAAAGTCCCCGAGCTTGGTAGGCTTGGTGGCAACAGTTGAGGGCCTGATGGTTTCGTAGACGACCTCCTGTTCGTACTGGGGCTGCTGCTGCTGTGCGGGCCTTCTCGGGGGTGGTGTCACGTCTTCCTCGTACTCAAAGACGGCGTGTGTCGTCGGCCTGGATGGGGCGGGCGTCGGTCTCGATGGCTTGAAATAGGGGTCGTAGGCGGCAGGGGTGTTAGGCAGAGGAGCTGGTTTGATGCTGGGCAGGTCAAAGAAGTCCTGCACCTGAGTCCTGAACTGCAGGTTGTTGTTGTTATTGGCCCTGGCCGCCTCAATGGCCTTCTGGGCGCGGAAGTTGGCCAGGAAGGTCTCGATGTCGACGGTGGGCTGCGCACGGGAAGAGGTGGTGGGGAAGGGAGTTGGGCTTGGCCGGAAGCTCGCCGTCGTCGGTTGTTGGTGCTGCTGGTGTGGGGGAAGGTTGCGCGTCAACGAGGTGGCGGCGGGATTTTGGAGAAAAGTGTTAGAATAGGAGAAGAAGTCGTCTAGGTTGCGGAAGGGTTGTTGTTGCTGCCGGGGCCACGCGACCGAGGAGGAGGAGGAGGGAAAACCGCCGCCGCTTTGGCTCTGAGGAGAGCGAGCGAATCGGCGTCTGGAGAGGAAAGGTGTAGAGAAGGGGTGGAGAGAACAACAAAATCACGAATCAGTAAAAATTTCGAATTGGAAATTTCAAATTGAGTAAAAAATTAATAAAATGCTTTTGTACAGTTAGCGACTTTTAATGAAGCGGCTGCTGCACATATTAATTATAAACAAATAATTTACAGGAAATTAGGAAATTTGGATTTTTTGCTCAACACATGTATAAAAAATAGAAAGGTGGAAACAATGATACACACAGAGAGAAAGAGAGATAGAGAGACAATTGAGAGGGTTAATGAATTGAATATTAATTGCTTTTAAAATTTAAATTTTTTGAATTTAGTAGGAGAGAGCTCGTCGGAATTTGCGAAAAATGCGCGTCTCTCATCTCATTTGGGGAAGGGGTGCTGGGAGAGGGTGCGAGAGAGGGGTCGGAAGGTTACCTTGTGGAGCGTTTGCGTCGTCGTCGTCGGCGCCGGAACGCCAGCAGCCTACTGGTTGAGTTAGTCTTACCTTCAGTCCGAGTGGTCAGTGCATTGTCCGACTCAAAGTCTGCCTCCAGCAAACTGCAACGTGTCAGTGTCAAGTCAGAGTCAGTCAAAGGGCGGAAAAGGGTCATGAGATGATCAGGTTGAAATGAAATGGAAGCAGGTTTGCCTTTTTGCCACACGAGGAAAAGGTGTGAAAGGTTTATTAATTAACAGGTCGGAATGCAGATTCAGAGAAAGTTGCATGCGAGATGAGCAGCGCCTGACACGGCGTGCGTGTTAAAGGTCGCGCTTATGCAACCACTTATCTCACAGCAGGAGGAAGCACGCATTTTCATTCCTCAGTGATCGTCAAAGTTAAAAAAAGCGGCAGAAAGGCAAAACTTTATTGAAAATTGATTTTGTCACTAAATTTGAAATGTCTGGAGTCAGTTAATGAGCGTGGCGGCCTTTTGTGATTGTGAATATGAGAATAAGTGTTTGTTTTTGTGGTATGTATTTTAATTGTCGCAAACACAATGCCCGCGTTCTGAGAGGATAGTCAATCCGAGCGCCTTTGTAAATGGAAAAATGCAAATCGACCTTGTTAGAGTGAAATGAAAATATGTTTGTGTGGATGCAAATACAGAATCAAGCGGAGAAGGTGTGAAAAAAATTATCAGCGAGGAAAGGTACAATAAAGGGGACGAGAGAAACGAGACCTACCTGGTGAACTGCTGCTGCGAGACATAAGCGTTGTTCTTGTCGCCGACGCTGCGACCACTGTTGCTCAGCTGAAATTAAATAAAAATTAAAAAAATAAAATTTTTAGCTAGTTCTATAGATTATTTACGGTAATGTTTGAAAGATGATAAGATTTGGATCCAGCAAATAATTGCAAAGCTATTCAGCCATGTTAATTAAGATAAGTTATTTTGCAACATTCAAAAGACATTTATTTTGTCATTGATTTTCAATTAATTTAATTAAAAAAATATTGTAGCATAGAATTGTTGAAATTAAATTTTATTGAAAAAAATTGTTGTGACGTAACGAAGGAAAACAAAAGTTGCTGTGATCTGGGTCGATTGACCGCGTTGCAATTAATGATGCATTGTTTTCAAAGAGTTGAAGAAAATTAGTTCACTTGCGTCATTCATAAATCAGATTTAGCAAAATTAGAGTGGGTGGTTGTGGAGCTTGGGGCGTTTATTCTGATATTAAAACTCACGGGAATAGCGTTGGTGACGCTGAGGCGAAGTCCGTCCCTGTCCCTGGCCACTTGGCCGACCGTGTTGGGCTGGCCTCTGTTGACGCGCTGCTGGCGGTCCACCAATTCCTCCTCGGCGGCGATGTCTTCGTACTGCTCATTTCAAACATAAGATTTTTTCGGAAAAATTTTTTATTTTGAGAAACTGACCTGGATTTGTTGGACGGGTCTGGTGGGTGCGGTGGAGGGCGTCGAAAGGCTGCGCCAGGTGCCACTGGTGCGTGCGTCAGTCACGCGCACTGTGCTGACGCCCTGCGACGGCGCCGCCGGCGCCGCGCTCTCGCCGCAACCTACATTACGCGGCCAGTCGCACGTCTGCAGCTCGTGGCTAAACGAAAATCGAGTTTCATTAGAAACCGCAGTCCTTTTTAACTCAATTAGCTATACGGCTGCAATATAAGATTATTTTCCAGAAGGGCAATGAATAAAATGGCGCATTCAATTAGGTCAAATTTTAAATTAATTTTTTTTACATACTTTTTTAAATTTCTTAAAATACATTTTGCCCAGTATTTTTTGTCAGAAATTAATGAAATTGTTATATTTATTTTTGAATGGTCTTTTTGATTGAATAATTCGAATTTTACAGAAAATATTGATATAGATCTTTTTTATAAATAAAAATATTAAAAGATGTTAATTAATTTTATATTTAAGCGCCTGATTATTTTTAGACAAGAAAAATAAAATGGTTCTTGCGAAAATGTGTTCATTTTATTACATTATAAAATGTTTATTCTTTTTTTTTTGCTATAAAATTTCTGATTCGGCATAAATATAGCAAAAATTAAAAAATTGCAAAATAATTTTTTATGTTGGAATATGTTGTAATTACCTGTACATGAGTCCTCCGGTGCAAGACTCGAGAAGGGCGCCGCCGAAGACGCAGACATAGTACTGGGTGCAGTCGGTGGGGTGAGGGTAGTAGCCGAACTCGTCGGGACAGTCGAACTCGGAGGAGCCGTTGGGCCCGCCGGCGACTCTTCTTCTCTGCGCCTCCGCCGAGAATCCTGCGAACAAAATTTAAAAATTAAATTGAGAAAAAAGCAGCAATACTAAGGTGAAAGTGCCGAGAGCAGCAGGTGCGTGGCGCGCGGATCCCATTTCACGCCACCAAGAGCAAATCGCCGCGTTTAATTAATTGCCTCGCGGCCACCACGAGCAATTGTATCACAACAATGCTTTATTACTTCTCATTGTTCTACCTAAAGCTCGTTTACAATTATCTCTACCTGATTTACGATTAATTAGGTAATTTTCAGGAATCGAGCGAGCGAGCGAGAGAGGGACACAATTGGAAATTAGAAAAGCCATAATAAAGTTGTAAATTACACTGGCCTGATTTCATATATCTTTCTCTCTCTCTCTCACTTTGCAGCCGAGGAAACGAATATGTGTGCTTTTATTTTCTCTTCCGTCGCTGCGGATCTGCATCCAATTTCTATAACAGCTTCCTGCAGTCAACAAACTCGATCATACTTTCCATGTCTCGATTGTTATTCCTCCGTCTGCGTGTGTTTCTTTTTTAGTCCCGGGCGGCCTTGCCACGATTTGGTGATGGGGCAGATTGCGCGTTTGGTTAGTGACCGCGATCAAGGTCGTCTCTCTTTACGCACACACGCCCTTCCATTCCTCCCGGGCGCCACTTTTGTTTTTAATATTCGCAGGAAAAGATGCGAGGCCGAATTTCTCACTTTTGCATTAAGCTTCCTCGTTTATTATTTTTATTATGACGTGCCGTGGTGAAAAAGCAATCATGTTTGATTTTCACGCGAGCGCCGACCTGATTTCGAACGCGATGCACGGAGAGCAATAATAAATTAATCAGGTGCAATAACGAGGTCCGATTTTCCTCCTCGAGCACTTTCTTTTCTTCTTTCTCCACCAGCATCTCTCGGGACGAATTCGATAGATAGGGGCCCATTAAAATTTAATCGGTGAGAAGATGCGAAAATGACGCTGGAGGCGACAACGCGTCATTTTCAATTCGTTAGCCTGATTAAAACGTCTACTCGCGTTGAGCAATTCACCAGACTAATTGCGCATGTCAACCTGACAAACAACTTGGCAATCATCAAGTAAGCCACGTAATTAACCCATTTGCAAAACCAATGAGAAAAACAAATATAATTAATAATAACTCTCAATCTTCCAGCCTCAATTCAAAATTAGCATCTGAAATTGTTTTAAGGTGACTGAAAAGTTGTTTTTTCACAAAGTCTAGTTAAGATGGGAAAAATTGAAATTCCACAATTATTTCCAAACTTAAAATTAACTTGGTAGTTTTTATTTTTATTCTCAAATAATGCCATTTACTTTCCATCAAAAATATTTTAACATAAGAAAATTAAGTTGTTCTGGCGTTGAAATCTTCAATGGAAAACTTAATTGGACGCATTTTATTATCAGGCATTGAAAATCGATCGCAACTTTTGCGTCATTGTGTCTCGTTTTCGCGCACCGTGTCCGCCCGCAGCTTTCTCTGCATTCCAGGCGGTCGTAGGCGTTCGTCGCGGTGGAGCAAAAAAATTAATCAAAGTCTGCAACAATCGAGACTTATTACGAATAGCCGGTTGCAAAACGCTTTTGCTAGGAGAGCGCGAGCCGAGGCACCACACCCAAGCCAAGGACACGCCTAGCGACGCCGCGGGCAAGGTCACGCTTGACCCTCGCGCGAATTTGGAAATAAATCGACCAGACGAGCGTCACACACGTCTCTTTCTCAACAATTTATTGCTAGCAAACATAAATTTTTCTATGCCTCAGAAATGAGAATTCCTGCCGCCCTTCCAAGGAAAGCGATTCCACAAATCAACCCAAAGTGCCAATTTGGAGTTTTTATTGCAAACAGGTTTTCTCGTTTTTGTGTCCTCCTCAAAACTAAAAATAGTTAAATAATTTTTCTGTCTCGAGCAAGGGAAAACAAGATTATTTAACCCATGTCATCGAGCGAGTAAAAATAGCATAAAACTCGGAGGTCAACAGAAGAGAATCAGCATTAGATGAAATCGGTCCACCAATATGTTGCCGTTTTAATTAAATATAATTAAATTTGTTTGAATATAAATTTAAAATGTTTGTATTTCAATTCCGATCTTGAAATCGTTCCATTCACTTTGAACAAATTAAATTTATCTTTGTAAAAACTATTAAGATAAAGTTTTTAGACTGCAGTGTCCATAAATATAATTCAATTGTTTTGCGACTCATATGGGTGCGACTATTTGATCACAATTTAAAACAAATTAGCTCCAATAAAAAGCAACAATGTAAAATTTTCTCCTTTCCAATAGTGCCAAGTTGTGCAACTCATTTTTTCGCGCTACAGACTAAAAAATGGAGCAGTCGGTGACATTAGTGGGCAAACATTTGCTCCGTTTTCGCTGATGGCGTTGGTGGGCGTTTTTTATTTGAATCAATTAGTCGCCGCTTTTAATTCGCGGCCGCCTCGGGCGTGAGGCCTTAATTTGCCGTTTTTTTCGCAACTCCCATAAATAAATTTTACGCTTTCCGAACGATAATGTTTAATAGCGGGCGGAGTGTTATTATTGCGAAATTTGCTCTTTTTCTCTGTGGATTAAATCTTAATGACTTTTAAGAACAAAAGTAGTGTTTGTCTCGATCAAAGTGCTCGGCTGATCCCCATATTTGTAACAAAAGCTCGGCGTAAGTGATTCTTTCGCAACTTTTGTTTGGATTATAGAGAGAGAGAGGCAGCGCGTTTGTTTTGCGATTAGTGCCAGAGCAATTTGCTGCCATTACGGATGCAGGCCACGACTTTTGATATATATTATGCAGACACCAAATTGAGGTGCCAGAACCTGTTAAACCCTTGCGTCACCTCTCATATTTGTTATGGAAATGCTTTGAGAGAAGAAAAATGCAAATCGTGGGCAAAAAATTCTGATGATTCACTTCGCGGTGACATTCCTGCGACCACACGCAGACACAGACACACCACAAATTCCACAACATTTTTATTAAGATTGCAAATTCGTGTTACAAATATATTCAGCGCGGCTCTTAACAATTGGAATTTTTGGTGGAATAATATATAGCAGAATATAGGCTTCTATCTTAATTTTTTATTTTATACTTTTTCAGGGAAATTTAATTTTATATTTTACAGCTCAATTAATTTTAAATTTCAAAATAGTTGATATAATAAAGGAGAAAAGTTTTTTAGATATATGATTTTAGACGGAAAAAATTCTTAATAGGTGAAATAACGGTTAAGAAAGTGCAGATTTAAAAGAACTAAATTTTAACATAACAATTTCAACATTGAAAATTATTAAATTCTTTACCTATTTTCATGTTCCTTTTGCCTATTGCAAATTTTGCTATTGGATTAATTTTTTTTATAAAGGAGATTCGACTGTTCAGGTTGGAGTCAGGGTTGATACCCTTTGAAGGTTGGGCAAGGACGTTCGGGAGGGCGTTGTTCGATTGATTGCATTGTGACGCAAGAAATTGGTAGGCAGAAAAAGTTATATGATTGGCCTTGGAAAATCATGTGTGTGCTGCGGGATGGGCGCCGAGAGCAGCATCCCTGTTGCTCTCAATCTCAGGGTCAGCCGGGTGTGGTCGATCGGATTGCCCTCGCGCAGACCCCGGAACCGGAATCGAGCAAAAAAATAAGTCATCTTTCTTCACATACACCCTGGGGTTTTACTCAGACCTTGGAGAGTCATGCTCGCCACACGATTTGCAAAAACAGGAAAAAATAGCTCTTCCTTGGCAGGTGCGGCTCTTTTGAAAGTTTAATTTAATTTGCGAGCCAATTTATCGCTCGACGGTCCGAGTTAATTTGCATCGTTCCCAACGCGAAATCTAATTAGATCGTTTCCCGCGCGTTGATTGAAGAGATCATGACGCGTGCGACAAAGTCTCTATAGCGAAACACAATGAGGTGAAAGGCCCGTGGGTGCTGCATGGCGGAAATCGATACGAATTTCTAATTGCCTGCTATAAAAGCGTCGGCGGATTCAAACGATCAAAGCGAACTTGTGTAAAATTAGAATTGGAGCAATCATTCATTAGTTTTTCTTCATCCTTTCTAGTTAATAAAAAGAAAAGCTGTTTTTTTAAGCGAGTATTATTTTACTTAATTTTTTTAAATGCATTTTATTTTCTATATATAAATTATTCTTTCCACAACACTGACAAATTACATTTAAAGTACGACTGTGATTATAAATATAAAATTAACTCCTTTTGCGGATCTTAAAGAAGAAATTGTGACGAAATTTCACGTTTTATCACTCCCTGCTATTTAAGATAATTATGTAAAATTCTAGACAGCAACGTGTGTTCCTTTGCCGTGTTAGTGATTCCAGTTGCACACATAAAAAGGTAGCATTGGCCAATGCGGAGCTCGGAGGATTTAAGCGCGACGATAAAACGAATTTTCTTGTTAGCGGCGCGTTTTTTTTTTATCGCGCACGACACGACACATGGTGAAAGTGCAGATCAACGTGCTGCACGCCGTAAATTTCGGGCCGAGCGACGCCGCCGCGCGCGATCAATTAACTGCGAAAAGCAGATTTGGGCTGACAAACGAGCGATTTGCGCGGCCGGCGCAATTATCGCAAAAAGTCCGTCGGCAATTTCTCGCTCGGCTCTAAAGTGAAATAATTAACAGTCTCGTACGTGGTTTGTTACAAGTGAAAAATATCTCTGCATAATACAATTAGAGCGGCCTAACTAGAAAAAATCCCTTTGTGGAATAAATTTTGTTTAATTTGTACGAAATAAAAAACTTAATTTTTTTAATTTTTCTAATAAATTAATTCAATGTTTTGAAATAAATTCAAATATTTAAAAAAACAATGTAAACGTGAAAAAATTCAAATTAATTGCTTCTGACAATGAATAATATTAGAGGAAAAACATAAATTCTTAGTTAAGTGTTTAAGTATATTTTGACTCTGATTTAAAATGCAGAGGCCTTACTCGGTGCGCGTCGGAGCGACAAGGTTCGACTTTTTGCATGCATTTTTGATCGCGT